ATCCAGAAGTAGGACTGAGACACGACGTACCAGCACGGAGGTTGCACCAGACTTCGGCTTCAAATCAGATGCTTCGCAGGATGGTCAACGCAGCACCTGATCCATTTGAGATGTTTAAAAACACCACATCGTCTGCGGTTGATTTGGTGACGAAGCCAAAAAATATATCTGACTACGCGTCCGGTAGTAGATCTTCCGCACAAGAAGCAAGTATGCCGCTAGTAGCCAGCAATCCCATGCCAAGTAAGCCAGTGCATGCCAAAGGAGCAGTAAGCATCCGCTTTATCGATGACGCCAATGCAAGTGGAGTGGAAGGCTCGCCAATGACTAACCTGGGTCAAGAGTTGGAAGGTGGAGCTGCTGCCGCTGCGTCTAGCAGTAGTGGGAATCGCGCGCATTGTAGTTTAGACACAGTTGGAAGCTTGTCGGACTCTGTTGCCCGCAGTCGTACTGCTCTAATAGACATCGGACTTCCAGAAAGCTACCGCAATGTGAAAATGATGTCAGTCGCGTTACCCTATTGGAGAAAGAGACCATTTGGGTACCAAGATTTCAATTCTGCCCTTCTCAGCATCACCGACCGCAGGGTGCTTGCTGGAGAATTTCGCGCACGCGGTGGAGGATCGTTGTATCTTTCGGCATTGTGGAACGCAGTGATATTTCCGACGATTTTAGGCAGCATCGCGTCGGAGTGTCAGATCACTTGTGACGCGCACGCGGAACAGTTATGGGAATCGATAGCTTTACTCGGACGCCTTCTCGTCTGGTGCTTCGCTCTATCTAGATCGAGTGCGCGCGTCAGACGCATGCGCTTTCGAATTCGTTAGCTGTGTCTCGAGTTCGCTCTTGGTAGCAGATTACATAGAACGAAGTGACTCGTTTTAGTTCCTCGCTTTTGTGACAAGATGGCCAGTGCCTGGGTCTGTCGTTTTTCATGCAAAGGCTTGCGAGTTATTTCGTACCTTGCTCTTGGTAATTTCTTATCTTAAAGTAGCTCGCGTGTGTCTTTGTATAATCTACAGCAGCCACACACTGGCGCACCCTTGTGATTGTGATAGTTAGAGAGGCAGCGCGAATATCTAGCGGCGTAGCAGTAATCAACTTCGTAAGATGTCAATGCTGGCGAATAAGTAACTGACAAAATCAAGGAAAGAGCTGCCCAGCCGTGACGCGTTGCTTGTTCGCTGCCCCTACCCTGTGCCTTTCTTCGTCCCTTTTCATATCTGCTGAAGTGGTTGTATCAGTTAATCTACGGGAATAAATACGTTCTGCCGCTACTGCCAAGCCGAAACATGCGGGAGACAGAACTCGAGGCGGATTTGGCGTCAGATCTGCTCCGTGAGGTATTTGCGCCGTATAGTACCGAGAACCCTCGCGAGGATGACTTTGCTGAGAACCTCGCCCCTGCGGATTATCTCACGCAGGTCAACAGCGTCAACGAAGACCCCGACAAGCGCTCTACTCCGTATTTCTCCACTCATGTCTTTACGCTTGTGAACCAAGGGAGACGAAGTCGTCCTCAATTAATTTCATTGCTTGCCCTGCTAATTAATTGCTTGAGTCGTCCTCAATTAATTTCATATCTCTAGCAGGAGCATTTCTGAGAACTAGCGTAGTGTCTCTGATTGTGAACTTCTTTGAAATAAGAACTGTGCTCGTTGGGTTCCGTCTGGTCATGCATCTGTATAAACCCAATCAGGCAAGAAGCGTGCGGCTTATCTGAGAGGACGATACCCAGCAAAAACCACAAAAAGGCTGCGACGGTTGTTCCCCGCGAAACAAGTGCACCCATGTGCATCGAAATTTCGCGGAAGGCTACGTGTTATCCTATTTTCAACATTAACTTGGACATACCACACGTCGAAAATTTAAGGCTTTTTTTGCAATGTCGTCACTTGGACATAGCTTAGCTAGTCGATCAGCTTGATAGGCAAGGCATTTTCTGCAAAGTAGACGAGGACTAGATCAGCCACGTGCCGGCATTTCGTGTTCTATCTCTCAGCATTTCTTCGGCGAAGAGTCTCTTTTTGATTTAGTAATTACAGACTAATAACTTGAGCGAGGTTCTTGCTATTTGTATAGTTGACTGTGACAGTTTCAGACAAACAAGTAAAGACCTCTAAGGGTGACCTGGTACAAGAAACGTAGCGCGAAGCTTCGTGGTGTGCGTGGTCTCAAATTTGTAGCTGCAGCCTTCCGAGCGAACGGAGGCAAAAACGTCATGCGCTTGTGCAGCTTGCAGACCCTTGTTTTGACCACTCTGCGCTTAGACAGACCTGACCCACGATGGGCGCCCTCGAGTGCAGCAACGGCGACCGTTCGTGCAAAAAGCCTCTTTCTCCATCAGATGGAGACTGGAAGCACAGGACCTACGAGTCTGATCGATATCGACCTGCTTCGGCGAGTTTTAGCCATGTTCAAAGATTGGATCCTTGCTGAAGCTCAGGATGATATTGGCGACGCCTCCTGTCCGTACATGACTGACGAGGACGTGATTGCTCAAGCTTTAGAAAGTACAATGACAACACATTATCGATATGGTCGCGTGCGATGGCTGCTCGACGGCAGCTTGTCGCAGCATTTGACCACTCGGTGGGGGTGCTTGGCGTTTCTCTTTGTGCTAATGCATGAGCTGGAGAATGCTCCTGCGAACAAAAAGCAGGCACTGGCAGCATGTGACCAGACACTCAAAGTTTTGGCGAATCCGCTCTCGCATAATGCAGTAGGGTTCGCGTTTGTTGGAGCTGACAAACTAACAACGAGTGAGCGCCCGGTAATGCCTGGCAGTACCGTTGCGGCAAAGGCAAAAGCAAGAAGCAAGGCTCAAAATCGAAAAAGGGAGGCGGCGTGTGCTTCTTCCATAGCGTCGACATTTAAGAGCTCGCTGACTTTTATACTTTCGTCTTGGTTACACTTATAGACTTGGCGGCAAAGTAAGCCAATGCCTATCGTCTTGCGACTAGTGCGGGTCAAGCGCGATGCTAGTAAGACTCTGCAAGCATTATGCATCATCTGGAGTCGTAGTTTGGGCAAGCTTCAGAAGATGCGCGTCTATCATGTCAGGCAAAGCATTTCTTCTAATTACTCTCGTACAATAAGGCGGCGACCTGCTCGAGACGACGACGCTCAAGATACTAGCAGCTGCACAGATGACGGCTTGGCATATTCAAGCGCGGAAGAGCAGCGGCTTAATGATGAAGTTTGGCCACCAACATCAGACGAAGACAACGACTGGGGCCGCGAGGTGATTCGTCCGCAAGAAGATACAACTAGAGAGAAGCCTTTGGGGACACGTTCTAGAGCTACCGCCTGTAGCTCCACTGCAGCAGCTGCGTCTTCTGCCACCCGGAAGAAAAAACCTTCGCAAGCAACTAAAAACTGTCGAGACAGCTCCCTCGTCTTAAATGCGCAGGCTGATCTATTTGACGACGAAGAAAAGAGCGAGTCATCGGAGCAGAGCTGCACGCGAGACGACCTTCGCAAGAACGCCGGACGCAGAGATCAGTCCTTGCCGGCAGCAAGGGAGTTACAGCTGGTTGCCGCCTCCTCCTCCACGTCGTCGCAGCGCCAGCAGCTAAAAGCGCCAGCAAACGCGCGATCGCGGTCCATGAAAACAGAACCGGCACCATCGTCAGCGGCAGGTGGGCGCTTACAAAAAGGCAAGAAGACTCCAAAAACATTAGTCGCGAACAGTGAGGCCTTAGACCCACTAGATCCTCAGACGGCTCACGGGCTAGGTGACTTTCTAGAGAGGCCTGACATGGATGTCAATGCCACGAATAATGGTTGCGCGTTTCTATGTCGAGCCAAGAACAGATGCACAGCTTTTTGCTATCAGCTGGTCAATGGTGGCGGCAATTTTCTGCATAGTGTCGGAGTTGGCTCCCGCGGCGCAATGGATTTAAATAACATCTTCTCGATTGGTGACACTAGTGCTGAAGAGATTTATATGACTTCACGCCTTCGCAACTGCGCACCTGCGGCAATGTACATAGCTTGGACTACTGTGCTTCTTGAGGAGTTGCCCACTGCGGTGGCTTCGGGGTTGACAGCAGGCGACCGCCATCTCCTACGCTATCGAGAACGGCTAACAAACACTGTGGCAGCGACAAAGGACGAAGACACGGCTGTCCGCCCGGGAGGAAGCCACGAACCAAGAACGCCCATTCTTGGCCGCGTCCTCCTTGAGTGGAGCCAATCATGGACGCGGGCCGCGTGGGCGGAGGAGGCCATGACTATGGACAGCCATCCGCTGTTAATTTTCATTTTTTTCCTCAGGTAAAATAGAGTCTAGTCGCAACTTGAAAGAGCGCTCCTATAATTGAATGTGAGACGTGTTGCCTTACAGACTCCTCTAAAATACACAAACGAGTGATGCGGTTCTCCGAGTTGTGCCTACCTTCAGGACGATCAGCGCGCATAAGTTTGCAGGACACGTACAAGCTGCACCTAGTGGATATCTATGTGACGAGAGATGGCAAAAACAAAAAGCAGAAGCCTTGGCTGCTGGAATCGTTCAAGCATGGTTACCAAGATTAAGGCCTCTCTCTGTAAACTCTATAGTGTCAATTAATCATGAGTATCACACACAGCCTCGCTGAACTGAGTAGCTCACCCTCCTCCGAACGCAGAGTCGTGATTTTTCTCGATTTAGTTACCAACTTCGATGAGTAAAAACCTGTAAGACTAGGGCAAAACTTGACTGTAGCGCCATCAGTAGTTGCTTTATTTGCATAGCATAAAGTGGCAGCAGTGGGTCCCTCTAATGATCATTCTTGAAGGACGGCGAAGTCCGCGACGTGGATGACTCCACGCCGCCACCACCTCCGGCCACTCCTTCTGAGGGTCCCTCCAATCGCAAGCAGCGACTTGTGAACTCCCAGAAGTTTCGAATTTCTAGAGGGCTTGGCGCATTGATGATGTCCGACCTCAACGAGCGAAAACGCGGCGCAGAACATATGCATGAGCTGCTTCTTCAATTGTGTGCGCTTGCTGGCGTATCCGGTTACGCTTTTTCCAAGGATGGCCCTGCTGTGATTCCCGGCGGTTCCTCGTCATCGACGGCCATGCTTGAAGTAGTGCATCCTCTCAAAAGGCCAATCTTGAAGGCTACCGAGTTTGCTTGTGTTCGATTCCAGCCATATGCCGACGCAAATTCTTCTTCCTCTCGTGGTACAGAATCACTTCTCCGAGCTAGTTGCGGGATGCCGAATGGCGCTGCATCAACGAAGTCGAAGCCGCACTTCGATCAGTCCTCCGCCGATATCTCCAGAAGACTGGACGCGGCGCATGTCGTTCTAGTGTTGTACAACGAGTTACAAAAGTGGTCAATGATTCATGGCTTCTTTCGCATGGCAGCCGAAGCACCCAAAACCCACGCGCACGAGGCGAAGCACCTTCTTAGCTTGGTTGGGAAGCATCACCGTATAGCGTTCGTCACGCGATGGATCTCCAAAGTGAAAAGCGACACAGAGTGCTACTTTCATCAAGTAAAGAAATTGAACGAGAACAACCGCACCTCGACCATCATTCTGCCTGAGTGTTGGCCTCTGGATTTTCATTCAGTGCTTTCAAGTACTCTTAGTCTGTTGTCGGCGGTGACGTCAACCTACAAGGTCGAGTGCGAAGGAAGACGAGCAACCTACGCTGCTGCCCAATCTCGTAGTGCTGCGCTACAGAGACAGGACATGAATCCGTGGTCAATATACAAACTACCATGGCGAACATTGAAAGAAGCGCTTGGTATTCAGGAGGACGACAGCAAGGAAGTGGGCAAGCGGTTGGCCGAGCTGTACGCCGATGTGTTAGGTAAGGACCCTGTCAAAGCCTTGCGCACCGAACAGGGAAAGCGGTTCAACCTCTCCCACGAGCATCATGGACTCAATCGCGAAGAACTTCTGGAGATCATACAGCATTCTCATAGTGATCGGCATGGGGCGGACGAGTCGTATGTTCACTACCTGATAACGAGACACGCGATGGAAGACCTGCTGCTGAATAATATTGATTATGAAGCCCACTCATTCGTCTTAGATAGTGGTTTAGTGCAATCTAGTAGTAGCTATTTGAATAGCGACCGCCTTACTTGAGGCCTGTGTATTGATTTAGTCCATGATGGTGATTACGTATAGATAGACGGCCTTTGGCTCTTGTTCATTGACTCACCAGCTTGGATGGCCTGACACAGTCGACGCTATATCTGTAACGTCGTGGGGCAGTATGTGTCGCGTGGTGTCTCGCTCAGTTTCTAAGTTAGGGCGAGTGTCGTACTATCTGACTTCGCCGACGCTCTTCGAATTGGTCGCAGTTGTATTGTATTAATTGCTGTGATCTATCAGACCTAACCCTGACCAGAGACTACAGCTTCCATCTGATTACTCGCAACCTTTAGCATAGTCCCACCAGTAACTTCTCTAATCTGTTTTCAAGATTGCCACAGCACGCGCGAGCAGGTTGAAGTGGGTCTTCGAGAAATGGGCGTCTTTTGATAGAGGCCTTGCCCTGGTCTTGCAATTGGGAGACAGCCAGACGGTGCGATGTATAACGGACGTGTCTACTCATAGTAAAGGCTTCACCACTAGCGGGCTTGTTCCTCTCACCGCAGCAGCAGTTGACCACCCTGCAACATCGTCGACGCGTCTCTTTTTTGATGCTGGGAACGATGTCGGCCAAGTAGTCGAGTACCCTGAGCCAGAGCAGGAGGATGTCCTCTCGTCGCAGCAGTGCAAGAGTCCGGAGATGAACTCTTTTGGAGAGTATATCCGCAAGATCGTTGCTGCTCGTGAAATTCCCGATGACCTGCGTGACATTGCACCAACGGAGAGCTACGCTGCTCATGTGCCAGGACACGGATCAATGCATCATCATGTTTTGTTGGACGCTCCCGAGACGAGGCGAGACCCATTGGAGAGGTGTGCTCTTGCAAGATTCGAACTCGATGAGAATACGTCACGGATTCGCCTCCGCATCATCAGTCAGGAGTTTCTGCCCTTTGAGACTTTGGCTCTAGAAGAGACGGACATTCTTGCTCTCGGAGATGCAGACATGCTAGGTGGTTTGTATGATTGGCTTCTTCGATTACATGAAAGACAGGCAGTGGCGCTTCTCCGTCACGCTCTTCAGCAAGCTACTGAGGCAGAGTTTTTTCAACTGTATCCATTTGAAGCCAGTGTTTGGAAGAAGAACCAGCACAAAGAGGCTCCGCCATCTAGTGCAGAACTCAGTAAAAGCCACGAACGCTCTGCTTTGCCACAGCAAGGGGCCCCATCGTCGAACACCACTGCGCATCAGGACGCTAAGGAGATCAGACAAGCTGCCACATCTTCTTCTTCTTCTTCTTCTTCGGTTTTGGACGCAAGAAAGCCTGACGAGCAAGCCCATTGCAACTCTGCTGCCTCGCGCATTTCTAGGCCTGGCTCGCTGGATCGGCGACCTTTGACCGCAAAGTTTGAAGACTTGGCCAAAGTGCAGCAGGAGAAAAGCACCGGACAAGAACAACGAGGTCGCAAAAAGGTAAAGGCAGCTGCCCCTCGCCACACCGCAAGCCAGAGCGCAGCGGCCAAGCGCCAGCTGAAGCTAGAAAAAATGCAGCAACCGAGACCCAACGGTAGCCCTCGCAAGCCACAGCGTGGCAAGAAGGCGGAGCTTCTTCGGTCAGAACTTGACAGGTCTTGTTCGCCAACAAAAAACGAAAGCGAGAATCTTGCCGCTTCGCTATCACAGGAGGAGAGGCTGTTGCCCAGTGCTGGCGGCTATGGAGCAGGCGCTTTGTTTGAGGGACAACACAAGACCGAGAACCTATCTGAGTCGCCGCCTCTCAAAAAGGACCCTTCGCCGAATGCACAAGACCGCGCGGGTACTAATGTTCGACCGTGCCTGTTACTTAATTATCGCTCTACTTATGACAGAGAGGAGCCTCAGTTATTTGATATGGTGAGAATGTGTCTGATTTGAGAGATCTTGGAAGAGAACAAATGTCACGAGCTGCGTAGTGAGTTACGCCGGCGCGTACTGCATCAGAAGGCCCTCAACGGTCTGAGCTGTCGGGTGTCGCTGGTTTTGATACTGGTGCCGCAATCAGGTAAAAAAAAAAGTAGTCGCCACTGCTCTGGTCTCCAAGTTGTTTAGCTGATGGCGTCGCCTTTTCCATTCTTGGCCAGGTTTCTCCAGCGTCGTCCGACAGTCGTCAGATCGTGTACTCGAATGCAAGCCAGGCAGGAGCAACGACTGCCCAGCGGGTGCATCTATTGGCAATCCCGTGAAACGTTCCACAGCCCATCCATCGATGGAGGAGAGGCCGGCGCATATGGTTGGGCCTTCGCGTGCAGCGACAGCACAGAGACAGACGGACGCCGACGCGCCTGAGAAAGACAAAGAGGCGGCAGCCCGTGGCTTAGCTATAGAAACGTCGTCTGCCTCTTCTTCGTCGCTTGGTTCGAAGCCGGGGATCGTGGTAGCTGAGCGGGCTAGGCTGCTGGCAAATACCTCAGACAGTGCGAAGCGTTTGCCTTTGAAAACACAAAACGAGACAAACCGCGGCGCAGATCATGTAGCCGGAATCCATTCGTTTCGCCATGCGGTCTCTCATGGAAATAGTAAAGAAGCTCCAGCCTCCGTCCCTACTACAACTCTCGGCGCGGAGAAGTCTCGCTTCCCAACTAGATCTCTTGCGGCCTTTCCCCTTGCTCCGAGATCACATGGTCAGAGTAATAGCTCGTCCGGCGTTATCGGTGCGAGAGGTGCTGTGGATGTGGTTCGCTACAACCCAACAGCGCACGGGCGGAACTCGTCAGTGCCTGGAGGATCACAAAACCACAAAGAAGGTAGAGATATGCACAAGAGGCAACTCTCATCGCCGCCGTCAAGCACCAACAAAAAGCGACGTCGCAGCTTTCAACCCCAGAAAAATCATGGGCCTCTGACATTTGTCGAGCAAGTGTCTCCGCGACAGGATCCTCCGACCAGCGCCGCGCGATCGGCTGTTCAGGTGTCAGATAAGTCTGCAGCTTCAGCACCTACCTGCAATGTTGCTCGACAGGCTCCAAAGTCTTCTGCTACGGCTAAGGGTGTTCTTGCAGCTTCTATCTTGCCGCCTCAGACCCCGGCCGCAAGACCGGGCGCAACGCTTAAGCGGAGCCGTTCCGTTTTAGGCTCTGGCAATAGCAGCGGCCACGAGGTGGGGCAGAGCTCGTCGTCGCGCCTAGGGGCGTTAGACTCTGGCGCGCTTGGTCTGTCGGGGCCGCTGTACTCGATCGAGCTTGGTGGTGGTTTGCCTAAAGATCTCCCCACAAGTGACCGAGGAAGAAGCAAACAGACCCCAGGCACTGCTGGACAGCCTTCCTCACGTCGAGCACAGACGTCGAGCACAAAACGAGCGCAGAGCGAAGCGCTGAGACCACAGATACGCTATAACAAAGACGGCGCGCCTAGGAAATTAACTGCAGCGCAGAGAAATAAGATCCGCCGGAACTTTCTCGAAGCGCAGAAGAATGCAGAAAGCCCCAGCACGCCAGTACCTGGCAACCAGTCTAGCACTTCGAGCATGACGAGCAGCGCGCTACGCCCAAGAAAAGTCGCAAGACAGTCGAGTGCCTTGCAGCAGGCTCCTGGTGTTCTCAATGGCGCCGATTCTCTCTCTCGTGGTGCGGGGGGTGCGGCGACGAGTTTCTCTCTTACAAGTAGGTCGAACGATATTGCAGCGACACGAGGGCCCGCCTCTATAAATTCCGCGAGACCTGCTCCAGCTAGATCGAGTCCTGTCGCCCAGCAGCCAGCAGCTTCAGACCCAAAAAGCCAGTCGATCGGCGCGTTGAGAAGTGACAAGAATAACAAGAAGAACGCGAAACCGGAGGCAGCAGCTTCCTCTTCTGTATCTAGTAGCTATGGCTCTTTGTCACCTCGTACGCCGCCTGCAGTCTCCAATAGCAACGTGGGTCCATCAGCAGCGCGACTCTCGTCTAGTAGCTCTGACTCGTCTGCGGCGTCTTCGTCTTCCAGTAGTTCTAGTCCGGTTGTTGCAACCCAAAGCGACGACGTGAACAGTGTGCGCCTCAAAAATGTAAAAGCAGAGCTCACAGGCCCGCCCAGTAATAAAAATAACACCCAGACGCTACTGATGTCAGAAGCTGGAGTAGCTGCAAAAGCCAGAAGGGATCCTCGAAGTGAGCCGCCGGCTTCGTCTTCTAGTACAGAAGCAGTAGTGCCAGGCACTGAAGTAGCAGCGACTTCTCTCAAAGAAAAGGCGGCAAGCATAGTCGGAGCTGCCCACGATCTTGACACAAAAGAGCCTGCCAGCTCTGCCAAGTTGTCTTCGCATGTCGACGCCGGTGCTAAAGATCGCATAGCCTTGCCTTCCTTCTGCTCTTCGAAAGATTTGCAAGCAACTGGGCCACTTCAGATTCAGAATAATACAGCTGCAGGCGCAACGCGTCTTGAGAGGACTAGTAGACGTAGAGTGAGCCAGCCTCTGAGGGTCGGAGATGATGGCCAGCAAGGATTGAAGGAGCGCGAAACCCTCGCCAACGATGGCAGCCGTGAAATTGCATCGGCAGAGATGACGCTGTCGGCTGAGTCGCGTTCCCCGGTCGCACTTTTCAGACAGGCTGGCGGTGTTCCGCTTGATCTCCGAGCCCCCTCTGGTCGTCTGTCAGCGATTCCCGAAATTGATGAAGAGAAAAGCGCCGACTCAAGTGCGGACGATCCGCCTGCTTCTGTTAATGCTGCAGATAAAGCATCCGTGATCAGCAGGAAAGAGAGGCGCTCCGCGCGGGCGTTCTCGCTGACGAGTGCGAGACACAGAACTGGGCAGGAACCTGCAAGGTCGACTCTACCGAGAGAGGAGCTGCAGCTCCAATCTAGTTCCTCATCTTTGTCCCCTTCCTTGTCTAATTCTAGTAGTGGCACCAATTTCCGTCGCTCGCAACTCAGCAGTAGTTTCACAGCCAGACAACCCGATCGGGATTGCGTCAAAGATAACAATAAGGAAGAGACGGGAGGCCTTAAGCCTAACCCAGTGGAACAGGCGCGCCAACGTTGGCAAGATCCTCCCCCAGATCTTATCGCCGGCGCACAACCAAAGGCACGGCTTTCGCCAGTGACGATGCAGAGCTCATTCCATGGGGGCCTTGGATCATGGCTTGGGCTTGGGCGAGAGCAATCGGGGCGAATGCTTGCGTCTGCCGGCGTAAGGACTGTCGCCATTTCTGACGCAGATGGAAGCGCGCTGCCTGGTGATAGTTCGGAGGGCGTTGGCCTCTTTTCGCGGTCCAATTGCGCCCCTCGCTCGAAATCGCCTCAAACTTCCGAAGACGTCTCGGGGAGACAAGGGTCCGCAAATAGTTCTCGCGCAGATGTGATGGGCAGACCAGATCACGACGCAGGCAGAGGCCCTGCGTTTGATCTGTGGAGATCAAACCCTACAGAGAGACAGCCAAAAAATGCTACAGCAAGTTCATCAGGAGCCAGCCCTTGTGTGAATATTCCGCCGCGCAATCAAGAACGTGGTCTGGAGAAAGAGAAAACAGCAGGCGTCTGCTCGAGGCAGCGAACTAGTTCTCTTGCCGTCTCGAATTTGGCGAAGTGTGAGATAAGCCCGTCACGTCGTGGGCCGTTCGCTTTTCATGCACGTCCGAGGGATCACCTCGCAGAGGTTCAAGTGAGGCCACAGACTGACTCCGACTCAGACGGCCTTCGCAGCTCTTCACCGGGTAGAAGTGGCAGCAAGTTCTTGTCTCGAATACAAGACGCCGACTTTCTTAGTAGAAGCAGCCCACACGAGTGCAAGACGGAGGAGAGGAGGGCTGGAGTGCTTGGAGCAAATGAGGGGAGTTCATCCTTTCCAAATGACGAAAGTATGAAGCAGTTTCGCAGTGTTCTGCCCAGAAGCAATGCTGCTGCTGTTGTTGCTGCTTCCACGAGGAATGGCGCAACAGCGTCGACGTCTGACGTTGGTGCCGAAGAGTTTGTTAACAACGTCGATAGCGCTAGCGTTAAGGCTAACGCAGACCAATCTCCGCGGCGCGCCAAGGTTCCTGGCGCGACTGCGCTAGACATAAAAGCCGCAGAAGCAGCCAGGCAAGCGAAGAACCTTAGCGGAGCGCTTTTAAAGCCACAAGCCATCGCGTCGAGTGCTGCACATCAGCGGGCGTGTCTTGGTGATTCCATTTCTCCGCGCCTTCGTAGGAGGTCAACACCAACAGCACCAACGGGCTGCGCCTCTGAGTTGGTTAGTATAGCAGAAAACGAAAGCGAGAAAATTCCTGAGGGATTATCCCGCACCGAAATTCTTCAACGTGTGTCAGCGGACGTCTCGAGGGGTGTCGCAATTCCAGCATTTGAAGCGCTGGAGAAGAATACTCTGCCAGATGCATGTGACGCAGCAGATGGCAGCAACCGCCACGACCTGCAAATGAGGAGGTTCCTTGGTCTTCAGGTGCCTGGTAAACCGCAGAACACAAAAGCAGGGTCCTCATCGTCGTCGCGTGTTGCTCTGCATGGTCCACCATTGGCCTCGGGGGCGACAACAGAGCAGGGCTCAGCTGTAGACGGAAGCTTTAGTAGAACTTGCCAGAAGCAAGGTGTCGCACAGAACGACTATGGCCTTCTGCAATTTGGCGAAAAGCTGAAGCAGGCCTCTGCTGCAAAATTTAGCTTGGTCCAAGACGTTTCCGCTACCGGAGGTGAGCGCGTACTTATTCGATCGAGGAACATTAAGGCTAGAAGATGCTCATCCTTGCGCGCAGGCGTTCCGCGATCTTTCTCAGTAGGGAAAGGATCTCGCGGCGCCCTTCAGGATGGGTCTCCTTTACCGCTAAAGGGAGCAAATACTCCACGTTTGACACACTCTGCACCTTTGACGGCTCTCGTTTTTCTGAAGAGGACGCTGACTATTTGGGTACCGTAGAGTCGTTGCGCCGGCTACCAGTGTTTGCCTTGGAGTCTCTACATCAAGCAGCAAACCGGAAGCATTCTGGTGCAGTACCAGCCGCAGACAAGGAGGCAGCCTCCCATGACAGGACTGGGAAGACAAGTAGCTCCCAGCGGAACAACGTGAAGGCACACGAGCCACAAGTGAAGTCGCCAGGTCTGGTCGAGAGAATACTGCAAGCGAGAGACAGGCAGCGGCCTGGTTTACAGACAGGCACAAGCCAGCAGCAGGCATCGCCAAGCACCGGGCCAGCATCTACAGGAAGACCTGAACAAGAGAACAAAGACGACAGACAGCGTGCACCAGTACGCGCTACTTCTGACACTACTCCGAAAGCAATCCTTGAACCTTCAGAGTTTGGCCGTGAGATTCCGACCTCTGCTGACGTTCTAGCAGCGCTCTACAACATGCGAGGCGCTGACATTGCGGGTGAGCACGAGTTGGGATTTTTGGTTCGTCTTATCAGCCTCTTGCACACGTGGTCATACAAAGGCGCCCACGAGCTGATGCTGTCAAAAGGGTTAGACTTCTTGTTTGAGCGAAGTGCGCAGGATCAGACACCACGAAACGATCTTCTTGTGGCTGCTGCTCATCACCTGCAGGGACTAATGGCGACAGTACTCGATCCAAAAGCTGCCCGGAAGAAGATGCAGAGTAGAGCTATGGAACACTACGCCACGCAGGAGGCTGCTCGGGTAGCAAGAAAAAAAGCGAAGCTCTTTGTAGCGGAATCACGGGAGCAGCTCGGAATTGTGGAGAGCTATACCGACGCAATGGAGCAGGGGAGATTCCAGAGTATGGCTGTCGAGAAAGGAAGGCTTCTGTATGAAAATACAGCAGCCGCGGCAGCAGCAGCAGTCGCTACAGCAGGCGAGGCCCAACAGGCGGAAGAAGTTGACTTTGGTGGGAGGCCTTTCTATGTTGACCGTGACGAGTTGAATGCGGCCGACATAGCTTATTTCAATGGTTCCAGAGCTCAAGTGGATCTTGCTCGAGTTCGAATGCGTTGGTGGGATAAGTCTGCAGACCTGGAGTTAAGGCTTACAGACTTTTTAAACGTTGCATCTTCACGAGCATCCTGGAACCGTTTTCAAGGGTGACACGGTTCCAGGATGCGTCTCGCGGTGGATCTCTATAGAATAGAGATCCATCTCGTTGAAGAATTTAATCTAGTAGAAACCCAGCCCCTTACCTCTAACGGAAGCACTGGACAAGATGATGCGCAGGCTGGTTTTTCCTATCAAATGCGACGCATGTGGTGAGACTATTGCGCTGTGCAAGAAGAGCATCCTGGGTGGGCATGACTATCCGCAGATGTTCTATCAGGTGGTTTTGCGAGATAAAGACACAGGAGAACTTTCGCTGACGTTTCCTCCGTCGAGCCGCAGCATTGGGCAGAGATCTTTATGGGAAGGAGACAAATGCTTCATCGCATATTTTTTTTTTGCATTATATTGAATATATATAATATGACTCGCGATAGGTGGTCTGCTAGCGCTTAGAATCCCCGGCGACGGTGGCGGATACCACTACACCGGGGCGGGACGTTCGACCAAGGCAAACCGGCGAAAGAGCGCCCGCCCGGGCAGCTGTCGCAACCTTTTGGCAACGGCTGCGCGCGCGGCAGGCGTGAAGGCGGGCGCGCTTACTTTTGGGCGTGTGTTGCTCTGTTGTGAAGATCTTAGAACAGGGCGCAGGATCCTCTGGGAATCCTCTGCGCAAAGCATTGGGGCCGGCGTGGCTTCGTGTTGATTCCAGGAGAGGGGCAGCCTTCGCACGCCTGCGCCTGGCGGAGACTGTTAGGCCTTCGGTGCGTTCAGCATGAGGATGCGCGGGGACCTCTATGAAAGGAAGCAAAGCAGTGCACAGGGGTGAGCCTGATACCTAAGAGGACCCGCGACGGGGGCCGCCACGTTCTGCGTCGCCTCTCGCCTGCGCTTTTTCGAGGAGCAAGGCGGGGAGCTCTTGGATGAATCGAGGGAGTTGCTACCCCCGCAGCGTCAGCCTGTCTACTCATTTGGGTGACGGTCACCCTCCCGGAAGTGTTTGAATGGTGTCCATGGTGATAAGACGCGTGCCCGCTGGCATTGGGGTCGCCCCGCCGTGGCTTACTTTCGGAGCTGTGTCGAAGCGCAAGCAGACAGGACTAGGCCGCTCAGAGGGCGGGAAAGTTGTCGAGGAGCCGGGCGGCGGTTTCAGCGTTGGCGACAGCGGCGCGCCTGAGGGCACGGCGCCCGGCTGAAGCCTTCCAAGCTGCAAGAAGGGGCGGAGGGCTGCAGGCGTTTGATCTAGTGGATTGCGATGTGGTTAGATAGTCACTGCGGCCAGGCGCTGCCGGCCTTCACTTTTCCCGCCTGCAGTATCTTCATCGTCTCCGGCGTCAAGGGCTGCAGTGTCGGCGTGGCGAGAAAGCACACACGTCGCCCATGCTGGGCGCCGGCGTGTCGCGGCTTTGGTCGCTCGATGGGGGGCGCCTGTTCGGCCCCCCTGGTTTTATTTGGGACGCAGATGGAAAAAAGGCCAACCACTTCGCGCCGCGCGATCGTCAGGAGAAGCGGGCGGAATTCTTGACAGCTCGGCGCTCGCTGCAATTGGGAGCGACGACGGCGCAGGTGCAAAAGTCTCGGAAGAACAGGGAAGCGCTAGGGGCCGGCAGTGTTGTCGGATTTCGCAGCCTTTCGCCTCGTTGTTTGAGGGGGTCCCGCGCTGGCGCGACCGGCGCCGCGTCTGCGACTCCCTCTCTCTTTGTTTTCTGAACAGGGTGAGCCTGGGCGAGCTTGGCTTCGGGTGAATATCCGGAGGAACGCCAACAGCTTGAGCGTCTGCTCGTTGTTTTTTCGGGTAGAGCTAAAAACTAGCAGGGGCCGCAGATGTTCGCCTAAGGTTTTTCATTATTGAGAAGCCAGCCGCGTTGTGATGGGGAGATGGCTGTGGGGTGATGTGCGTTGTAGTATCTGCGAGCGCGCACTCGCTCAACCTGTAGCAGGTTTTGCCTCGTCTCTTGTTTGATTTTGAAAAAAAGTCTATTCCTGCTGTGACTGTGAGCGTGTCGAGGTAAAATATCTATTCATCTGCTTTTAACTTCGTAATAAGTCATGTTGCTTCTGGTAGCTGCTTACTTCTTGAGAGGGTTACGTACTTGCTATTAATGGATGTCAGCTTCTATCTTTGTGAATTTGTATCCCCCTTGATTTTCGTTCCCCATTCTCCTCTCATACATGCACTACCTGGCATGCCGGAACACTCCCGACCGATGCTTCTGCGGCTGGTGGTTGGATAACATCTGCTTCCAAGAGTATCGCGAGAGCATCAGGGACATGCAGAAAGTTGGGGAGTCGTCCTGGTGGAACTGTGCTTTTTATCAAATTTCGATACATGCGCACATGTATCCGGGAAGTGCTTGCAGATGTCACAACTACGTTCCGCCGAGGATGGATAGGGCGACTCCTCGGTGGAACGACTCACGAGCAGCAGACAAAATTTTTGGCGCCGGTGCGTCACAGACAGAAGCAGACAGTCTGACTTGTGTGGAAGCAGATGACTAGAGGCAGACCCTTTGGTGTTTCAGTGCTCGTCTATTATCTTTTTCCACGACAAGGAGGCCAAAGAGATGCGTGGTCTTTCTTCTTCTTGTAAATTAATGGTATTGATTGCTCCTCACCTTTTCCGTTTTAGTATCATCTGAACTTAGTCTGACTCTATGCCAGACGATAAATCAAAGATGATGGTAGACAGCTTAGATTTCCAGGCAGCCTCTACTACGTGTTGACTTTTCTCGAACAGAGCTAAAAACTGTTGCAAGAGCGACCAGCTTCATCATGATCATCGTCTTTCTTGATGCTTTGTAATATACGCGCATGCAGTCGCGCATAGACTCACATTTATGAAACTGCTGCAGTAGACATTTACTACATAGAGTCTTTATGTCGTGTTTTACTCACCTTTCCGACTTCTTCTACAACGATAAAGAAAAGGCTGCAGTTATAATTATTACTCCCCGGCCTCGTTGTTCTACTCAGTGAGATTATTAGATTAGCTCATCGGGGATGAGAGTCCGAGTGTTGTACTTGTCGAACTGAAAAAACGTGTAAACGCAACCATTCCGCTTGTATTATTTTTATTTGCGGAAATTTTAGACCATGATGTTCCAATTCTGTTGTAGTCAGTTGTTGTTGCTTCGCCATCTACTTGTTATGCTAATGTGGTTGATAATGAAGCTAAACCAGTCTGATTTCTTGGCCAGCCATTGGTATGCTGATGACATAAAAACTATATAACATTACTCAGCTCTGGCAATTTATCAATGATGTTCTCGTCGCGACATTATTTAGCCTACTTAGTATCGTTGCATGCATATTGTAATAGCTGACTCCTCTAGTAGCTGACGTGTAAAATTGTGATCATCATCATTTTTATCATCACCATCAACAGCATCGTGATCCTCGTCTGATGTAGAAGTTTTCTACAGTTCAATCGTCACGCTCTCCGTAGTAAGTATTCACTCGCCCTCCTTCGTATACGTATATTAGAGCAACTACTTTGAGCTGTCCACTATATGCAGATAAGTTTTTTATGTAGAAGAAAGAATCGTAATTCCGTTCTCAATTTTTTTGGGGTACAGCACTAAGGCTCCAGCTGAATCGTCAAAAAAAAACCCCAGTGAGGCCTGGCCATCCCTTTATCGTAGCTCGATTTTCATGCATGACGAACCCCACCCCTTACAAGCAGACTGCAATGCCAAAAGCATAACCTCTACAAGATGAAGCAAAAATATGAAATTCGTAAATTTCTAATATCTTTAGCAAATTTTGATGGATGCTATTTCTTGCTCCTGATATATTTCAAAAAGAACGAGCTTCAAAACGACCGAGGCAGCACGTAGCACACTTCCTTGCGGCGCCTTGTATGCGTCGAAAAAAATTTTTGTACGACAGAAGTTGAAGTCGTCTTGTCAAGATCGTGCCATCAGTATTTTTCTCGTGTGGCGTTCACCTCGAGAACGACGCGCACTCTTCGGGATTCGTTTCGAAACAAAAGAAGGTGACTGTTACAAGGACATCGCGAGTGCGTCGAAGAGAGAAAGAAGGTGACAGTTGGTAGGCAACTCGCGAAGACAGTGCACGAGTGAAAATTGAAATGTGAGCTGATGGCTAGCGGGACTTTACTGCACAGCTCCGCGAAATAAAATGGATGTAGATACGAGTACGAGGAACTTCCACAAAAATTGGCTGTGCAGTATCTCCTGCTCTTTCACTGGAGCAAGTTAAGGTCGCTAATATTTGATCACGATTATATAGATCCATGCAAATAACGAGTAAGTTTGTATGCCTTTGTCTGACAAGAGTTGTAACCGCAGTTCTGTTGAGTAACGGCATGTCTGCAAGAGTTGAAAAAAAATGGTCGACGAGAACAGACGGCGCTCTCACGTCAGTTTTCGTTGGATGGTGCTTTCAGGCAATAATTGCGGGGAAGCAAGAGCTTCTTTTTTAGCAGGGAGCAAGCGCTTCCGTAGTTGAAGAAGTTCCTCGTGAGACCGAAGCGAGCCGTGGCATCAGTTATGATTTCTGACGTTTTACCTGTGACGCTCCTGCTACAAGAACATTGATGACGAATAAAATCGCCAGCTTTCTGTCGCGTGAGAGGTATAATGTTGCTGCTATAAATGGACACGCTCATCTAGTAGTACTTCATCACAACGGCATTACTGGCACTTTCTATAGTGCGCACTCTTGGACTTGACTGGTTCCGATCGCATTGTATAGCCTCTGAATAAAGATACTCAGACTCGTCCTTCATGAATGAAATACGCCGATATCTCCAGGTCACATGCGATCCTCCGACTTGTTATTCTTTTGGTTTTGACCGATACAGAAGCGAAAGATCAAATATCTGAATGATACTAAGCGTTGAACCTTGTGGACCGATCAAGCACGCGAATGATGTTAAGAAGCTCCTGCTCTTGTTATTGTGAACACATCACGGATCAACTTGTGCATTGTCAATTCCAATAACAAAATTAACCTTATCATGCAGACTGCCAGCAGACACTTTGATGCTCCATCTTTGCACTTCGTCTCGTAAAAAAATTCTCGCTAAGCACTACGCGAAGAGGTTTCAGCCATTTCGATTATTCCAGAATCTACATGAGGCATAATTGATTTGGCAAGCCACATGTTGTGCACAAGTGTGTTCTTGCGATCGAGAGATGAGTGATAAACGACTGATCAAACGAGTTGCGACACTTGTATCAGTAGTTTTCTTGCTCTCCGGTTGTCTTCTTGTTTCCCGGCAGTTCTCAGGGTGGATCACTCCGCCCTGTAATAATTATTACAGCCCGGTATGATTGCAGATTCCTGATTAGTACATTTCCAACAGTATCATATCGATAGAATTGAAAAGTGGGACCATACAAAGAAGTTAGAGATAAGCAATGAACAATTTTAAGTTTGAAATTGATTTTGAAATTTCGCCGGGTAGTCTCTTCAATCGCATCACAAATCATACGAAATGTAACATTTTTGGGAAAGAGGGGCTGTGGCGATGATACACGTGGACCACTTTGGCATATGCAATGGTTTTTGATGTTTGTCTTGAATGTAGAAAAATGTTTGAGCCGGTGCTACTTTGTACAGCATTTTTTGGAATTAATGCAATCTGGGGTTGAAAGAGTGAGGGTCCTTGTGATAGAGCAATATTCACTTATTTGTTCATCTTCATACTTACGCTACATGCGCATTTGATGTTCTACCCGATCGACATGTAATATTTATCTGAGCAATCATGTGTCATCTTTTTGGAATATCCTTTTGCTCTGCAAATGAAATCAGTGTCTATATGATCTCTCTCAGTCTTATTTCAGATAGTGCGTAAGTTCTTAAAGCGAGAAAAATGTCTTTTTGAATCTATCTTCAGTTTTGTAGTTTCTTTAGTTACAGTATGAAAAAGAATTGTGATGCATCATCAATGCGATCATCATGATGAAGTTATTTTCAAGTTTTTTCTTTACATCATCATCGATCCGTGCGGGGTCCGTGTACTAGAACAATGATTCGTCCAATTTTGGTTCTGTAGTGACATGAACAAGACCACCAGGAGGAGTACAATTTTAAGCAACTCTGACTCTGTCATATATTCATCGGCATAACGAATCTGGTGATCATGTTGGTGTTTGGTTTCCTGTGAAACGACGTCTTGCCTTGAGCCCGCGGAAATCGCGAAAGGTAAAGCCTCAAAGATCGTGATCCTTGTTGACACATACACTAAGTTTCGGGCAAAGAGCTTTATGTCCGTTTTATGGACAAATGCAACACCGGATCTTCTACTTCTTCGTGTCTGGAGGTAAAGTAGACGTACATGCTCTAAACCCCAACTGCAGTTGCCCGTACCGCTGTGGTACTTGTATTTTCTGGGTCGAATCATGACGTTTCTTGTTACCATGTATGCTTCCGGTATTTGGTAACCTGAATTTTATCATAAGGGAAAACAAGAAGAGAACCCTTGTGATCAAATTCAGGCTACCCAATACCGGAACCATTCCTACCAAGAATTATAGTTTTGCTTCTGATGAAGATGAAAGTGATGAACAAGTTAGTAGGTGCAAACTTTTCAGAAAATTGAATGCTGACTACTAGCACGTCAGGTGTTGAAAACATCTTTGAATTGTGATTTCTTTGTGGATGTTGGGCTCCTATTTTACAAATCTAACTTTCCCACTTGTGTCAAGCTTGAAATGTCTGAAAATACCACAACCCCTTTCAGTTGGTTTCTCGTTCCTACATAGGTGTATTGCTCCTTGGAAGAGCTCATTTTTTATCGAAGATTCCGCACCTACAACAGTGAATAAAGACAAAATGGACGACGTAGATCTTGCTCCAGCGGCAGTCTCGCCGCAGAACAAGGAATTGCCTGCGCAGATAGCTGGCGGCGGAGGAAACCCGAAACGCAGCGAAGGAGAATCTGCCTCACAAACAACTCCTTATGGTGCAAATGATGCTCATGTCCTATTTTTTATGGTTTCGGTAGGTACTTGCGCCCACGAACGAATTTACTCATTATTAAATATCATGTCAGGGAAATGAATGATTAGAAAAATCGTTTGCATTCTGTGGCTGTGGCTGTGGTGGATAGTCGATGCCTCATCCTGTTCTGCAGATGTTGAGCTCTAAGTACCTCAGGGAGAAGCCGGTGTGGACGTCTTTTTTCACTCGGCGCCAACTGAAGTGCTGTGCCACTTGCTTTCGTTCTCAACAGCAGAAGAACTGGTTGCGTTAACTTCTACAAGCAAACTGCTTCGCACGCTAATTTTACGGCTTCGAAGTGAAAGTTCGAGGTACTTAAATGCGAGGAAGTACAGACAGATGGAAGCGCTGCCTACTGCACTCCATTTGGTTGTAACGGAATGCTATCTATCAGCTAAATTAAAGCCAGAGACTCCATCGCACTATCTCAATAGATATAGAAGCATTTTGTTGTCTGAAATGAGAGTTTCGTACTCGTTATTGTAGGTAACTTCAAAATTCAAGGCTTCTACTTTGAAAAGCTCTCTAAGTTGAAGGCAGGAAGATGCGATCTGGCAACAACAGATGCGCACGTATGTTACCGGGTCAGGCGAGGATGGCATGCCCTCTGTGACACAAGCAGCGGCCATCGCGAACTTGGTACAACCCATTTAATAAATATATTTTTATACTGTTCAAGCTGTTCCTTTGCAATTGTCGTTACGGTGATAATGGTGATGATGATGATGATCTGACTCGTTATTTGCATATTTTTTAGCTTCTACACTAGCTACATTGATCATTTGGATTTCTTTGCTTTTTCATTCCATTCAACATCTGCTAAATTATGTTTCGAGCTCCTTCATATAGCCTCCATGCAGTTGCTGTATCTTCTTGACAATCTATGTATATGTATCAGGGCGAGGAATTGCTGCAGCACTTTTGCAAAGGAAAGAGCAAAGGCGCGGTTGGTTATGACTAAGTCGAGGTAACTTCGTTACCTGACGCTGTGGGTACACTACGTCCTAGTACGGCGGCATTTCCTAGCGGTACTATGTGGGGAATTATCAAGCTGACGACCGTGACCCAAGTTTTTTTCACATTCTTCCACAATTGGGACTTATGGGCGAAAATATCTCTAAATTGTCGTCGTTGGGGAGCCACAGCGCTGCGCTTCTTTCGAATTATTCGTGCAACTTCGGCTGATCATGCGCACGTGGCTGGATTTTTCTTGTGCGGGCTTTCGCATAATTCTCAACGACCGCATATGGGAAGAGCACGCGAACACAAAATTCCGCTGTCTCCTACTCCCGTTTGATGTAGACGCGCTGCTTACTGCTGCCCGGTTGCGGCGAGTGCTTCCCCCGTTGATTCGGGCTACGCTGTCCAACGGGCCACGTCGCATATGCAGCGATCAGGCCGATATCTAAGGCTTGAGGTGTTAATGAACACATGTTTGCCAGAGCAGATGTCTGATATTTTTGGACTTCAACGACAGAAAGAGCATCTTCGAGTTGTATTTGACTCAATCATGTCAACAACAGATGGGCGTGTAGTTAGAGAATCCAAACGATTTTTCAAGTTGTTATCATGCCTCAGCGAAAAAGGAACCAGACACTCGAAGAGCATAATGATAAGACTTGGCGTATCACTTCTAAGAAACGACGGAAGAGTCCGGTCGTAAGAATTGGTTGACTCCGCCGTCGCTTTCAGTATTGCAGAAGGATGGAGAGGACAACAATTCCAGTGCGGTCGGCCGAAGCGCACGCCTGTTATTCCAAGTGGGGCTGTTGATAGGCGATCAAGTTGCGCCACCGCCACCGGCTATCGGCCACGATTGGGCGAATTTTCCGAAGCTCTACGAAAACGCAAGACAGTATCAAAAACTGCAAAGGGATCTCGGATTAGCCGACGAACAGCAAGTGTTGGAAGCGGAAATTGAATGTTTGCGGTCTCTGCAGGACGAAGGATCATCCGATACTTGCTCCCTCTACGGGATACAGCTGCCGAAGGGTATTTTTGGCGGGTATCAAGTGTACGACCGTTTTACATCCGGATGGCAGGGACTACGAGGCCCATCCGGTCATAAGGTGCCGGCAGTAGTGTTGCGCTTGCAGCGCTTTCCAAGGTATGGCATAACATGGTTGATAGTGACGGGAGAAGGATACGCAACTTTTTTGTTGGTCATTGTGTAGTCATACTGGGAGAAAAAGAAGATGATCATTCATATTCTTGATTCGTCTTCATCTGCTTTCTCCCGATGTTCAATTTCAAGAGTAAATAAAACGTCGCTCAGCCACCTCACTTTTTCCTTTTTTGCATAGACGAGAGGGAGAGGCCAATCATCTAAGTTGTGGCAGTGAATCTTCGTACAGAGAGGCCGCATGCAGCTATGGGAATGCTGCCATTGTGGGCATGGGGAGCCTGTCTGGGGCCGCAAGGGCGACTATTGCGCGAACCCCAAGTCTTAATTCATCAGGAAACGCTGGAAGTCTTCGAAGACGCGCGCACTGTGGAAGACCTCGTACCTATTCCATCCGAAGAAGAGGATCTCGCGGAAGTTCGCCTCCAATATGCTGCTCCAGCTGGCAAGACTTTCTTTTAAGAATATCTATATCACTCCATGCATTTGTTTTTAACCTTCTTCACTGCAAGAGCAAGACGAAGCACAGGAAGACGCATGTCAATAGCCTGCCCAACTTATCCCTTTAGGTTATAATGGTGGACGTGGATGCATTTCGGAAGATGATGACTGATTGTCGATTCTGGTCACTTCTCACCTCTAATTTTTGGAATATCTGAACGAGTACGCCCGACGACTAGAAACTGGGGTTTACGGTTACAAGCCTTTATATCCATCGAAGTTTGGGCCGGACATTCGTGGCATTTGCCTATTTCCTCAAGCAGGTCCTGGCTTTGGTTCTCAAGTTACCAACTTCGTGCGTATGGACGGATCTGCGGTGCCTCTTTTATGACTAACACTAAGTAAACAAGAAACAACTGATCAAAGAAATAGCATTTGCAGAAATACGGACAGAAATGTCTGTATGAAATGAGCAACTAATGAACGAATAGCACAACGGAGAGTACTTGACAGGGAAGAGCTCCATGTTTTTGTTTATCGGATGCATGGCAGTTATGAGACGACTTGACGTATACACAGTACACGCATAGCTCTAACTCTCCCCCAGGGTGAAGGTTTTGCATACTCGTTGAGATTTTCGCTCACTGGAACAGCAGAAGAGCGTGGCTTTGATTCTTGCCAGCTGCGGACAAGGCGCATCGACATCCAGGTAGCCGAAGATGAAGATGAAATAAGGCTTGATGCTTGGTTTAGAAAAGCTAAAGTTCTCGTATTCAAGTCCTCGATGTGTCCCCATCCAGGAGCATACTCGAGAGTTAAATCTGGAGGTTGAGGTGAAGATGCTTATCTTCCTATTCCTGGTGCTGCGCTCTCACTCTGTTATATATCTGTTACTCCAGCAACTTCAATCGTGGTCTCAGTTTGACTCATGGCAACTACACATTCATTAGCGACAATTCATCTAGTTCTACAGTCTTTATTGATAATACGAAGACACCCAGGATGGCGACTCCAAACAAAAATGATACTGTAATATCTGTCATTTCTATTTCCACATCAAGTTCGCTGTCGCTCTTCGTCTAAAAAGTTCCGGTGAAGGGTTCCACAGCCTGCATGGGCGTCCAACTGTTGGCCCAGCGGTTATTGGCTTCCACCCACTTCTTGTCGATGGGGGACACATTCTTAACTCTTCGTCCGACCAGCATGGCCAGTGGGAATACAAAAAACACGGGACCAAGCTCAGCAAGTTACGAGTTTGGTATGAGTACGATAGGTAAAAATCGTAACTATTTTTCTTGTAGAAGTTGTACTTATCAATCTATCAAGTTATGTTTCATTTGAAGATGCAATGTCCGTCGTGCAGCCAGGTCCACTTCTGGCTCTAATTATAGGAGGATCCAAAAGCGGAGGAAATGGTAATAACGCTGCGGAAAGCGCATCTTCATCGAGCACCGCGTCTGGGGCTCCAGGGTCTACAGATGACGAGGATGCCGAAATGGTTTGCTGCGATGCTGCTCCGGATGCTGAGAACACAGCAGAGTCCGCGGATAACGGCAACAACAACACCATTTCATCCACGAGCACTCGATGGAAAAACTTGGCTGCACTGAGTGGCGAGGATGCGTACTTCATTCCAGGGGAATTTTCTTACCAAAGCAGATCCGGTCCGATCCCGCCTCGCCATCGAGGCCGTTTTACTGGTGCCATGGAGTTCGTTCCAGGCACAATTGCAAAGCCAACGGGAGAGCCCTTTTGGGTGGACGTGCCAAATTTCCCTCTGGAATATATCGATGGATATGCATTCTACTGAAAAATAAGGAGCGCACTAGTTGAACCGCTACCACATATCCAGTGCCGGGTACATACACTGAAAGCGATTTGTAATTACATTTAGATCAACACAAATATAACTTTTGCTTTTACTGATTGAAAGGAATTATGCCAGTATCATGCTGGACCTGGATTTGCATAACGAGTACGAATGGTGGTTGTCTATCACATACTGATCTGATCCATTATATTCATGAAGAAAAAGAAGCCCCATTATATATCATTCGGTTTTTGATGTATTCGGGAACTCGCTCTACTTTAGATCAATGTGATTTGTGAGGGGTTCTTCATTTCTTGTATGTTTGGGCTAGTAAGAATGTTAGGCTCGTTACCGATACGACCCCTATGGCCACAATCATAGGATACTATTGTGTTTGTGAGTGGTAGTAGGTACTTATCTTTCTCTTTTACAACATCGAAATTAGGAAATGTGGGAAAGCCATGTCAGAGACACATGAGACTACTTACATACTTCGCTTCAAATCTCCCTGACTGTGATGAGTGGGTCGATACCGACGTAGGTGGACACAGGATGAAGCTTTATGCTTCAGGTCGAAAACAATTGAGTCTAGTTCAGCATGAAATGACTGGAGTAAAAAAGACTAGCGGATGGTCTCAGCAAGATCAGAAGGCAGAGTGTAAACACAACGAATGGGCAGCCTACTTTAGACAGTAATCCTGCTGAGGCTCACACATACATAGTTAGTTCTTTGCTATTAATGTAACAAGCGAACACGATGTTGAATGCTACGAAGTCATGCGGAAGTAAGATCGTGACACAAGCGCATTTCTACCTCACGAAGAAATTGAGAACTACAGGAGCACTACTATGTCAAATGGATACGGGTCAGGGTATTTGGCAGCTCTACCTTCGTTCCATATCCGCTTGAGTATGCAAAACTGTGGACGGCGCATCAAGTTCTATCCTATCCTAAGGGCTTGTTCTTTGTTGCTCGGGGTTCATCCGATAAATTCCGTCACTGTTTTACTTCTGCGCCGATTTTTAGCTGGCCCGTGGGGCTTGGGCTCAGTAGGTTTTCTACAGCGATTGCCGTCGTGCTTAATCGTTTGCGTAGTTGTAGGTGCCTGGCCGTTGTGCTTCAGGTTTCTCGCTCGGGTAATTAAGTGGAATTATGGCGCGAGTAGTAGACCCAGGTAACAACAAAAAAGTCATTCATTCTAGACCATGACGAATGAGTGAGTGAATTGCTCGCAGTGTTTGTGCTGAAGAATTGACTCGTGTCCAAGGGATTATCATCATCATAAGACACCAGAAGTCAGTGCCGTTATCATTTGTTCCTCTCTTGTGCTCTCCTGAAGCGATTCTGTGACTGAAGTTTAGAAAAAATAGAACACAAATACGATTCAGCTGATTCGCAAGCGCTCTCGCAGAGCCTCACACTTAGATTGGGTGCGTTTCACTTATTTATCCACTTCTTATATTTGAATGCGAATGCGAAATACGAACAGCAATGACCATCATAGCCTTCTTTGAGCGAAATATATATGATGATAATATTAGTCTGTACCTAATTATAAGATAATTTCTCTGCTGTAAGAACAGTAACAAGTATGCTAAGTAGACTGGTGTAGTAGAGATTCTTTGATGAAGCCGAAGATGATGTGTCTGCGGAAGTGGATACTTTTACTTCCTGCCCGTCTGTGCTTCGTCTCTTGGTATTGCAAGCAGAGTGCAGTAGCAAGCATAGACAGCGTCCGTGGATCGAAGCCGCGTCCGCGCGTATCTGAGGAGTACAGAAATTGGGCAAGCAAGAGAGCGTTTCATTATGGCTCCACACCCGACACACGTGACGCGTACGCGTGCCATAAGATTCTCTTATAATATTTACGAGAGTCTTCAGTCACCACAAACAATAATGTTCGTCCGTCGAGATGGAATAGATTGTAATCGTGCTGCTGGACTAAATCTAGAAGTTGTCCTAGCTTTGCTCCCCCTTCTAAATACAAGAGCATACAAGAGGAGCCCAAGACCCATGGTCTTCTAGTGTGAAAACTCCTTATCGCAGCCCCTTCGCCCCAGGAGTTTTATTGGTCGAGAGCGAACAGCCGAAGGAAGACGCACAAGATCAGGGACGGCAAACGTCTATGTTGGAGCTGACGCGGACGCTACCGCTTGCTACGATTCATTTATGATTTCATTCTCAAGAACAAGTCAGAGATCTTTGTCTTTTCTTCTTCAACTATGTACATCAGATTAGCTTTTAATTACTCAAAACGATGGCCTCCGACCGCTTGCGGCAGCTTGTTGTGGATTAGTAGAGTAGGAAATTCCCGATGCATACATTCGATGGAAGCACGCTATTCTCTGAGCACTGCTGATGCTTGGTTGAGAGGTATTCTGTCAAATCAACACATACTAGACATAGCGAGATTGAACTCAAATAACTCTACCAGTGGTATCAGAGGGCAGTGCCACGACTTTTAGCAGGAGCCGCTCCAAGAAGATCATGAGTTGTTCTTGTCCGAAGATGGACTTGCTCTTTCAGAGAGCTGCAGCTCTAATCGCTTGTAATGAAATTCTGGAGAGCAGACCGGTTCTGGCTCCATCTACGACGCACGACATAGAATTTCAAGAACGTGATGAAGTTGCTGGGGAAGTAGAAATAGAATCTCAGCAGTTTGATCTAGATCAGCGGACAATTATAGCGAGCAAATTGGAGAAGCTTGCGATGGTGCACTTCAGGATTCATGTCGCGGAGATTCAGATGTCGAGTATCTACGACATTTTTCGTGTTGACGATACGGGAACCGATGTCCGCGGTGGCGGTATGCGCCTCGAGTTTTACGTTGAGCTGGATGAGAAAAAATATAAGCCTGCAGCTGGTGCTTCTGCGGGTGGAGGAAGTCGGAACGACGTTAAGGCTGCTGAAGAGTATTCACTTCCATAGCTATTTAGTTGAGGAGCAGTTCATCTCTGTGGTTGCACTTGTCTGAGTACTTAGATGAAAAGATTTGAAATGTATGAAATACTAGTACTGACTGCAAATTGACAATTACATATAATGATAATTTTGATTGACATTGAGTGATTGACTTCTATGTCCCTAGACGTAAGTCATGAGGCGCTGAGAACCACGGTGGCTTTAGGAAATACATACTGTCACAACTGGATTGATGATCCTGTCTGTTCTAAAACAAGTATTGGAGGAACCAGAACCTCGGATCCACTCATCCCAGGAGTTGAGCGCTATCTGGCGAGAGTGCCTGTGCGCGATCCTTATCAAGTACTGATTATGGCTTGCCGAAATTCATCGTGCGAGGCATTTTTCTTTGGTTCGTCCTACTCTTAACGCGTTGTAGACACTCCGAAGAAGAAGATGACTCTGACTGACGATAAATCAAGATATACTTCAAGTAAACGTTGTAAGCTCTAAATTGCGTAATTGGTACGCAACAGGCAACAGCATTCGAAATCAGTATATTCCTCTTGAACTAGTAAAAAAGGATCCACGAACGAAAGAAATCAGATGGTTCTACGTCCGCCGGGTCTACGAAGCCCCAAACAAGCATTTTGTGGTTGTGCCTGCTCTTCAACACAGGTCCAGTACTTCTAGTTGTTCTAGTTCTACCCTAGGAGTAGCAGCAGGAAAAGCACATGCAGCACATTTTTGTCACGAAGCAGGTTATCGTAACTTCAAGGGTAACGACCAGAGCCAATGTGACGCGAAGGTATCTCCAAGGCTTTCCAATCAAGATTCTTGGCAGCAAGACATTATAGGTCGCGGAAAAACGAAGGGCACGTTTTCTGAAATTCTAGACCTGCGTTTGCAGGATGCAGAGAGCGAAGAGAAACTTCTCTTGGCGCACGTACGCAGGATGAAGCGAACTTCGTGCTTAGCTGGAGACGAGCACCAAGTCGACACTGAGCAGATGAAACTAGTGCATGCAAGTCGACTGTTGCAAGCTTATCTGGGCGAGCTTCTAAGACAGAGCACGGAGTTTACTTTTACAGGGAGCGGACCACGCCTAGTAGATTTTGCTTTACGAACGCAGAGGGATCACATGCGCATGGTGAAGCGGCTCGTCATGGCAGGAGCAAGCTTGCGCACCGATGTGGGGCGTACAAAAGAAGATGAAGATGGCTGCGGCAGTGACGGGGATCACCGCGTAGAAGATGGAGTCCCAGCTCCTGTGGACTCGACTACAGTGAGAAAGCCTACTTCGATGCCTTGTTCAGCCCCAGCGCGGCAAATAAGTGAAAGTGCAAGTGAGGCTTCTAGGAGAAGTGTGACTGCGACTTCTACTCGGATGTTTGATGAAGATCCAGCTCAGCGTGTATCGTCAGCACCTCCCCCTCTGATGGTGCTGCCTCCAATTCTCGTTCCGGCGTTTGCTTCAGAGAGACAAGACGACCTGTTGAGATGCGAAGAAAGCATGCCTCCACCACCAAACACTTCAGCTGAGTCAGAAGATGATCGTAGTAAAATTAGAAGTCCACGAGAAGGTCTTCATCAAGGTCTATGTGCACCTCCACCACCTGAAAGTCAAGAACGATATGCTTCTGGGGCGCAGGGATCTTCTTTTGCTTTTTTGTCTTCCGCTTTCGCGCTGTCACCGCCGCCTGACGGGAGGGTCAATCCTACTCGAGGACTGCAGACGAAAGACCAGCATCTTCATGACCACACGACCGCAAAGACGACGCCCTTGCGCGATCTTTTGTTACAATTTTCTCCTTCGCCGAAGCAACGTAGAGATCATTGTTACTACAGGAGAACCGGCAAACGGAGTCAGGACGGCCGTCTACGCACGTACCGCCAGAATCCCGGAAAGAGAACAATAATGATGAAAGCAGGTCATACTAATGAAAATACTTGCTCTTCTCCTACTCCTACCGGAGAACCTGTAGCTGTACTACAGCGAGAATGTGCAAGAGGTCCTCTTTCATCTACCTCATCGCCAGTGGATGGAGGATCATTGCAGCGATCGTCTTATGCTCCCTCTGATGAAACTCGCTCGAGGCGCCGAAGTCCCGAGCTCTATTCTTCGGGGAACGCTATTTATGGGGAGGTTTTTGGCGTTCCTGTTACCGTGTGATGACTCTCTGCAGTAGGAGGGAAAGCATAACTAATGCGGTAATGAAACACCAAAAGCCTACCTCTGCCTCTCTAAGCTAAAGAGGCAACATCAAGCCCCAAGTCTGATGAAGTAATATCCTGTAAGTGGGGGCGAAATTATGAAGAGCGCCAGGAGCAGTGCTACTCTCCTGCCGGACCCAGCTGTCCTATAATAGTAGCGTTGCCACAACCGCCGGACGCTGCTGGAGGTTCGCCCGGGCCTTTCCCTGGTTCTCTCACAACTGACAGCCTCCCTGGAACCTCCACTTCCTCGCGAGACCTCCCGCCCCGAGATATCTTTGATGGGATTCTTCTTGATGTTTCTCCTCGCGCCAGTGTCAAAGAAGCTGCACATCGCGATGGCGGTCGTAGTAAAACGAATTTTACTATGAAATGCGGAGCAGGTCCTAGTAGCTTCAATCGAGTAGGTGTTGTTGAGCAGCGTGCGGCGTGCCAGAGGCAGATGCCATCTCGTTCACCACCACCTCTCACGTCCTTGGATGCAAGTATTGCCAGACATGCAGCGCCGCCCGCCCCACCCTCTCGTCCAAAATGTGCTCCTCAACACAGGACGTTGGAGCAGCTTCGGGCGGAGGAGGGGCGACTCAAGCAGTTAAAGGAGGATGCGGAGGCTGCGAAGCTCACCGAGCTCGCAAGCGTCGCACGTGGCGCAGTCCGGCAGGACCTAGGAGAATACCTTCCAGTAGATGCAGTGATTCATTGGGACTCTGATGCAGAGTCTAGGGGGGACCCAGTGCGCGAAGTGAAGATTACAGAACCTGATCTGCGTTGGGGAGTGTTGACACAAATCAGAAACCTTGCTGGCATCTTTGAACTGAGCGGGACCTCCTTGCCGCGGCACAATCCCTTCAAAGATCTAGTGGACAGACGTGGAGAGATTTTAGCTGAATTGAAAAGAGCGCGAGCGGATATTGCTGAGCAGGAAGCAAAAAAGCAAAAGGTCAGGAGTCTCATGCGTCAAGCTCAACAGCACTCTACTTATTTGGGAGGAGAGGAGGTGTTGTCTTCTTACGCCGCACTTGCAACCTATATCGACCACGAAGAGTTGTTGGCCTCCGCGCTGCAACTTCCACAACGACCATCCTTCTTGACTACATCACCGGATCAGAATCGATCACCTCTGCACGACATCAATGCGAGTGCAACGCCGACCATTCCCGAAAAACGAAGGTCTGTGACTGAGTTGGAGTCGATGCTTTCACACATCGAGGAGGTTATGGTGCCCATGGTACGCGCGGAATGCGCAAATGGCCATCGCAAAGCTATCTTGCATCTGGCAGAGCTTGGCTTGCTGCATAAACTTAGCAGTGTCCCGCTCTTTTCTCAGGCAGTGCGAGGGGAGGAAACAGTAACGGAAGATGACGAGCAAGTAGAGAAGACGACACCGACAGTCGCAGAAGATGGTCCATGCGAAGAAGATCTATTTCCTGCGCGCAGACGAGCTACGGAGGAGCAAAAAGAAGAAATACAAGACAACTTATCTCCCTCTCCTTGGTTAGATATGGACGATTTTTCCCCGAAATCCGAGATGAAACCTAGCGAAGCAAGGGCAACCCTAAGAACCATGAGCCCTGAGCTGCCTACGGTTGTGCCTTCCTTTTTGCGAAGAGAGGACCTGATCGTGCCTCGAGGAGCAGAAACACAGGACGGCAATAGTTCTTACGTTGTTGTGGATGATATCATCGAAGATCATGCTTCTACCATGCTTGGGGCGGAGGGCGCGCAAGATATTATGGCGTCAGATCACGCTCACGGGGAGCAGGAGGACGTCGAGGATGAGCACACTTGTGGTAGTTCGTCTCCTGCCCGAAACCAATTTTCCACAAGGATCGGATCAGAGCGACCAGAACAGACCAAGAAGACAAGACGTGGACGCGAGAAGAAGAAAAGAAAAAGGAGCGAAAACATCTACAACAAGGACGATGAAGATTCTCGTGTCATTGAAATGCCAGGGCGGAAAAAGACCGTTCGTTTTCTGGCAAGACAGACGCTGTGGCAAGTTGTGATTGAGAACGCGGACCTGGAAATGCTCGAGGCAATGTTGCGAGGTGCGCGAGTGCGGAGTGAACGGCCGGCCTTCGCGCCTAATCTAGAGGAGGTGCCTGCTGTGATTTACTTCGCCCTACTCTGGTATGCAGAGAGTGGGCTGCAGAAGTTGGCGAAGCGGTTTGAAACCGCTGTCCAGAGGACGAAAGCGGAGATTGAAATCACCTACGAGGAGTCAGACGAATCGGCGTCGGCGACTACCGCAGACGACGATAGCATAGTTAAGGGTAGGCTTTCGGTTTCGGTCTTCCTGTCACTGATAGCCTTGCTTTCTTTGAGGGGAAAAGCATAACTGCGAACGAGGTCAGGTAACACCGAAGCGGCCCCACCTCTAACATAACCTCGACCACACCGGCAGGCTTTGGCGCCGGGCCGTCCGCTAGTGGATCTTCACTTTCCGGCAATGAGCGGGGTTCCTTTGGAATGACCATATTTCACGGAGCCGCTGCTGCTGTGTCGCGGGGAATGGAGCAGGCCGGGTCGAATGGAGCACAGTTGCAGCATGATAGTGCAGAATATATTCCAGAGTTCGACGCTTCGACCATGTTGGATGTGGTACACTCGAAAGAGCCTTCACTAGCTCGAGAAGCTGCGGCATTGCTGCAGCTACGGGAGCGCTTGCTTGGACGAGAACGACAAGAGTTTCGACTTTCGGAAACTAGACTCGTTCGGGCGGTCAGTCGTGCGGTAGAAGAATCTGTACTAGGAGAATCGCAGCAAGAACAAGGAAATGTGCAACAGCAGCAAGATGCTGCTGACACGACTATGACGCAACACGGTGTTGATGATGGCGCTGAGCGCAACTCTGATTCGACCAGTTTGGAAGACTTGGGCTATTCAGCTGATGAAGTTCCTGGCGGCCAGAGTGTCTTTTTCTTAAGAGACGTATCGACAACATCAACGAATGTTACTTATTTATCTTTGAAACTTTGCAACTCAATACTAGGATGAAAATAAGAGTCCATGGTGGATGAATTCCAGATGTGGCTGCGGTGCCTCTAATTTTTGTTCGTAAGCGACGATCTTCATGTCGAACTGGTGGAGATGACGATCATCGGGGCGGGAAGTTCCCATCCACCTGCAGTGTAACGAAGAGAACACAACATGTCGTTGATGAAGAAACGCGGCACCGACGAGACGCGCTACTTTTAGAGGAGGAAGTCGAACCATTGTGGCTCGCAGACGCGCTCAAGGGCATTGGGAATCTGCTGCCTGACCCGCAGCGTGACCATGATGATCAGCTTATTACTGATTTGTTAGAAGGAAGGCATAGGCAGCTTAACCTAAACGAGAGTCTTTATATAACTTCTGCAGATCATGTTGATAATGCAAGCGATTCCGAGCAGAATGCAAGCCACTCCGCCTCTGAAGCCGAAAGTCTTCGTTCAAACGAACAGAAAAGTTCCGAAGGACAGCGCTCGGCTTCGTTTAGTACCGAAGAAGAAGATGACGGAGAGAGTGCACTGGAGGCGCGACGACGGTACGAAAAAGAGCGGGCTTTCGCAATGCGCGAGTTGTTCGAAAATCGCCAGGCGTTGCGCAAAGTCCTCGAAAATCCCAGCTTTCGTGGCATTTTGGAAGGCGCCAGCGCTTCTCCCCAAAACCAAACAACTACCCCGGCTGCTTCAAGCGACGGCGATGCTTCTGCGTTTCCTTTTTTTTTGGGTCCCGTTTTAGATGGCAAGCCTCCAGCAGGTTGGCCCGAGGTGCCAGTGGCGGGTAGAATCCATGCGCGAACACTCCGCATGGCAAGCTCTGAGAAACCCGTGGATCTGAGCTGGTGGGGCCGCACGACATTCGAAAGAAAGCGGGAACGAGCCGCAAGAATAGCCTTGCAGGTGGAGGCGAACGCCCTGGTCGTCTCGGAGTGGCGGATAAGACGCGGACTACAAGCAGCAGCACCAGCAGCCTTGACTAAAAAAAACGAGAAGAAGGACTTCTATCACAGAAACACTACTTCCTCGGGGACGAAAGGCTTCTCGACTATTCGCGAATGGCCACGTCGGCCCTCAGGTGGACCAGGAATAGCAGCCCGTTTTCCTTCGGTGAAGAAAGGCAAACACGAAGTGGTACTCTCGAATTTTAACCATCCCGTGAGCGCCACGGCATTGCGGCGGCCATTCGTGGCGATGAAGGAAGTACTCGGTTGGCAATTGGCCGAAGATGCATCTCGGCTGGACTTGAAGCACGTGGATATCCAGATACTAGGCAACAGAGAGGCTGCGAAGCGCTGGTGGGAGACTGTGTACGACCCAGAAATCAGACATCGGCAGCAGAGCGATCGGTATGAGGCGGAAGTGAGAGTGAGCAGAAAAGTCGAAGCTCTATTGGCTACTACACAAAAACAGCAGGGAAGGACAAGGATGAGGGCATCGACGCGCCTACAAGAACGAGAGGATTCTGCTCTGGGAGCGACTACAACAAGAACTGTCGACAAGAAAGCTTCGATCAATAAAACAACTACATCATCAAGGACTTCAACTGCCGCAACAGCAACTGGTGCAACAAAAGAGTTAAAGTTACAAAACGCTGGAGTTGTGTGGAGGGCATTGCCGTTATACGGGACGTCGCCTCTAGCTTGGTCAGAGTTTTTGGACGAGCAGGGTGTGGGCTTCTCCGCGCTCAGTATTGCAGTGAAGTCGAGAGACGTCTCCTTTGCTGCATTCCTCACTGATAACGGCGCGGACCGCGATCAAATGCCCGGATCCACGTTGGACCATTGGGCGGATTTTGCTCCTGCAGAAGAAACCTGGGATCCGCTGACAAGGCATGTGGTAGACAAGTACTTGTTTGCTACTACGAGGGAGTCAGTGTCGGGAGATCCAGATCGTCTTTCTCACGAGCTACCACCATCACGCAGAGGTGGCGCAAGTTCCAAGTCAAACAGCAGCTCCCTCAGCACTACTGGGCGCTCTTGCACGACGGGCGCTGAACCTTTTGAGCGTCACGACTATGAATACCAGTCTTACAACTTGCACGCGAGTCTCCAACCCCTGGGAGGATGTCTCTCCGCAAAAGCTGCGTTGGGAGCAAGAGCAAAGCAGGGCTCTAAGAGGATGGAACGGCATGGTGAATGTCCCATGGATTATGTCGACACCGAGTATGACGCTTTAGCTGCCACTGCAGACGCAGGAGGTGGATCATCCCTTTACCAGGGGGGCGGGAGTGAAAGCGCGCGCAGCAGCGATTCCCAAGAAGGAGGTCGTGGATACAGCGGAGCCACGACGTGTCCCGAAGACGAGAATCCGAACCTTCCTCCTCTCGCGAACGTTGGTGTACTAGCGCGTGAGGGAAGCAATATTATTACCGGTGCGAACGCGAAGAAAATGAAAATGTCAGCGAAGCAGCAAGAGTTGTGGACGCTAGAGAAATTGCGGACAGTGATGACAGTGCGACGTCCAGTTGCGTGGCACTGTACTCAGGTGCTTCGGGCGCAACTACCTTGGTCTTAAGGCTGCAAGAAATGCATTTTGGTATTGTTCCCCAGCATCGATTTTGGTCATTTTTTTAATAATCGGAAATCAACGGGAACCAAGACCGATGGGTCTCAAGGAAGGTTTGTGGTAGTTCTAATTTTATCGCATCGTTTCGTCAGAATCGACAGTTGGAAAATGAAAAGGGGCGTTTGCCGCACAGGAACAGGAGGGAAGGAGGTCCTTGGTATGCAAATGCATTTTGACGAGCATAGGATGATACCAGACTACGCAAAAACCGGTGCGGACTCCTGCTCGAACGAAGGATCTTCGACCCCTGCTGCTCCTGCGGGAGATGGGCGAAAGATTTCGCAAAGTGTGTGTAGCGCGCTCCTCTGGAGATCTCGGAGGAACAAGCCTCCCAAAAACGCAATAGACGATCCTTGGTTACAGCGGGAGCACTTGTGTACACTTCAGAAGCACGCTAGACCTAACCGGTGTAAGAGTCCCAACAGAGTGATGTACATGGATCTTCTTCATCCGTATACAGCCTAAAAAGATAACTTTTAAGATGTACTTCATTTTTGGCGTCGCAACTTGTTTACCAGACAGATAACTCAGGAGGAACTATCTCGTTGAAAAATTACAGATTTATTATCTCATAGATGATTATACCAAACGATAGTGGATTGGGATTGAGTGGTGATTCGTAATATTTTCGAAGTCTGGTTTCATTGTTTTCGTTAACAGCCTGAGTCTAAGTAGTGAGTGGTCTTTCACTTTCCTCTTTCTCTCCATATCTTCCTCGCACCGTCTTTATATATTGAATGAGAGAACCAGAACTCGGCTTCATCACTATCTCTATCATGGAAGATCACTAGCAGCAGCAGTTTGGTACTGGCTAGTCCTTGTAATTTCTCTAGTAGTTCCACTTGCAGTACTAGCAGTATCTTCAGACTACTCAGCTTTACTGAAGAATATCTGAGTTCTTCTATCAACATCTACAACATAGGTCGCGGTAGTAGACTACAACATATAAAGATTCTTCATTATCGATCACGCTCGCGGTCGTAGACTACGCTAGCTCGTCTATGAAGACTGACGTTGGTCCGTCGCAGCAATTGGCACAAATATAATTTATTTGATATATTTTTTTTCTCTGAGGAGGGTTTTGAGATTGAGCTCTTCCTTCTTTTATTGTATTGATTGTTTTAACATGTAGCCACATTGCTGATGCAACTGTAAATATTCAGCGGTTGCACGTGCTGGTCGTGCATGCACATTGTCCAAGCAGAGTATCTGCATCAATTCATAAGAGCAAGGCGAGCCACCTGGATTCGGGGCGAGTGCCTCCTCAAAGATATTTCAACTCGGTATGCATCCAGAGTACTGAGCATGTTCCGATCATAAGAACATCTATTGAAAGTTCATCCTTGGTACACTGTTGTTACATTCTGTGACTTCGCTGCCTGCTCCGTTTGTTCCTCGCGCGTCTGTCTTCCTGTGTTTCCACTGAGGAGAAAGGTCACGTGGTCGGCTGCTCTGTCTCGTTTATCGGTCGCCTCCCCTCGACTTAGGTATGAACACTCCTCGAGAGTTGTGCTTTTCTTGTGCTCTTGGATTGTATTCGAACTATATCCAGATCCCTTAATTTTCGCCGTAGCTTCGCCCTGTTCAACGGTTCGGAAAAGGTTGGCTCCGCAGGTTTATTCCTATCGTAGCGTTCTCGCCTGTCGTTCTGCATATATCGCCATCATTCGCCACCATCTTCTTCGTCAAGAATATCTTCCGGAACAAGTACATGACGAGTCAAAAAATCAGTGCGACTCGAGATGTACTGAGTTTGAGGAGGCGGCTGCTGGGGACGATGCAGCTGTGTTCAAGAGACTGGCAGAGAACAAGGCGTCCTGTGCGTGTCGGGGTCGGACCTAGATGAAGGGAACCACTGTCATAGGCGAGATATGGTGATTAAGCAAGGCAGTGAAGACTCGTCGCCCAGCGGTGCAGAGGAGGCCAACCCAAGTTCCCCCTCGAAGAGGACACAGGGCGCCGCCTTGCGCAGACGAAAATCCTCCTCGATGCCCGTGTCTCCAACCGCCAAAGAGAGAGCAGGAGTGGTGGCAGTGGAGTTGGATGGCACAGCGCATAGGGGAATCAGCGCGTCGCTGGACGTGGGTCGCCAGGCTTCTGAGGACGCGAAGTTTCGCTTCACGCAAGCAGAAAAACTAGAAATGATTGCTGACAACAGTCGATCCCGTTCTCCCATTTCGGCGGCCCTGGATAGCTACTTCGGGATTCTCATTTTCGTGAACATGATTATTCTCCGTATCGAGACGGACCACGGGGACAGCTACCCACCTGGGCCTGGCCCTCAGTCGCCCCTCTGGTGGCTCGAGACCGTGGTTGTGTGTTTCTACTGGCGGATAACGTATGAGCCAATACCCTTAGTGGAGGTTCGAACACAACCCACGACGAAAGAGCGCGCCTCTGAGGCTGCGGCGAGACACCTGGAGCGAAAGCCCTGGAGAAACCCGCAGTCAGAGAAGGGTTGCACATGAATCCTATGCCTCTGGATCATCATGAGGGAGAAAACACGCAAATCGTTGCTGTTGGTTGATAAAGACTGCATAATTTGTAAGTACACAAATATTCGCATATCAATATGACCTTTACGCGCTTATTTTCATACATTCGAAAAATGAAAATCGCATTTTTGAATGCAGTGCGGGGGGGGAATCAGTGTCCGCGTGCGATTGATTAACTGAGTGTCGGCGCGGCAGTGAATTGGGACAAAAAGAAGTTTTAGTATCTACCTATGTATTTCTTTTTTATTAAATGAGCCTCCCGCTCCCGTATGTAGATAAATCCAAACCAATCTAGTAAGTAAAGATTTTCCTTTTCCGGTCATGACGTATTTGATGGAGGTACCCAGGATCGACATCGAGGACACAAGAATAAGGTTGTTGTAGATATAATGAAGGCATGCCGCAATAAGGCACCCCAGCACCAGTCGCCCACTCGATAGCAGGGTGGGCAGACATCCCTTTTCTAGATAGAACTAGTTGTTACTCTTACTCATGCAAGAACTCGACTAATATCTTCATGACCATGATCTACAAAACCCAAAAATAAGCAGAGAGACGTTCGTCAGATTCCAGGCTCCACTATATGGGACGCTTCCGGCGCCTTATGCTAAAGTGCTACCATTGGAGCATCATGCGAATGAGTGTATTATATCCCTCATCACTTTTTATCCGGGGGAACGACAATTTTTTACAACTACAAGAATGAACAAAATGAAAATATAATTCAATCACAACAATTGCTTGATCTTGATGTGTCATGTGTGCAACTACATATTGGCGTATTGGTCTTGTAAGCAAGAAGATTGGGAGGTCTGTCATCTGTCCTGACCTTCACGGTTATTACTTATTCTTTTTTATGCCCTCGTCTTATTAATTTGGAACAAAGCTCGTAAAAGCAGGTAAAACTGTGGATGGCGGATCAGATCCTTAATCCTTAATGACGTCCGTGAGTGTGGTGCAATGAAGGCAGAAGCAGCCGCAGCAGCATTGCTAGGAGTGTGGCAGCCACTATTGATTCATTGAGCAGTGGCGGACATCGGTACTCATGGCTAAAAAAAACAGGAGGTAACTAAGCCTTTTCAACCTGAGGCACTATTCTTTCTAAGCAGCAAGCTCCAATAGGACATCATTCTTTTCCATACTATTTGAAGCCCTGCCTCCTCCACACAAAAGAAGCTGATATTATTGTACTTATCAACGGCCCACAGCACTCCACGACCAACAGCCACATCACATATTAGAAGCAAATACGAACTGTCGTGAATGTACAAATCTTGATATGCATGTATTAAAAATCTTATAATCTTTGATATTAACAACTACTTCCTTGTTAATAGAAGTGTTAGTTTCTTGGAACAAGATGAGAAGTCACCGGACCTCCTCCGTGATGGGGGTGCTGACCAGGATCAGCCTGGTCACTACATGCTGTTGTTATTCTAGCATCGCAGTGTCCTCTGGTGAGGAGAACCTGCTTACATAGTAGCATGATGCAGTGCGACTTTGATCTAGTTTGTAGTGAGTGCTGTAATCACAGTTGTGGTAGTATGCGCGAAGAGTCAGGACAGTTGGCAGGTACAGCGAAAAAATACGTACAACTTCTTTTCTGTTAGTATACAACAGCTCAAGTCTGCTGTGTGGCGTGTAAAATTGAGTGAATAAATCCTATATTTGACGATGTTGAGCTTAAATGAGAGATCAGATGATGAGCATGAGGTTGGTGCCTTAATCACCTCGTGGAGGTACTTCGCATGCCTACGCACTTGACGTTATTGACTGTCTCTCAAGAATATTGGTTCTGTGTCTGAGAGCAGAAGAAGAAGTGGTCTGAGTTAATATATTCTGTCATTGAGCGGAGAGATGTTTCTAGTGAGGTGTGCATGTCATGCTTTTTGTCTGTCTCTGATGATGAAATTCTGTTTTGTGAGAAGAAATTTTTAAGTTGAATCGAGTATAAATAATTTGTTGCTACTTTACATACGTACAGCAACAACAACAAGCGACATTATCGGCTGTCTCCGTTGGTACAAATTATCATGGAACAGGCATCCATAATTCTACTCCCCTCTTTCCAATATTTTCCCATATTAAGAGGACTCTCCTACTCCTTCCCGTGTAGCTTAAATAAGTATTCAATACTTAGTATTGTTTGTGATAATCTCCATCACCATCCATCTTTAAAGAAGAAGGAGACATGCTTCCCGAAGAGCAAGACCTTCGTTATTGTGATTAATTTTTTTTGCATTTTCGAGCCCCCAATCCATATCTTCTACTTCATCTCTCTTTGTGTTCCTATTCATTTTCTTCTCGACGACATCAGCCAAGGGAAAAAGAGCAGAGGAGTTCTTGCGAAACGAACGCTGCGAAGATGTTGTCAGGTGCTTCTCAACAGAAGGACCTGCGCCACGTGCGCAAAGGGCCAGAGGCGAAACAGCTGGACCTGGAGAGGGACGTGCCGGCTTATATGCTCGATACGATTCCGATCCGGGCTTTTGCAGTGAGACGACGCATTTTTCCGATGTTGGCGCGGGCGAAGGCATTAGCCGAGGAATTTGAGACGCAACGGCGCAAGCAGCTGGAGCAGCAGGATAGGGAAGACCACGAACACAGGGCAGATGCACAGTTGTCGCCCTTGGATGAGCAACAGGACTTCGCAAACAAAACGTCCTTGTACCAGCTGATACAATCAGTGCGCAGGAGCGGCAACAACAATCTCTCCTCGTCGTCGAACAATACCTCCAAAACTGGACAAGATGGGGGAATCAATGGAGCGGCTGGAAATACTGGTATATTCTACGATTCGTACTTATATAGATGAAATAGGAAGTGAGTTTCGTAACTCCCCTGCCCCTCATTCTAGTATCAGGATGATAACAAGGAGTGCTTTTCACAGTGAGAAAATTTCTATAGGACCCTCGATAAGCGGCATTAGAGATCATGATGATACTATCCTCAGTGATTTAACGAAATTGATGTTTTTGGATGAATATGCCGCTTCGCGGGCCCTTTCATCTTTTCTCTGCTTTTAGTGCAATAGTTCATTATGAAGAACGACATTGATCATCACGAGCCGTCCATTTTTCGAAAACAGCAGCCACGGGCAATGGCGCTGGAGGAAAGTCCAGCAAGACGGGTGATAGGCCTTCGACGAGCGGCTCGTCCTCTTCGGGACACGGAGCCCCCTCAGGGGGCGGCGGAGCGAACGACGGCGAGAAAAAGAAGACCACGAAGCGCGTAAGTATCGCGGTCGCGCTAGAGGAGTTTTTCGATATGGCCAGTGGTCTCGCGAAAACGCAGATCGAGAAGACCAAGAAGGGCGCCAGTAGTCGGGACCAGCTCACCGCGAAGAAGATTGCGCGCGCGCGGAGGGGCCGCAAAAGTTGGTTCTTGGTGAAGGACCTCTGCTTCAAGCAGACCGGTGAAGACGCAGAGCTGTTCCGCGAGTTCAAGAAGGCCATGCTCGATCCTATGACTCGGTGGAAGGCCCAGGGATTCGCGCCCTACACGGATAAGCAGGACATCAAGCGCCAAGCCATCGTGATGGCCGACCGCACCCGCCATGACCGCTTTTACAACGAGAAATATCTTGACACGCGAGAGCTCATGTTCTGGCACGGTCCCAAGATGGTAGCCGTAGCGGATCGGGTGGAGCGCGAAGAATATGCTGTAGCAGATGAAGCACTACGGCAATGGCACCGCGACGCGGACACCATCCGAAGGATGTCGGAAGCGGATCCGGACATCACGGAGCAGGACATGCAGCAGGCCTTAGAAGACCTAGGCGACAAGCCGAAGCTTCCCAAAAAACCCCTGGAGGAACGCATCGCAACCACGCTCTACGGTATTTCTATTTGTACTTCCATAAAGTAGACCCGCCGATCCAGTTGCAGGCTTCGCTCTCATAGTTATCTTTCGTCATCTGATTCTGAATGAATATCGTGCATCGACTTCGAAGTCCTTCCGTTCGATTTTAGATGTTTTTGGATTGATGAGCAAGACACAGAAGTAGTGGCATTCTTTTTTCGAAGATCTCTCTTCGAAGATCTCTCTGTCAAGAGCAGTATTCATCACGTTCAAGTTCATGATGACATCATGAGATAAAATATACACTCCACCGATGCGTATCACCACAGGTGTCTCGGACCCACCGGGAGTGCATCAATTCGCTAGCCTGAAGCGTCTTAAGCTGGTCGACAAGGACATGGAGCTGATGAAGACGCAGGCCAGATTGCGACAGAGTATGCAGCTCTGGGGTCCAATTGCCGGAAACCAAATGCTAGCGATTATGGGCGACGGGTTGCGACCACAGGATAAGAACCGGCACGGCCGTGGTAGAGAGCGATCCTCGACGAGCATCCATGCGGATAAGGGTGAGACTGTGCAGATCTTGACGCTGCAGGAGAAAATTGAGCAGTCTAGCAGTGGAGCGATAGATGTGGAGCGTTTTCTGACGTTCGTGATTGACTATTTCGGTTCCCTGAAGAAAGTTTTTGATGCCATTGCGACCAGCGGCGCCGGCGACGAAGACCCAACGAAAATCACGAAGCGCCGCTTTACCAAGTATCTGTGGGATGCGCTTCGGCTAGAAGCGAGTTTGCTTTATTCCTTTCTGGACGAGGAGCATCGAGGCTACTTCACATTCGACGACCTCTACAGCTTCATGCCCTATCTTCAGGATCTGGTAATCCGGATCGCCGCAGCTGCTCCACCGTCGCCCCCACGTGCGTCGGATGCTCGCAGCAGCAGCGGTAACGAGGACACAGCGACCGCGTATGACAACGAGTCCGAAGCACCAGCTCCGACAAGCACGACGCAACTCACTGCTGTCGCGACTTCTAAAACGGTCATGGACAGACAGGCAAAAGTGGTAATTAGAACTTGAGAGATTTTGAGTATTTGAATATTGAGAGAGTAGGTCGTCATATTTGGCAGCTTCGCATGATCATGCGTAAGCGTATGAATTATTAAAGTGGTACGATGACATAAGTATTCAGCGTCATCCTATTACTGAAGTTTGCTGCCGGCGCTATCTTGAATCACTAACTCACTGACTTCATTACGTTTTCACACTTCTTGCAGGACCGTAGTTCGAACAAGAACGTGAAAGTGCAGATGGCAGTGCAACAGCGGCAAAAGGCTGAGAGTGCAGCAAAAGCGAAGGATGCACTGGGACGCTTGTCTAATCGGATGCATGGTGACGGTCATTCCAGCGGAGGGAGTGCTTTGTCCGGCTCGCCGCCTGGATCGGCACCCTCCGGCTCGGCAGGCGGCTCCGCCGGCAGCGTGGGTCTCGGCGGTTTGCTGGGCACAACCACGAGCAGTGCCGGTGGGAAATTAGACATCACTGGATCAAGTGCACACTCTGGAAAAGACCACGGCTCCAGACCCACAACGACCTCGTCCTCCGCTGCCGGTGAGGGGCGCACTAATGGTACCGGCACCGCGGCGAGTTCGCGTCCGGATTCCGTCTCGAGCCGTTCCTCTCCTGGCTACTTCGCGAGCCGCGTGAGCACGGAGACCGCGCGCGCCATCGACATCTTCGCTGACGTACGCGAGCAGATCGGCAAAGGAAGCGGTGGGACCGGTTCGAGCAAGGGTTCCTTCGAGCAGCTCTTTAACTTGTCCAAAAAAGAGCGAACCGCGCCCACAGGCGATGTCTTCGTTGAGCGTGCGCGCAACGGGTACAAGAAGCCTTTGATGCTCTTCATGCACCAGCTGGACACGGGCGCACAAGGTTGTCCCAAGGCACCTAGTTGCGTCATGTTCCGGGGATCGGAGCATGTGAAGAAGTTGCAGATCGTCCTGAACCTAGTTCAGAAAGTGTGTCCGCCGCCGACGGGACGCGCGAAGAAACTTTTCGACGCATTCACAAGAGAGCGCATTCTCGATGTGCGGGACCTGAAAGACGGCGGCCACTACGTGGTATGCGGAGACGCGATCTTCAACGTCGAGAAAACCATCTTTTCAGGCAAAGATTTCATGGTGGAGACTGACTTCGACAAGGATGCGGTGACGCCCTTGCCTGCCTTCTTAGAGCAGGTCCAACACTGGACCGATGACAAGTTGCAGCGCGTTCGCGACCGCCTTCTACCCTCTTCGCAGCCGCACTTCGATCTCTTCGAGACACAAAAGATGCTAGACGAGACTGGCGGGGAGCTACAGGATCATCGTCCAATCACACCCGGCAGTGCCACAGGGCGCTCCTCCTGCTACAACAACTTCCGCCCCGGCGTTGCGAGCGTGGTGCACCAAGGTTCGGCGATCAGCTTGGTGCCGCGAACAGATGAAGATACAGAGCAGCAAATCTTGGCTGGAAACAAAGCGAAGCAGAGGAGAGTGCACGCCATGGCTATCGCAAGCGCAGGGGCTCTGAATCGACTTCCGACGCAGGCGCTGTTTGACATCGACGATTTTCAAGACCGACAACCGTCGAATTCGCGCCGCGCGCGTGCTATTCGCGGCATCACCTACGCATCGACTTTGACTGGCGAGGACCAAACCATGCAGATGCTGGGAGAGGGACCCGACGGACCTCCTCAGATGTTCAGCGGCCGCGATGCCGCAACAGAACGTCTAAACGCGTTAGCGCTGAACGACGACGAAGAGGAAGGTGGCGATTTTGTCACGATGAATGAGGACGTTGGCATGGATTTGATCACGCCTTCGTACGCCTACGGAGACACGAAGAGAGCGGGCAGCAGTAGCAGTGGCATTCCTTCGAGGACTCGCAGCATCGATGCGAATAGGAATGCAGGAGGTTTGCCACCATCGTCCCCAGCACGCACTGATGGAGCCGGCAGTGGTGGCGACCCCGACATCCACGCGCTCAATATCAACTTGCTTGGCGACGAAACAGAATCCATGCCGCAGCTCCAAGGTGAGTTGGATCCAGCCGCCCCTGGCGAAAGTAAAGCTGAGCTCGACGAATGGTTAGCGGGCTTGGACCCAGACCAAGCGAATTCCGCTGCCACGAAGTTGCAATCTAGAAGACGGCAAAAAGTGGCAAACAGCACTGTGAGTGAAAAGCGGACAGAAAAAATGAAAAAGCAAGAACATCAAAAGTGTCCGCCAGCTTCTAGCAGTACTCTCCAGGGGGGCACCAGCGAGAGGCACACGACAACGACCAGTAAGAGCGAAGAGGGCGAAGACTTGGACGAGTGGCTCAAGTCCCTTGGCGAAGGCGCTGACGCTGCAGCCTCGCGCTTACAAGCAAGACGTCGGCAGAAGACTGCTGCTGCAGAGGCTCGCCGGCGTCGTGCGCAGAAGGCGAACGACGCGACGCGCGAGGCGAATGCCAAAGCTGAGGCCGAGCGAAAGCGTCAGGAACAAGAAGACCTAGAAAATTGGGCTATGTGTCTGGGTGAGGAGGCCAATGAGGCTGCCACGAAGATGCAGGCGAAGCGGCGTCAGCGAGCAGCGGCCGCCGAGGCGAAGGCCCGGCGCGCGCAACGTGCACAAGAGAAGGAGCGCTTGGATGCGCAGCAGCGTGAAAAGCAAGAGCTGGACGAGTGGATGCAAAATCTCGGCGAAGAGGCCGAAGCTGCAGCCTCCAAGCTCCAGGCTCTGCGCCGTAAGAAGTCCGCATCCGAGGAGGTGAAGCGAAAGCAGGCGAAAAAACGCGCTGCGGAGGACCAGGCGGCGAAAGTCCGAAAAGAGATGGAAGAGGTCCAACAGTGGGCAGCAAGTCTTGGCGACGACGCCAATGCGGCAGCTAGTAAATTGCAGTCCAAGATCCGCGCTAGAAAAGCGGCAGAGGAGGCAGCCAAGGAAAAACAGGAGCAAGAGCAGAAGAGAGAGGCTGACCGTGAGCGGCGCAGGCAGGAGATGGAACGCCACGATGAAATCATTCATGGCGGCCACACGCCTCGAGAAGCAACGCCTGAAGACGCGGAAGAGCAGGCTGCTCTTGAAAAGGAGAAAGCAGAAGTCGAGGCGTGGGCAAAGGATTTAGGAGAAGATGCAGACAGAGCTGCGACGAAGCTGCAAACGCTGCGTCGACAGAAGGCCGCACGGCGTGAGGTGTCGAAGAAGCGCGAGGCTAAGATGAAAGAGGAAGCTGCCAAGAAAGAGCAAGAAGAGATCGCTGCGTGGGCTAAGGACTTGGGAGAAGAAGGTAATGCCGTTGCGGTCAAAATGCAGGGTAAAGCACGTCAGTGCGCTGCGCGAAAGGAGGTAGAGAAGAAGCGCAGCGCCAAGAAGGAAAGCGACGCCGCGCTTGAGAAGAAGCGCAAGGAAAAGGAGGAGCTGGAAGTCTGGACGAAGGAGCTTGGCGCCGAAGCCGACGCTGCGGCACTGAAAATGCAAAATGTGCAGAGGCGAAAGCAAGCTTCTCGTAAGGTGGAGCAACGTCGATCCGAAGTGAAAGCGAAAGGAGAAGCTGAAGCTAAGAGAAAAGCAGAACAAGCAGAGCTCGGCGATTGGGTCAAAGGGTTAGGCGACGATGGTCACGAAGCGGCGTTGAAAATGCAGAAGATGCAACGCCAAAAGCTGGCCAAACGAGAGGCACAACGCCGGCGAAACCAGGGCAAGAAGGAGCTGAAGCCGTTGCTACCGGGGCAGTACCGGGAGCCCTCTGCACCGATCATTTTTGACTCGGATGACGAGCAGCAGAAGCGCGAGGAGGGAGAACTGAAAATGGAAGTCAAAAGGGTCCCGCAAGCTGTGACTGATGCTGCGGAGCAAGCTGAAGCTCTTCCGGCGACCACGTCTGCAACTGCGGCGGTCGCTGTTGCTGAGCAGGTCACTCAAGAAGGAGAGAAGCCCACCGTCACTGGACCTGTGGGTGCGGAAGCCGACGAGTCTAGTCCCACTGCCCTGACAGGTACCCAAGCGACAACTATTGAACCAGCCGAAGGAGCTGCAGCTCAGGATTATGGACAGCCTAGTTCTGAAGCAAACGCAGCCGCAGGGGACGCTGGAGCCGCCTCCGCAACCGATCATATCCTCACTGACTTGGCACAACAGACTCCCGCAGTCGACCAGACGCCACTCGATGACCATAAGGCAACACCTCCGGAAGCAAGCCAAACTGCAGCAGCCCCAATCACTGAAGGCAATGTTGCTCTTGACCAGAGCGAAGACGCTGCAGCACCCGAAGTTGTCGTCGACGCAGTCGCGGACAAGGCTGCAGAAGCTGTGGATGCCGCCTCTGCAGAGGCTCCGGCAGAACGACCTGAAGAAGTTGCGCAGTACAAAACATGCGATATCGAAGAAACTAAAACACCCGATGAGGAGAAGCCAGCTTCAGGGGATGCTTCTTCCGAAATCAAACCAACAGTTGAAACAGTTGAAGGAGAAGATGCGAAGCCCGCAACAACTTCCGCCGAAGAGAGTCCAGCTGTTGTGGCAAGTGAGGCGACAGCAGCTTCTCCATCAGCTCCTGCAGATGAGGCAGCAGCGCCAGCAGCGAAGGAAGACACCGAGCTCTCGCCGCGCGAGGATGAAAGCAAGGGCGTTGAAGGAACACATGAAGTCGAGTTCGTTAGTTCGGGATCAGAGGAAATGCACATCACATTGTGGAAAAACAAGTCACCGCCCATTCCTGTCGACGACAAAAAGGTCGGACCAGTGCTGATTGCAAGAGGCGCAGACTTTCTCTCAACTCAGATGCGGCGACGGAAAGGCCCAGCCGTGCAGTCTCAAGGCCAGTCCCGTCTTGAAAGCTTGCCGGAAGGATCCTATGCACGCCATTACTACAATCACGCTGTGACCGACGTGCCGCAGCACCAGGGAGAGAACAGGAGGGATTCAACAAGGAATAACCAAACTGACGAGCAACTGGGGCCATCAGCGTCTCAACAAGCCAACGGTAGATCTGTCGACAACATGGGAGATATCGAAACTCTGGGTGTCGAGGACGACGAACTCTCTTCAAGGCATTCGCGTATGCACGATCCAACACTCACGGAGCTGGTATGCGAGCAGGAAGACCTCGCGGATTCGGTCGATCGCACCAGTTTTGCCCATCTGGCTCGACTTGGACGGGTGAAAGTGCCGCTGAAGGAGGAGCATGAAGACGATGCCCAGGGCGGCAATGTTGATACCTTAGCCACTGGAGGTAGCAAGACACGCCTACAGAAGCCTGGAGGAAAAGGTCACCGAGGCGGCACGCACTCGTCCATGAAGCAGGAAAGCAGTGCTTCTATGTCCAATACTCACGAGGAATCGGGATCCATCATGTCGCGTAGCTCCGCTGTCTCCTTCAACTTGGAGGCAGAGCGCGTGGACATGGTTGTACCCGGCGGGGACGCAGAAGAGGACGAAGAGGAGTGCGACGACGATTTCAGCGACTTCCAAAGCGCCAGCGTGCGCGCACTTCCCAGGGGCGAGTCCGAGAAGGCCGAGCAAGAGGAGCGACACGAGCGCAAGCGCTTCGCTTCACCGCTTCAGGCTAAGCGCGAGAAACAAATGGCGCGCCTAGGTACGGGCAAACTCACGGACACCTTTTCGTTTGACGAATACAGCAGTAGTTCTGCGAGCGAGGAGGACCCCGACGCGCCGTTGAAGGGCCTCGAGCTGAATGCAAAGATGGTAGAGCGCTCCATTTCAACCTACACTCACGGTGAAGATGTGAAACGCGAGTGGCACCGAGAGTACATCGAGCGTCTGGGCAAGCGCAAGGCACGCGAGGATTACGAGCATGAAAAGCTGGTTGCATTGTCCAACTTGGTCGGCATTTCCATCGACAAGCTTCAGCGCGCCGGCGGCGACGACGCTGAGCACGAGAATAAGCGCAAGAAAGCGTTCCGCACCTTTTCTCCAAGCTATCTGGCGCAGCGTCAGAGCTTTCTCGAGGAACTCGAGAAAAAATCTCGGGACGAAGTCGACGCCACCCTCAACAATATGCGAATGCACCAGGAAGAAGTAGAGCGCGTGGGCAGTCGTGGCGCTCGCTTCGGTATTTTCAAGAAAGTAGAGGGCCTGGAAGGCGATGCTTGGCGCCACTCCAATTCGGTTCGTGGCAGCTATCCCGAGATTATTGAGATTCGCCAAAAGCCGACGGGGGACGCCGCGAAAACCGCAAAGCCGGAGAGGCTTCCACCGAAAATGATCCTGCGTTCTGACTCGCCAGATCTCAAGACGTATGGCAAGGAGTACCCATACAATTCAGTGGCCGAGCCGACCAAACTGATGCGACGCCTGCGGAAGTTCGAGAACAGAAAACGCCACGCTGCGATTGCGGCTTACCATCGCGTAGCAATGCAGATGGAAGAGCAGGCGGTTGCCGAAGCGGCTAGGAAGGCTGCTGAGAAAAAAACTAAGCAAGCCGCATCAGTGCCAACAAGCAGTCAGCCTGTGGCCCCAGCGACGACAAAAGAGCAAGATGCCGAGTATTACGTCGCGAATTTATCACTGTCCGGAAGTGGAACCGACGAAGGCGCACTACATTCACAACGAGCAATCTCTTTTGTCGACCATGTGCTGGACGACGCAATTGATGCAGAAGGTTCCAAGGCGGCAAAAGCCTTCACTACTTCGACGCAGGTACCCGCTGGCGAAACAGCACAAACGGTAACGGCCCCTCCCGTCGCGACTATAGCCCCACCCAACGAACAGACAACGCAAGTTGCTGCTGCCGCACCCGGTGCTCAGCCCATAGAAGGTGGTGAAGGGCAGGAAGAGAAAGAGGAGTCGCGCGCACCGAAAATGTCTTCAGACGCGATGGCACGGCAAGCAATGACGCCACGGATGCGAAGGGAGTTGATGAAGAAGAGTAAGATTTGCCAACAGGTGAAAGAGTGGTACTTGGAGCACCAGCAGAAGCGGGTACAAGCCGGCTTGCCTCTCCATCTCCAAAGCTTCTTCAACAAGGATTCGAATGTGCGCCAGGGCGCGAAGGGATCGGCGATGGCCCTGTTGGCAGGTGGGGCGAACGCGATGAAGCGCAGGAACGAGATCAAGCCGGAGGAAGACGTACCTTCGACCTTGATCCGTGAGCTTATCATGCGCTACGGCCACGAGCTGATGCCAAGCACGGAAGTCACGAGTAGCAACGCGTTCGAGAAGGCTGCCAAACAGGCGCTGGCCGAGCAGAGCGTCGTGGACTACAAGGTGGAGTGCATTCTCTTGCAAACGATTCTAGACGCGATGAACCTCCTCCCGGATGAGAGCAGCTCAGACGACGATGACCGCGATGGCCTGGACGACGATAACTACAGCCGCACTGTAAGTGGCAGCTCTAAACGCAATCGCAGCGAAGCTGAGGAGGACCCGGAGAAGGAACAAGATAGCGAAGCAAAGCGACTGAAGGAGCAGGTCAGCGAGCAAATCGTCTCGCGTTTGCAGCAGCAGTTTGGCGTCAGCTTCTACGCGACCGAAGGTCTCACTGAGGTCGACTCTGAGCGTGTCCTCAAGGGTTTAGCGGGACGCGAACCGGACTTCTTTGTTGCTTATCGCGTGGGCCCAGGCTTCGGAGGCCCGAAAGGCGTCATTGGTGACAATCTCCCGTTGAAAAAGAACATCAAGGGCATGCGTGGTTCTGGCCCGGGCAGTACGCCAGCGTCTCCCGTTGCAGGAAAGGACGCGGGAGAGGCACCCGCGACAGCCGAGCGTCTTGGCTCTGCCGGTAAGCCACTAGGCACTGCCGATACCGATAGCAAAGGAAATAGAAGTGCCGCCCGGTCAAGCACACCTATGAGTGCTCATCTATCTTCGCGACCCAGCACCAAACAAGATACTCTGCGACCACCCTCCTCCAGTACAACGCAAATCTTCAACGCGTCGCCAATTGTGACGGTCAAAACCCGTGAGGAGGCTGCCGATCTTCGGGAAGACGCATTTTTCCGTCTTATCACGGAAAAGAGCATGAAGAACCGTTCCGGTTGGTGGACCGAGACGGAGCGCGTGGAACTGGAGCAGCAGCTGTACCACATGCTCGGTGCGGCGGAGGCAGGCGAGGAAGAGCAGCAGGTCCTCAACTTGCTCAAGCGCCGCCCTGGTGCAGAGATGAACTACGGACAGAGCGACGCCAAGGAGACACCAGAAGAGACCAAGTGGGCCATTGGAGAGCGACTCGAGGAGCACTACGATACGCAGAGCGCCATGATCTTTGAGAATTGCAAGCGCGTCCTGGCGGATAACAGCAGTGAGTTCTACCAGTTCCTGAAGGCGCTGGCCCCCAACGAGGTGCTCTCCTGTCTGCAGGAAGTAATCAATGGATGGGCTGACATGGAATGGATGCAGAAGACGTGTGATCGTGGCCCCGAGCACTCCTCACTGATTCACTACCCGTTGGCTGAGGACGCGGACCGCTTAGAGTTGTACGAACGAAAACAGCGCGAAGCACAGCAGCACGTGCAACAATATTTGAAGACGCAGCGTCGCAACCTCACCAGCTGGAAGCCGAATAAATTGGTCCTCCCGAAGTCGTTGGATCGTACCATGGAGAAAAGTGTCCGCACCCTCAGTCAGGACCGCAAGGACGAGCTGCTAGACCGATTCGGGGACAAAGTGAGCTGTTATCCGCGCATGTCGAGGAAAAACTTCCCGGGTCTCAAGAACTTTCCAGACGTAAACAGCGGCCGCTTCGACTACGGCCGCTGGCTTGTGCACAACCTCGCTGCACTCGAACAGGATCTGGAAAACGAGGGTCTTCAGCTAGACGATGACGAGCTACGGGCACTCGAGCTAAAGAAGCTAGCCGAAAAGATGGCAAGGCAGGAAGAAGACCTCAGACCAACGGCAGAAGACCAAATAAAAGCCACGACGAATAGAAGAGTTGAGTTATCAACGAACGAGGCATCCAGAGTACTTGTTGGCGCAGGAGATCAGGATCTTCTTCTGGACGAGGAGCACGGTTTCGACAACGAAGGGGACGACGCCGAAGCAGAAGTTGACGACGGAGACAATAATCTTCATACCGCGAGCACCATGAGCGCAACGTCTGCTGCTGCTCAGCTTGACAACGCTTATTTGCGCGCGGAGGATGGTGAGGACGCTTCAGCCGATCTTTATACAGCACTTGCAGGTGCACAAGCTGCCGCGACCGAGGGGCAGCACAATAGGGCGAACGCGGAGCCACCGATAAATCGAGAACACGAATTGCGAAAGCTGTCGGCTCCGTACCGGGGGTTGCCACAGAGAGCAACACCGAAATCAGCGCTGAAGATTTCGTCAGCTACAACACCCTCGAATGCCCGTCTAGGGTCGTCGCCATCTAGTGCTGGAACGCTTGCCAACAGAAAGCAAGGAAAACTACCATCGCCGAGCAAGCAGCAGGTGGACGGTGTCGCGAGCGAACTGTTCACAGACGGCAGCAAACACCAAACTTCATCCGAGGGGCAGCATAGCGCAGAGGCGCCGAATCGTCCGCATGTGGTCGTAGTCACGGGAGCGATAGACCAGTCTGTGTCGTCATTCGATGGTGCTGCGACGGACACGCAGACAGGATCGATGGAATCGTCCCAGAATTTCGGTTCGCGCGACGATCGCGACGCCGGGCCTTCAGCTCCGTTGTTGGGATCCAAGCAGCGTAAGAAGCGCGCTAGTGCCATCGCTGAGGACGAAGCCGCGTTGGCTACTCTGAATCGCGAGTTGGTCATGCGCCGCGTCGTCAAGGTAGATCGCGATGTTTTCGAGGACGTCGCCAGTGGCTACTTACCTGCTTCGATCGTAGACCTCGTACCTGAAACCTACGCCGCAATTAAGTCCCCTTCTCCGACTGGTGCTGCTACGAAGAGCATGGCATCTTCCTCGCTGAGACAGGGAGGCTCGGCGTCTTTGCCATCCTCGCCACTTTTTAATAGAGGATCCACGGAGGCCGCCCGCGAGCGAACGGCAGCCAGCGCAAGTAAAGCGTCGCGTACGAGCACGATCCACTCGTCGCTCGACGAGGCTTTCGGCACTACGAGTAACAAAGCGACCAACGGCGACTTAGTGGGCTCTGCTGCGCAGATGCTCTTGGCCCGTAGGCGTGGACGCGCGCAAGAACTCGCGGTCGCGCAGTACCTGAATCACAACCAGTACCACATCGCGTTAGGGGCGACCGGACCAAGACAGGCCCTGCCTGCACTTGCAAACAGTCGCAAAGAAATCAAGCGAGCGCGCGACTGGGCTGTCGACCCTGCCGACGCGAGCTCGGTTCTCTTGTCTACACCAGACAAAAGCTTCCTGGGAGGTGCATCGGGTTTTGCGGGGTCAATGTCGCTATCCGGACCAATCGGCTCGATATCTCCAAAAAATAACAGGAGGGGCACAGTCGAGACAGACTTAACAGTCGAGCCTGTCTCGCCGACGCGGCCATCCACGGCTGTCGTGCCGCCACGTCGATCTCGCAATAGCGCCACTTTGGACATGGAAAACGACTTGCGTCCGCTTCACGAACAGCATCGACAAGGCGCGGCCACTTCAAGCTCCTCAATAGGAGGAATAGTTCAGGCCGATGCACCTCCTGGTGCAAGAAGTTACGTCCACGTCCAGGACCGGCTGAAGACGGAGGAGAAAGCCGAGGACGGCTCGGACCTGCTGCAAGACATGCAGGCGCTGGAAGATCGCCGGGACATGCATTTGGACGCTGTTCTCGGAAAAAGTTTGCATGCACTGCTGCGTCTGGCGACACGCGCGCAGAAGGTCGTGTCACCTGGGACGCAGATGGTAGTAAGTCTCTCGGAACGCGACAAGCAATTAGCCGAAGTGGTCTTACAGGATGCCTGGGCCAACGTAGGCGACGCGCATGCGCCTGGGGCAGCCGAAAACTTTCTAAGGCGGGGCGTTTCACCGGAGGGGCGCTTATTGATCAACAGACTCGAAAAAATGACACAACTGGAACCTGCACCCGAGAAGAAAATACCTAGGCTTTCGGAATCCGGAAAGAGAGCGATTGAGCAAGCCAAAAGACGCGAAGAAGCGGAACGCGGCACGGAAGAACGTGCTTACCTAATTACATACTCTTTATGATTAGTTGTATCTTGAATATTATTTTTGTGCATTCCCAACTTTTTCTTTGATAACAACATCCGCAGCAGCTTCTTTTAGAGCTGAACAAAGAGAAGGCAGGGGCACTGTTTTAACGCTAAGTAATCAATCCTAATTCTTGCAACAACTAGAGTAAGATCAAAGATTCTAGTCGATGAAAGACCTTCGACTTCCATTATTCTTTGCCTTACAACTCCTTAAATTTGTTCGCCAAAACCAAATCCCTCAGGCCTTGCTGCAATGGCAACTGGTTATTCCATGACACCTTCGTTGCCGATGTTGTCCAACCTCGCGAGACAATTCGGGGAACGCATGCAAACACCTAGAGACGGAGGCTTCCAACATGGGAAATCGAGTGCTACTCCCGGAGGTGCGTCTGTCGAGAGCAGTACTTTACATATTGAAGCTCCCTACCGGATGATCTACGATGCGACCAAGACCTGCTTGGATACAGCAATTGAACAGGGAACTGCTCAAAAGCTGCAATAAGCTTGACAGAATCGCCAGAAAATACTGTCACTACCAGTAGACTCGCGGCTGGAAATATAATTGAAATAAACTACAAAGACAAAGATGATCTTGAGCGTACTTTAACCTTTGAGTACTTAGAATTTTTAGTCGCAAGAACAAGCAGATTTCTTCAGATATTAGATAAATCATTCTTTTTTGGATATTTATCTCTATTAGTATTAACTTTATATTTATCTAAGTGTACCAAAACGTTGGCTGGTGCTTTGTTTATTTGACCTTGTACTCTCTCTTGGATTTTGATGTAAACCACGACCAGTATACAACAAAGACAAAAACAGGAATTGCATAGAAATGAGAATATAGCAAACACTGGCATGTTCACGTAAAGACGTATAGAAAATGCACTTCAGAAGCTTGGGCTGTCCATTACAGGCTCCAACTTGTACACTAATCGTTGGACTACTATGTATACCAAATAAAAACAGAAAACTACTATGGATAGAAAAAATCGCATCTACAACTCGTGGTTGATTATTCGAAAACAAAAAACTCCATGTCCCTGTCGTCGGGAAATTTTCAAAATAGCTAGCACATATATGATATACTTTACATACTTGCATAGATTGATCATAATTGTTCACGATCGGACTTACCACGTGTCGTTAAAAAAGGAGAATGCGTGTAGGTGTTTATCAGAATCAGAAAATACGGAGCAAAGATGTAGGACCATAACCGTTACTCTTCATAGAAAAACCAATACTATTTTCAGAACTGAAAACTGATCCACACGAACACTTATGAACTGAACTTTTTTCTCTCTAAACTGAATACTTAAGTAAACAGAATGGAAAGTTTAAGTTGCACGTCCAGAGCATACTTCAATCAAAGGGGAACAACGAGGATTGAATTTTCTTTCCATATGCAATAAATCGGGTTTTCAGTCGAATTTGACAAGGCGTCGCATTTTTTATCCAAGAATCAACCAGTCGAACTAGTCTATGCATATCGCAAAAATGAATCACTCATACAACGACGCATTGCAAGCGGGAGACTATGAATTCATGCAAGACACTATGGTCTTCAGCAGAGCGAAAGCGGTGGTCTCATCTACACCGTCGTGATCAGTGTTCGTTCGACTCAGCTGGATATTCCGGGCAAAGAAAGGCGGCCCACCCGGAGTAGGAGCCTTGCTTTTAGAGCTTCATTTTGAAGTTCCTTCAGGGTTGTGAGTCGTAAAATTCCCGAGAGCCCCCGCTCCCCAAAAGTCTTTTATTTTCGTTTCGTGGTCACATCTCCATGATCAACATCTGCCTAAAAGTAAGAAGTTGAGACTAATTTTCTTAGTCACGTATTATAAATACATAGCGTAACCGTCAACATAGTAAAACGTGTACGTGCACGACGAGGACCAACGCAAGAACGCCATTATACGCAGAAGCGGCAATCATGCAAGCAGCGAGAGTACCAGGGTCCGATCTCGGTTACCTGATTCACGTGCCGCCACTCCCGACGCCAAGCGGGCAGCAAAGTGGGTTGCCGCTTGTCATCTTCTTTCACGGTGGAGGGTCCAGCGCAGATGACATCAAAGACAATCCTTGGCTCTTAGCTGAAGACCGCACCTCTCCTCCTGGGTTGATTCAGGCTGCATCGGCAAGAACATCAACCACGGCAACATTCGGTAGCGGCACTAGGAGGAAAGAGCAGACATCATCGTGGTTTTTAGCTGCGGAGGCGGTCGTTGTTTCACCTCAATGTCGGCATGGACACCAAGAAGACGATATCGGCTGGTGGGGTTTCTCTTACCCGGACGCAATCGCAAACACATTCGGGCTCTTAGACCACGTACTCAAAAGCCATCAAGTAATTGACCCTCACCGCGTATTCTTAACGGGGCTGAGTATGGGAGGTTCTGCAGTATGGGACACGGCGGCAGCAGCCTTATCAGGCTTTCAAGTCTTTGCAGACGACAGCGAGGAATCAAATTGCAGGAGCGGAAGGCAACGGGGTCAAGCGCAAGCGGATTCGGATGGTGAAGACGCAAAATGTGATACTACGAAGATGATGAGTTCGGCGGCAGACGAAATACTTGGCAAAAACGTAACACATCATCCCTATGCTAGTGGGAACACGTCATCGTTTGTCTTTGCAGGTCTAATTCCCATTTGTGGAAAGCCGGGCCGAGGACAGAAGACTGATAGTGCGAAGAATAGGGACGCGCAAAGAAAAGCAGAAATATTGATTCGTGGAACTAGTGCCGGCGGACCGATACCACAGTGGTTTTTTGTAGCAGAAGAAGACGACTTCGACGCTGACAAGTACAACGACGCTTGGCTACAAATAGTACAAGATAAAATCAAGGGCAACGGCAATGCTGCCAGTTCAAGTTGTTCATCAACCACGTTACAATCCAGATCTACCAATAAAGCAAGTGAGAAAGATGATATCAAGACAATGAAGCCGTATTCGACCACTAGACGTGATGCAACATCTCCACAAATAGACGACGCTACCCCAGAAACACGTGGTGTTCCGCAAGATGTCTTGGAGACAACCTGGTACAATTCCAACAGGGCAACAGCTGATGGAAAAGCTCTCCCACTTATCCGGTACACGAGGTACCATCGAAAACATGGATACAGGCATGGCAGCTGGGTTCCAGCATATCAAGACACACGTCTACTAGATTTCATACTTGGCCATCGAGCGCCACCAGGTTCAAACGCAAATTGGACAACGGCATTGATGTACGAAAACGCAACGAAAAGACCAACAAAAAAAGTATCGTTTCTGTTGCGATGAACAGCTTCTACTACTTCTTTTCCTGCGGTTGTATGCCTTTTTCAGAACTGTTTAGCGCAGATGATCAGAATCGAGAACCAGTACCAGAAGGGTATCTTCAGCTTGGGTGGAAACGTAGTGTGTGGATCTTGGTTCTAGTGGAGCGCAAATATTATATGTGTGACTTAATCATAGACTCTACTTGTAACAACTACTTCTAGATGGAGTGAGAAAAACTCTGCTCTTCTGATGTCTGTGAGTGTCAATGAAGTCTTTCGCTATTTCGTGTTGCAGTGTTGAGTGATCCATCGGAGTGTGACTGAGAGCTTGTAAAGTAATTCATGATCAGCCTGTTCTTGTTGAGTCTGTTTTCATCTCCGAGTATCAGTCGTCTCTCGTGTTCTTGACAGTGCTAGTTGAGGGTGTGATGATCTCACTTGATCGAGCATGGCCATTGATTTTAGAGCTTCAACTGGCAGTCCTCTGAGTAGATTTCAATTCTTGTTATTCTTTATCTCCTTTAGCATTCAGGTTCCTGAGATGAACCAATCCATATTAGTGACACCCGTCCCTCCTCTGTGTCCCATCATGATTTCTTTTTCAACACTTGTTTGATGTCATCAATTTCAATCCTTCCGTCATAGTCTTTGTTCCTTCTATGATCATCTAGGTAGTCATGGAGGAGCCTCGAACCCGGTCATCGGAGTTCACCTGAAGACAAGGACCACATTATCTTGTACATTATAATATTTTTTAGCATGTATGTTGCTTGTCAAGTTCACGCTGTTACCTCAAATAGTGCGTACTGTTATTTTTTAGCATTCGCTGGGACAGGGGCGTGACTTCCTGAATTATTTAACGAGGGATAACTATAACAGCGAGCAAGTCGTGTGGACTGGATTCTTTTCCATCCAGAACAGCTACATGTACATGCTTGTGCGCATTATTTATATTCTTTCTTCGGATTAAGTTGTCTTTCCCGTGTTCTACTACTACTTCTACCTCCTTCTACGTTATTTCCATCTGAAGAATATTAGTAACTGTTGTGGTTTATATCCGTTGTCCTTCGTGTCTAATTTGAGACTGTATCTCGATTCAATCAGTAGAAACAAGTAGTACATCAATGCTCTTCTTCTACTTCTTCTAGTGCTCGGCCATCCATGGTGAGCAAGGCATACTAGAATCCGAGGAATTAATCAAGGCAGTAATCTTCGACGATGGAAAAGTGAAACTGAAATAGAAATACATTACAAATTAGTTTTAATTTGTCGATCATCGTCAAAATGGCACCACCGTTCCTGCAGATGATGTTGATGGCACCACTGGCACTGCCCTTTCCAGAGTGACATCTTCTTCTAGAAACTGTTTGACAATCACGGTGCGCCCGCTTCCATTTGGACCCATAGTTGTGTTGACGGCCACGATCCGGTGCAGGAGGCATGGTGAGTGGTGGAGTTGGTGATCGGGAAGGAGGCCTGGAGGCCCCAGCAGTAGCGGAACCGAATATGCTTATTAACATAGTTGTAGAACAAGATCCTCCAGGTGGAGGCCTCATCAAAGAGGAGCCTGCTTCGTCTGGTGACGTACAAAATGATCCTGCAATAATCGCAATTGTATCTTCCAAGTCAGCAGTTGACGTTGCACCAGATGATGCCAAGCCAGGAAAAGACGTTGCACCACCAAGTACATCGCCAACTACCGCAGCTACTCCCGGAGAAGCTCCTCCTCCTGCCAACAATGGTGATGGGACTGCAACAAGTAAAATAAAGGACACTTCTGCACCTGGAGCTACACCAAGGAAGGATGAAATCCAAGATAACAAGGATCACCTGCTGCCGCCAGTGTCGCTGTTGGAAGCACTCGATCCCGACGACACGATCAAACGACGCATTCAGCAGCAGGACAAGCGTATGGATCAGATCCGGCGGCAAAAAACCGGTGTCTCCAGCCGCGCCCAGATCGTCGCCAAGCCCGACGACGAGCGGGCGAGTCTCATTCGTGCTCGTTTTGGCGAACGCGCAGTCCAAATCCGCAATCAGATGGCGGCAGTCTTGAATTCACAAAAATTTGACATGGCAGTTGGTTTGGTCATCATCCTGAATAGCGTTACCATAGGATGGGAAAGTCAGGCGTCAGTGAGCGGCATGGAGAGCATTGCCGCGTTCGCGGTCGTGGAGCACATATTCTTGGCGATTTACTGTATCGAGATTATTCTCCGGGTATGCGTCTTTGGAGCGCGCTGCATCATCGACAGTGGGTGGGTCTGTTTTGATTTCGTCCTGGTCGTGGTCGGAGTTCTCAGTAGTTGGATCTTGCCTCTAGTATTCACTGCTGGAGCGGACGAGTTGCAGACGATTCTAGTGCTGCGTGTGTTGCGCTTACTGCGCTTAGCGCGCGCGGTGCGACTGCTCGTCGCTTTTCGCACACTCTGGATGCTCGTTCGGGGCCTGCTGACCAGCATGGACACCATCCTCTATACCTTTTTCTTGATCTTTCTCGCCGTTTACCTGGCGGCAGTGCTCGGGGTGGAGCTGATTACCAAAAATCGGTCAAGCTACACCGGAGAACCGGAGCTCCTCGCAATTATTGATGACAAATTCAAAGACGTCTTCAGCACAATGCTCACTCTGATGACATTCGTCACATTGGACAGCATCGGCGGCATCTATATTCCGCTTATCAAGTTCCAGCCCGGCCTCTTCCTCTATTTCATAAGTATCTTCTAAAAACTTTACTTCTTGCATAAGTACCTTATTGCGTTCTTCACCTCTACTCAATCTCAAAATCGTACTTGATGTTGTTGTAGTCGTAGAGGTAGATGTGCTGCAGTTCACAATGAGTTAAGATTTACCTCTCTCAAAAAGGTGGCTGTACTACTGGTACGAGTTTTCTGATTTTTATTGTAAGTCATTGTGAAAGTAGATAAAATAGTGATCAAGCTCGTTTTTTTCGATTCGCACGTCTCTCCACTTTCCACCACAGGTTTCTTGTTGATCGTGTCAGTAGCGTTGATGAACTTGGTGACGGCAGTGCTAGTGCAGAGCGCCATCGAGGAAAGTGAGAACGACAAGGAGGTGAACGCCGCATACCAAAAACAGCAACTAGCTGCTTTGATGCCAGAAGTGAGGAGAATCTTCAAGCAGCTCGACGAAGACGGCTCCGGCGACATCTCGAAGCAGGAAGTCGTTCGCGGTCTAGCAAACAACGCTCAGCTGAAGATGGACCTGGAGTTCTTCCTTGGCAATCACGACCCAATCGATCTGTTTGAGATGCTGGATGTGGATGGTGGGGGTGTGATTGCTATCGACGAATTCTGCGACGCACTGCTTTCGCGGGTCACGAGTAGTGCACCGATAGAGCTGACCCGAGTGCTCAAACTGGTTACGCAGATTAAGGCGGACCTGCAAGACCACGTTCGCAGGGCATCCTTTCAAGATGCGGTAGGCGCCATAATGCATGGAACGACGACAGGTGGGAAAGATCATAGTCCACTACAATCATTACGGCCATAATGTTTGACCAGGTCGTAGAACAAGAACAAGTCTTTTACTAAATTTATAGCATTAGCAATGAGTAGTTGGTTTTATCTACTATTTGTTGCGGCGTCACTTGTTGAAGAGTAAGAATTGCTTCAAAGGAAAGTGAGTTGTATCACCTGTTGTAGTGATTGCATCTACTTCTCTAATCTGTACACCGGGTAGCCCCAGCATGTTCAACGGCGTCCTGCTCCAATTTCCCAACAGGCAGAGTAACTCTCTAACAGCTATCAAGGGAAACAGAGCACGAGAAGTACCGCCAGAACAGGAAACACAGGAGACGCCTTTGCCACGGACTAGTAACAGATTATCAACGGTCCAGGTTACAGATGACACGAGGATGACAGCATCGATCCTACCTTCGGTTCTACCACTCTTCGATAGAAGCACAGCGGCTGGAAAAGTAGAAGACGGAGCTAACACCAAGGTGAAAAGTGGCAACACCAAAGTCGAAGCACTACAAGAGTACAGCGGGGGAGGCATAGCAGGATTAGACACGAGGTTAGCAGCGGTAGAGGCCCGTTTGGGACGGATGGAAGCCTTGCTTGAAAAAGCACTAGCCCCGCGGCAAGCGTAATCCTTGGTGTTGGTTGTGACGAACAATATATTTATAATGAAAATGATAATCCCCATCCCCACCCTGAGAAGACGAATTCTTTGGAAAGTCCGCGTCCCTTGGACTACCACAGCACCGTCACGAGCAGAATCAGTACGGTAATAGGAAGTACAAAGAGCAACATTGGTGCTCATAGCTAGGAAGTTCTGAGAACTCGCGCTAGATTTTCTACAAGGCAGGCCACGCCCCTGTCTTCTCTTAGAATTCGTAAGTCCGGGCTACGGCCCCGATTCCAGCCCCGTAAGTATATGCTGGTGGACTTGTAGACAAGTTAGTAGGCCAAAAAAAAAGATGCAATTGACCTTAATGACAGATGATGGCCGTTGACGTCATAGCCAATCGTGAAGACGTTAGAACTGGAAGGGATGACTAGGTAGTTGTTCCCTGATAATATATGTTACAAGAATTATGGTCGGAAGCCTGGAAATTTTCGAAGCGAATACCAAGCACTCAATGACAATGGGTGTTTCGACCATATTGGCAGACCCGAACCCGATGAAATTACGACCTAGTATCGTAATCCACGTGTGCAAGAGCAAGCTGCAGTAATCTTCATGAATGCTTCCACTTGTTCGACTAGTACAACATCATGTAGTTCTTCATCGGAAGCCACAGCATTATCTTCATACATCTGCACTGAACTTTGTGCGAGATTGATTGTATTGTGTTGTATAACCTGGGTGAACTTTTTGCAGGAAATAATTATGAAGTTCTGAACTTATAACCTACCTCCAGCTCCAGGTGTGGCCAAGAATAATGGAAGTTCATCTGCATTCTTAGACGTTTACTTCTTGTGGTGTATGAGTGAGGCGTCAACGGTGCGAGGAGGTAAACGAGACCAAACAAGCACAGTGAGCGTTGAGAAAGAAAACTTTGGCCGGCAACATCACTAGTTGCAGAGCAGAATCAGTCATCGTGATCGAACAAGTAAATCTGTTTCATTGCTGAAAGGACAATGGATCGTGTCAGTCTTTGCTTTGGTGAGAGGTAGATGTGCTCAACAGAAGCTCAGGACAATGGATCGTGTCAGTCTTTGCTTTGGTGAGAGGTAGATGTGCTCAACAGAAGCAACCTCTGTTCTACATGAGATAAGAGCGAACGCGGTATCGTGAATTAGACTCTGTTCTGAGACTGGTGAGACGAGATGCAACATCTGACTCTTCAAGACTGATTGACAGAAAGAGTTGACCATCCATTCTTGACTGGCAGCTCCTTACCGATCTTAGCGTGATATTGAAACTACACATTGATATTGAAGATGCACCTTTATCCTTGTTCAATCATTTTTCAAAAACCTCTCAGACAGTCTCAGTCAGAAGTTTTGTGATTATCGTCCCATTGGTATTCACATTCTCCCTGGTGTCGAATACATAGAAGAAGGAGACTGACGAACATCAATCATGTATTGTTCACATTTGATTTTACTATGCATTCAATAGATTTACTCACCTTCCTAGGACTAAGTACGACTAGGACTAATACAAAATTCTTGTCAATGTGAAATCATTTAAGTTTGTAGGTAGCTGGAATGTAATAAATATGACTGACTCTGTCTTTGACCGCATCATATTGTTCTAGAAAATTCGTGTGAAGCGAACGCGGAGAAGCCACCCTCGTTATGGAGGGTGGACATGTAGTCTCGCGTTGTAATAAGGGGCTCCTCATCTTGGTACCAAGTGCTTGTTCTTGCGCATTGACTCCGTGTCCTTCGCATGATTGAAGATTAGAACTAGATTGTGGCTTTCTTTTGTATTCATCCTCCACGCTTTATTCACTGCATATGACTTTCTATTTTTCTCGTGAATGTATGTGTATTTTTGTGGGATCGAGAATATATCCATCTTCATCGAGCAGGAGCAGGTCGTTCATTCAGATTATAAATAATCGCGAGTGTCGAAGCACCGCCTTTTAGCGCTTCGATGATTTACAGATACAGTTTCTATCACCGCCTAATTTCATATTCAGTAGTCCACATCCTCACGCTCAACTTCCCCTTGTGAAGGCGACGTTAAACTATTGTTGAATTTATTACAACTGATGCATTTTCTTCGTCTTCTACTTGTACTTCTTACTTGTTGATCAATCTTTCTTCAAACTTCCGTGCGGTGTCCGCTGGACTTACGGTTAGTACAGCTAGTACTAGGCTCACAGAGCAGAAGATGTCGCAGGAGGGAGCTATGCCGCCAACCCTCTCGGGGGCGCGGTCGACTACTACCAGCATCGGTGGTAACAGCATCGGTGCTACCCGGCCGCGCAATCGCACGCTGACCCGGTCGCAGACTTTGGCGCGACAAAAGAATGACCTGCGGGCGCATGCCAATCGGAAGATGGAGGTAGGGCGTCTGGCCTTTGAGGATGCCAAATACCACTTCACCCAGGCGGAGAAGCTGGAGTTATTCGTGGACAAGGGCGGCCAGGGCCAGTCCGAACTGCTCCACAAGCTGGACCTTTACTTTGGGATTCTCATTTGCCTGAACATGCTCATCCTGGGAATCGAAACGGACCACGGAGGCGCGTTTCCACCGGGCCCGCAGTCCCCTTTCTGGTGGACGGAGTCCGTCATTCTCGCGCTCTTTCTCTGCGAGTTCTACTGTCGCTTGCGCATTGAGCCCTTTCCCCGAGTCCGCACGATATACGCTACATCCTTGCCCCCAGAAGTTAACTTCGAGGAAAATAATGCGCGTTTTCGCGGTGGCGGCCTCGGTGGCAATGATTCGGATGAGGACGTCGATGACGACGATGAATCGGCGGACGACTCCGACAGTGAACGAGCAAAGTCTGGCGCGCCAGCCATCATTAGCAGAAAGGACGGGCAGAAGGAGGACGACAAGGCTACGAGTGAACAAAATGATTCTGCTGCCATATCAGCCAATGTGGAGGATGGGAGGAGCGTCGGAACGAAAGCAGTACCGCCACCAATTACTATTCCGGATTGTGGTCCAGCGGAGGGTATTAGTGAGATGAAGCTAATCGATCTACAGATCGAGGTAGCGCAACTGGAAAGTACTTCTACTTGTGTAGAGTCTACGCCTGCAGTAGATTCATTGAACGCAGATAAGAGAGACGGAGATGACAAGTGCAACAAAGGCGAAAGTGGTAAAGCCATCGAGGGCGCGAGCAACAGAAGGGAGAAGGCTGCCAAAAGAAAAGCACGAAAAGAGGAGAAACGGAAGGAAAAGATTAAGCGTATTCTTGCGAAAGGTGGTGACGACGATGACGACGACGACCCGCTGCAAGCACACCCGTCCATGACACCGCTAGAGGTTCTCATGATGCGCCAAAATGCGGCGGGTTTGGATGTGGGCGACGAGCCGGATTCCGAGAACAACTTTACTGCGACCGACGTGATTAAAATCGAAAGCGAAGGTTGCTGTATGGGTATTCTGGAATGGTTTATATTGTACTTCCAAACGCGCCAGTGGGTTCAGATCACGTGGCTGGGTCTCGATTTCATAGTGATTGTGGCTTCCGCCATCGACGTGTGGGGCGTGCAACTGATGTCGGGGGACGACTTCGGAAACGTCTCCGCCCTCCGCGTACTCCGGTTGCTCCGCGTGTTGCGATCCATCAAACTGATTCGCTACTTCCGTGACCTGTGGCTCCTGGTGCACGGACTGGGGCGCGCCTTGTGCAGCATTTTCTGGGTGATGATGCTGCTCGGGCTGGTGATCTATGTGTGCGCTTTGTTTCTTACCTCGCAGGTGCAGAACAATGACTTCTACCTCGTGGGACCAGACGGCACCGGTCCCCCGCACCCGGATCCGCGGTACGAAAACGTCCGGCAATACTTCTCCACAGTGCTGCACTCCATGATGACGTTGTTCCAGATCGTGACCCTGGAGAACTGGCCTGACATTGTGCGCACCATGATGGAGGAACAGGAGGCGTACGGCCTCTTCTTCGCCTTGTTCATCGTCACCACCAACTTTATGATGATGTCCCTGTTCATCGGTGTCCTCGTGGACAACCTCACGAGTGCCACGGAGACGGCGGACCTGCAGCTCATCCAGCAGATCCGCGACCAGCAGGAGTCCCTGCGCGACGAGCTGACCGAGGTGTTCTTCCTCTGTGACGCTGACGGAAGCGGGCAGGTCTCGCTGGCGGAGTTCAAGGAGACCATGATGATCGACGAGCAGATGCGACACAAAGTGCTGAAAAACTTGAACATGTCAACCGAAGGAGAAATCGAGACCCTCTTCGAGACGCTGGATGGTGACGGAGACGGAATTTTAGAAAAAGACGAATTCGTGGACGGCATTCTGAAGACGCGCGAGTCTGAAGTCGGCTGTCTCATGCTGCAAATGCAGAATCGTATCCTGCGCGAACTGAAGCACGCGCTCAATCACGGCCTGTCGAAATCCAAGGCCCTCAAAAAAAGTAAAGCGCCGGAAGACAGGCAGGAGTCCTCTGACCTCGACATGGCTGGGCGGAAAATGAAAAAAGGGGCGTGGGGGAAACAGCAAAAACAGCAATTATGGAGAGGTAGTAAGCAACTGTCACTGTTCGATCTGGACGCCCATGCTAATTCCTCCCCTAAGCCAATGTTCTATTCCGCCGACAGTGCCTGGACAGCAAAGAAAACCTGCGCCGTTTGTGGACGAGGAGATGAGACGGGAGACAATCAGAGCGAGTCTAGAGGCCCCGGTGGAGGTGGAGCAAAGAATAAGAGCAAAAATATGATGAGAGCGGACAACTTCGCTGCAGCCGAGGGGGAGGCAAACCAGGGAATAATGTTGGAGGAGCGTCTAGCCCACATGAGCAACCTTCCAAGCAACTACTCCTCCACGACAGCGGCTACAGCCACAGCCGCGTCCGTCTGCGTGCAAGCGAACAAAAAGGGGAACAAAACGCAACCACGCAACGAAGGTGGACCCGCGATCGCAGGGCTAGCCAGCGGCGGCCCGCCGCGCTCAGAAGGGCTGCTAGCCGCGGATGGAACTTCTAGCAGTCGAAGCAAGACCACGTCGACAATCGCCGCATTTGACACACTCACCAGTTCTCCGAGCGTGATGAACCTGAGTGGCGCTACGGCCTCAACGTCGTCTCCGGTTCCTCTCGAAAAGGTACTAGAGCAGACATCAGCAACGGGAACTAGCAACAGCAACTCCTCCGCTGCTGGGCAGAACAGCTACCTGCGGGAGGAGCTAGCTGCACGAGCAGCTCCTGGTAGTACACAAGCGAATGAGCAAAACTCCCATGTGGCACGCCCGCCGACATCAGGAAGTGGCGCCAGCAGCGGAAGCGTTTTCAGCACATTTCGCGGCTTATCTTCCCTATTCGGAGGCGGAGGCTCGACGGCAGGCGCAATATGTAGTGTAGAGCAGACGGCAGACGCCGCCGCTTCAAATTTGATACCTTGCGCTGGTGCACCAAACCAGACATACGTCGGTGCATCTTCTGCTCCTGTTTCTTCACTACCTGCCACGTTCCACTTTGCAAGCAGACCGGGTGACGAGGAAGATCCGATGTCTTTCAATGTCAACAGCGCGGAGGCGGAACATCACGCAGCCGCCTATAGCAGAAGTCTGTCGTCCACCTCGAGTCAGAGCACGAGCAATGTTCCCTCACATGCCGTCTCGAGGTGTGCAACACCAGAGAATGGCCTGGTAGGCATCGAGGAAACCGGAGACGACGAAGCAGCATCTTCATCTAGTGCCGCAGCCGCGAATCCTGTTCCAGGATGGCCATGGAGCAGCTCCGCAAGCGAAGCAAGTGCTTCTCCTGCGGTCAGGGCATCCACACGGGAGTCCTCCTTTTCATCGTCCTCGTGCCTACTTACTGGCGCAGCACCTGGCTATGCCGGAAACAGCCCTAACTCTAGCAGCAATATGCTTGCTGTTGCTGCTGGGCCAAGCAGAATGTCCGATGGGGGAGTTGTCATACGCAACGCGAGCGGACAGGAAACCGTGCTCACACCCGCAGACGTTTACAACATTGTTCTTGCAGCGATGCAGGGACAACAAGACGCACGAGGAGGAGCTATACCGCCACAAACCAGCGATCACAGTCGATCATGCTAGGGCGCGCCAGGCGATGCTGATGTTCGTAAATCTACTTGCTGCAGGAGTTGGAGGTCAACTTCAAAGTCAAATACTGTAAAGTAATGGAAACAAGAAAGATGCCCCATCACCGCTCCTCTACCTTGAAGAGAGTGGAGTAGCACGCAAAATATCGATATCCTTATCGAATCCTTTTCTTCTCTCGCAATTCTAGATATTCATACTTCTTCTTGCTTATCTCAAATTCTTATCCCAAAAAATAAAACATGTACTGAAACAACAACAAGCTCAGCCTGTAGCTGACGTGACCAATATGAATGACAAAAAATGTCATCGTTGCACTTTCTTCATTCAAGTACTTACTTACTTTTTGTAGACTTGGTCAATGGTCATGAGTAATCAATTACTAATTACCGTTAATGCATAAGAATCAGATATGAACATACTCTATTTCTACGCCCTATGTATTTCTTCTCGTCGTACGAAAATTACTTTAAGGCGGTCCACGGGGTCCAAAGTGAAGACGCAGATAGCTATACCTTCTTATTCTGATTGATTCATTGATGCAGTCTAATATTGATACTTGAAGAACTTCTACTGTCTTCTACCAGAGTTTTTTTATGCTCCTCATTACAATTGATGGAAAATCCACCCTCACAACTTCATTCTCATCTAGTTCCACCCATCTTTTCCTCCAATCTTAAACAGGACAAATGTAAGTAGTATAGATATGTCATACAAGAATTTAGCATGGAGGAACGAAATGTTGCACAAAAACAATTATCTTGTTTCGCTGACTAGTTATATATCAGACACCACGAGGAGACGTAGATAGATGTGCGAGAAGAAGACAAGGCGACCCTCTGAGAGTGGCTACAACCCTCTCCCGAGAGCAGCTTTCGACGTAAGCAGAAGGCATCAACTCTTCAGCAGCCCACTTTTCTTCTTGTCGCCTCCTGGCATATGCATATTTTAGATATACTTTCTTGCCAATTTGCCCGTCACTTGGCCAGGCCTACGACGAGTACTAGTTGTGGAACATTAGTGCGCAGGAAGTAAGCGACACCGACAGGCCGACGAAGACTCACCCGAGGATAAATAGCAGCAGCTTGGTAAAAAATCTTCGCAAGAAGACGCCACAAAGAAATGCACCCGCCGCGGGATGGAACAGCTGCCGTAAACACTTTGTCATTGACCGTTTATAGATTTTCCGACCAATAAATGAAGGATGCGCTGATATGATAAAAGTCGTGTTTAATGAACGCTGCAACCGCTGTCCCTGCGAGTTTTATCAATATTTTCCTGATCCTGACGACAAATGAAAAAGCGAGAATGCAGCGTGTTGCCGATGCTTGCGCAGCAGAAAAGAAAGTAAAAACCATTATCAGTATTCCTCCCGAGAGCAGAGTCAGTGAATGTGGCGCCACGTTGTGGCTGACTATTCTATGCTGGAAGAACAGCGCCACGACGTATTCCGCAAAGCACGAACTCCGTGTCCAACACAACAAACTTATTATGGCATACACATCGTTACGCTTGACGACCACGACAATTTTATTTCATCTCGAAGCCTGGTAGCGATCAATTGTGATTGTGCCGAGGACAGTGGTGGCAACACTTGCAGTGCTCGCATGTTGGTGGATTTCTTGACAAGTGGAAGATTTCAATTTTTCTAGTACACACACTAGTCCTCGTGGTGTCCACGAACTCATCCAAGGTCCACGTCCAACAAGATGCTACAAATGTCCTAGATGCATGATCCCTGAGGAGTACAAGCTATTCCGCAGCTCCTTCTTTTCAGCGTCACTCATGTTCTCGAGATGTTCATCCAAAAACCTCTGGGTCGCGACGAGCGCAATAACGGAAACCAAAACGACCAAAGTTAGAGCGCCCCAGCAGAAGAAGAAAATCCTCAACAAATGCACACATTTTTGAACTTGAAAACAATTATAAAGGAAATAAAAAAGAAAGACAAAGAACAACTTATTAGATACAACTATTTTCGAGGTTGAAGACGAGGACCCAACGCATTATGGCAGAGTTACAGTTATTGCAGCCAACTATTTTATACTCCTCGAAGAGAATGAATCTAGAGCTCTCAACACCAGGAGCCGTAACAAGATTGCAAGCACAAGTATGCCCTCTTCTTGGCGGTCTTTCAGGCCTATAGTCCGCCACAATTTTCCGCGCCATGTGTGAGGCGGTGGCCGCCATCGAAGCACAGGATCTCTCTGCCGTTGTTCCCCTGAAGGAGGTCGCATCTCCTCAGCTCCCCATATACTGGTGGTTGTAGGATTATATGGAAATCGTGCTCCTGGGTCTTTGAACATTTTTTAAACGTTACTAGGTAGCGGTGGCTCTACTAGAAGCTCTTATAATGGACTGCACAACCCAGTCCTCAGCTAGCCCAAAACGAACAACAGGCTTATCTGCGTACCAGCACAACTTGGGCTACACCAACTACTCAAGTCGACCTAGTCCAGTAGAGAATTCTTTCAACTCTTGAATCTCACTCGCACCTCAGAAAAGAACCTCGCAGTTGCAGTTCCAAACTGACTGACTTTGCTGTTCCTCGTACCTAAAACATGCTGAGAGATCACTGTCCGAACGCTTCTCATAACTTTGGTGATAACCAAATGGAAATATTAGAGGTGAGACGATTGCTACACCTTTTCCTGATCTCGTGCTTTGCCTCGTCGATCATGATGCGAATCTAACCAACAACATAAGTACTTACAAGGTCTCTGCGCGTAGACGTTCGCAATTACGGATGATGCACAACTCCAACTGCAACTCTAACGTGATCATGAAGGCTCCCCGATCATCATGATCATGGAAAATGGGTGTAAGAAAGTACAGTACTGTTAAGTACTACCTAGTAGTACATCATCTATCTCTTCTATGCAAATGCTCTTCTTGGATGATTGGAGAAGTTGCAGGTCCACTGCATTAGAAATGGCAGATGATGTTCCAGATGAGCCAGAAGAGACCGCCAGCAAGCAGTATGCTACGTTCTTTGACGCTAGCGATGTAGTAGCGGCATCCGCCAAGAAGGACGATGACTGCCGTTTTCAGCTGCCGGTTGACATTGTCCTCGCGCTCAATCGCTTGAAGCATGAGGGATGTTGCTGAACCAGCGACGAAGCCCGCGACACAGCCGTGGAGATTCGCTATTTTCCTCTCACGCGTCTTCAGCAATTCGCGGCTTTGACTCCAGAAAGGAAGCGCCGCCCACATCAAGAGCAAACCGGGTAAAGCAACGCACCAGGCACCATAGAATGAAGATTCAGAGCAGCAGAGAAGATAATACATATTTTGCATGCCTGCTACAAAATGATGATCGATTTTTCACTGGTGTAGTGACAGCACCTATCCACGCAATAGAGAAAATCAAAATCTGGAAGTAATACACATGACTGTTTCATAAGACGAGACCTTTTACAACGGCGGAGAGCAAGTTATTTTTTGCTTTGTACTGCACATAGCTTCTCGCGAACGCTGCCGCATTTACTGCCAGCAATCGTGAAGAAGCACTTGGAAGTAGCCTTGAGGTGACCAGACCCAGCAAAAAGATGTTTCGTTTAGACGTGGTAGAGGATTTGATTATACAAACTTGTATTGTTCTTTGAGATTGAGAAAATAAAGACTCAACTAGGTTCATACATAGGTCCTGCTCATTTCCTTATGCTCACCGCATTTGATGAACTATTTGTAACTCGTCACGTCAAGGTAAACATCATGTTCAGCCAGTTTGTGGGTCTGTAGTACTTAACATCAAACCTCACTTTTTAAAGTCTTTGATTCATCGCAAGCACAACTAGAACAGCAAGTACTCGGACGATGAAGCTTAAGTTTCGGGACAGCTCTTTCGCACAAGAGTATCGGCAGCGTCTCAATCCATTCACCACTTGCAAACAGCACCACGCCGCTCCGCAGGTAGCTACCGCAATCTGCCAGGTCAGTGGTCAGCGAGAGCAACCAAGATGAGGCAAATAGAACTTCAAATTAGAAAAAGCGGCAAAGTCATTTACTAAAAGACGATGTATTTTTTCTGCTTGATATGTAGTTGAGTTTCAATCTATTGACGATCAATTTCGATGACAGAGACAGTAAGTATTCTAGTACTAATTCTTGACTATGTCTGAGTTGTACAACTACTTCTAGCACGGACTGACGTTATATTTCTCAAGATGCTAGTACTTCAACCATGCATCATTTCAAATGCATTCTTGTGCCGATGCAGAGACATCAGAGCCCAGTTGCAGTTTCTCCCTCCTGATGTTTCGTCCTAAATGAAGAATCCGAAGAGTACGTATCCCGTTTCTTCCTTGTACGAAACTAGATAATCGCGATCTGCGTCTAGGAGTCCGGCGCTTTGACTGTCATCACTACTCTCTGCGCCACGCTGTACAGAGATCAACGTGGGTGGCGCTCCACCTTGATCGCGGTAGAGGGAAATGTACCCAGCATCGTCCGAATCTTCGTGCATCAGTGAATTAGAGGTGCTATTCAAATTCATCTTGTTTGATTACGTACAAACTTTGCTGAGTGTGGTAGTTTCCTCTTAGTCATATCCTTGAAATGCTTACCAACTAGAATATTTCTAGTAGGTACTAGGACTAGATCTAGAAGGATGAAAGGTTTGATGACCAGATCGAGAAAATGTAGCCATAGGCAGAGGCGAGCCCTGTGTCCTAGACTGTTGCTGCCCGCGTCTGCTACTGCTGGCTTCACCGAACATGGAACCTGCGCGTACTCCGGGAGAATGTCTACTAGTTGTCTTCATGACAACGGACTCAGACTCACTGTAACTGTTTCATAAGCTTTGTAAACTTTTACTTTTTTCCCTCATAATGAAGACAGAAGTTGCATTCCTGATGAACAAAAAATTAGGTAAAAATTCTATACGTAGTACTCCTTGCAACACGACCCTGGTCAGAGTAGCGACTTGCCTCACTCGACGCGCCGTCTGCGCCTGTGTAGCCTTCTCGCCAGCCTATCCTAGATTCGAGCCAAGCGAGGAAATCTGTGAAGAATACAATCGATAAAACAAAGGGTACCGCGAGGAAACGCAAAATGTATATCTGCTCAGACACTAGCAGAATAGCCACGAAACCCAGAACCCACGCTATCTTCTGTTGTTAGACCTACCATAAATCCATCTTCAGCAGCATCCTCGTGCCCCTTTTCCCTTTAAAAACGGGACCAGGATGCATGTAGAGATGGTTGGATTTCTTGTAGCCTTAATGTTGGCGGTCCCTGGAGAAGGCCAGGGTCAGTTTCGTCGCTTTCTCGAGCGCGATACCCGTGAAACAAACGAAACTGCCATGCGCAGCCACGCTAAAGTAGTAGTCCCCGCTTGGGTCATCCTCATGGTGCTCCTCTTCGTCCCGTCCTCGTGAAGAGTCCCCGCTGCTCCTTGTTGCTGCTCCCCGTTCTGCAGCCCCTCTAATATGTTGCTCTCCTCGAATTGGAAGTTCTTCGTTTTTCACTATCATCTCACCCTCTGACGCTGACCCTACTGGACTGCTAGAAGTCTTATCGTTGTGCTGTCGGAGGTGTCCTAGATCACCTGTTGTGCTAGGTATTTCTTTTGGGAAATCCTCGAGGTTGCTTGGCACCATCCCCACGACCGGCTTTTGGACTTGGACGTCAGCACCAGTAGAATTGGCCTTGGCCGCTAGGTATACTCCTGAAGGTGTCGGTTTTGCAGACGTGGTCTGATTCTCGCCCTTCGCAATAGTACCGTTGAAAAGATTCCCACCTGCATGAATCAAGAATAGGGCCATCGCGTTCGCGACTGTGCTCGAGCAGTTGGCTACTGTAGTACTACTAGGCGAGACTTCACCGAAAAAGCCTGCTCCTGTACTGGGTGGATTTGTGTTGTTTGTACTAGCAGTCTGGTGGAACTGGTACTGGTCTGCATTTGTTGGTTGTACAACCAAATAGTGGTCGTTAACATGCGGACCTAGGAGCAGTGTATGCTCTCGACTTGCTTGCTCTTGCGCCACCATGGAAATCGGTGACGTCCTTCTCAAATTCTCATCCGAGAAAGCGAGATGACCCAAGGCGCTCGTTTTAGAGCTTGCACTTACCAAGAACGACCAATAGCACTTTTCTTCGTCGTTGAAATCACAATAAAGACAACAAACTACTTCGCTTGATGTCACTATGCTTTTTCAAGACATAGTTTGTTTCACATGATGCTCGACGTCTCCTCTACTAACAAGGAAAAAGTAGTAATTGTACCTAACCTACCAGTAGTTTGTCCAGTGCAAAATATAATACGGATACATAGAAATACATCCTCAGTGAGTAAGATTTCCGCCACCAGTTTGGAAATATGATGCATCTTCTAGTTCTGTCTTGTTCACGATCAAGAACCTAACTGTATAACTCGGCCCTCCTCGAAAAAGCTTGTTATTCTCCAACGGAAAGACTAGCACAGAGCTGAGGAGAGCACCTACGAAAGCCGAAAGCACTGCACCGGGAACGATGAGAAGCATCGCAGATAGCAAAGCTCCATCATTAGAATCGTTAGGTGGCACATGATGATCATCAACAATCAAATGCAATAAATCTAAATGCCACTTTCGTAATCGAAATGCGTCACGAACATCAAATTAATAACAATATCAATAAGTTGTTTTGACTTGCTACTCAATTGTACCTGCAGCGAGGTTGTCTCATTATCAACACCGAAGGAGAAAGATAAGAAGGACGCAGAAAGTTTCATTCTATTTTCAGCGTGGTAGAGAATTATGGGGTACTTTATTTGTCGGGATCTCCTCCTGGCTGTGTCTGTTAGTTTAGTCGTTGTACTTAGTTTTATAGCAATGTATGTGTGAAAAGCCCTTTAAACCCCATAGCATATCAAGAAGACCGCTATGAACAGCTGCGACTGACGTGCAAAGCTGGACCATGGTTAGACCAGGAAGCGCATGGGCTAAATGCAGGAGCTCCCGGATCTGACTCTGGCGCAGCCATCCCTCTTTCCGGACAGATATTTAGACCTTACCCCGAGCCCAATCTCCTGAGAACAAGAAACTACAGCGAGCTTGGAGGTAGTACTAATTTCATCTATTCACAACACTCTTGTTCCAAGAGCGTGATCATGCTTCTGAGTGAACATATCCATATGTAATGTGAAACGAGGGCCCGATGTAGATGGATTTTTTTCGTAGAGTTACTATACGACGATCTCGGAATAACCCTGCCCCTGCCCTGCTTCTGAAAATAATCTTGTTTGCTTTAGATGGACATCAAACACGTATCCATGCATGCGGGGAAGCCTTAAAATATGTCCACGATACGATTCGGAGATAAGCGACTCCCATGCATTCCGAGGAACGACGCAGGTGAAGTAGATGCTGTTGCTGCCCTAGTACTTCCATTATGGATATCGGAAGAAATTGAGGGCCCTGCGGCTGCGCCTAGAGCGAATGTTGAAACGATCCACAATCCATCCCCTCCATGCATACTCCTTGATTTCTTCTAGTGCTATTTTGTCAAGTTTAAGAACTTCTTTATCGTACTGAGTGACTTATTTTTTGAGGCTTTCAATTTGTCGGGATTTCCTCCTGACTGGTGTGTCTGTTTCGTTGATGTTATTATTAATTTATACTTAGAAGTGGTTCTGGTTTGTTAGTATGTTTGAGGGATGGACTAGGATGCCATGATAATGTTCGTGCATCTGGAGATGCTGTGTTCTCATCACCAGCATCACATGCAGCTGACCTGGAAAACAGGGACGATGCTCCTCTGCTGAAAATCTCCGGAATCTTTATCAGCCCGTTGCGAACCTGTTCACATTAGATAGAGTCGAATGATAATCGCATCTTTGTCGTCAAGTCAAGTCCCCTTTTTCCAAGGGTGTGCCTGCTACAATATGTTCATGCACATTCATGTAGTATCTTGCTTCTAAGTAATAGCATGCTCAACTTGAGGTAACGATTGATCTACTCTAAGGCAACCTAAAACTACAGCATCTCAAGCAAGAGCAACGACGATTGAAGTAAGAACCAGCATAGTCACAAGGGTGAGGACGAAAACGGGGAGAAGTATCTTCCATTTAAGTAAGTCTATGCTTGCTGTTGCTGTGTTTGATTATTAGGTTTCAGCGCTGTGTCCGCTGTTTGGTTATAATTAGGGTATCACACAGACATGTTCGTAGCAAGTAGCATTTCTAGTATTCTTGTTTCACCAACCTCTTCCTTAATCCTCATAGCCGAAGCCGATACCCAGACCTAATCGGCCAAAAGTGGAAATCACCTCGGTTAAACGAGTACCCGCGGATAGTTTTTCGCTCTCAATTTCCTGCTCAATGAGCGACACATACCCGAATTCGACAGAAGGCTGCGCCCTGCTAGCGCGCTGAACGGGGGTAGAAGAGGACATCTTATTCGCTCTTCTTCGTCAGTTCTGGAGACACGCACGACGCGGACAGGATGGGGTAGCAGCTCCTGGAGAGACAGCAACAGGATTGCAACCACTTAGCACGCAACAAATCTACGCACGGCATTCATCTTGTCCCTAAATCATGATGCGCATATGCATGATTTATCTTCTTGTTTTTGATGTTACCATGATGAAGATCTACTATCGCCGATTGGAATAATACAATTAGACAGCACCGATTGCGAAATAGTGATCAATATCCGCAAGAGCAAGTACAACAAGCAATTGTGAACTTAATCGTAATCATCACTCAGCCTCTCCTTCCGAATCCACCCGATATCGTACTCTCTCTCTCTTTTTCTGCTCTCTCTGATTGGCCCACTCATCTACTCCATCTTTGCAGGTTATGTGCGTGTTTGGATTCATTCGCTGTAACTAATATAGGAAAGAGCCAGTGAGTCAGTGAGAAGCCCGTGGAATCACTGAACAATAGACTACTAACTTGGTGTGTTCCTGACCAAGAAAGATCTTAGAGGAATCGGAACACCTCGTGTAAACAAGAGGAAACTTCTCGTCTACTTACTTTATTCACCAACATGATCATCTGCACTTCTTCGACATGTATTTGATGTTGTGCCTATCGTTTCAGTCTTTCTTCCTTTAGTCAATATGATGTTAATATCCCGTACATAGTTTCCGACTGACACTGTGTCAGTTGTTCTTTCCGTGGCTGCAAATTCAATACGCATACTCAACATCGATGAAATATTTGTTCCCATTGTCATACGTCCTTTTTCTTTTTTTCGGATAGGATAGGGCGCCTTTGCTAAGTCTTCACGCGAGGTGCCGACAGAAGCTATGTTCTGTTCATATCGCTGTTGTCACCCTATTCATTATTAACTAACACTAACATGCTTCTTCACACGACACATAGTTGTAAGTACTACATTTAATTACTCGAATCAATGTCCTCTTGTGTTTTTACTTTCCTTTAAGATTTTTCGTAGCTACAAAATGTTGAATTTGAGCATTGCTTGGCTTTGTGGAAATACAACTCAAAGCTGCTTGCGTATGCGACGTCTTTTGTCTAGTTTGCTTTTCAACACCTTAATATTCATCTGATATTTCACATGCACGAGGTTGCTGCCTAACAAAGTATGATGTTCTACCCGATTTCCCTCGCGCTCGCGAGCCCGCTTAATTTTTGGTCGAGGGTCACAGGAGCAGCACTCGCGAATGATCTTTTATCACAGCGTGGGACGCAGACAGCTCAGACGACAAGGACAACTTCGACTGTGAAGGCGCAGCACGTCATGTTGCTCACTTTCACATGTATTTCATACACTACTGCCGTTAGAAGCCTGTAGTTTGTAGAAAAACTCCTCTGCTCCGCCAAGATGAGCACTTCTCGTCGATCGACTCCCTGTCCCTACTTCCACTACTTAGATGAAGACGAAAAGTACGGCCAGCGTGTACATCCAGGAAGCCCGACCCCGCTGCTGCCCGTGTGCAGCGAGCGTGGTTGGCGGAGCCTCTGGAGTTGCCTTGTTGAGACGTAGGAAGCTATACCAGGGACACACAGAACCCTAGGCCCGTCCCCGTGCCCACAAAATGTTATACTGAGGTAGAGGCTACAGGGTCGCACTACGCACTAGACACCGCACCACTATCAAACGACTATAACAATTTTCTTACCTAGTCATTTTGTGTAGAAGCGTAGCAGTGCCATCTTTCAATAGAAAAGATGTAAGTGGGTCGGTATAAAGTAAATTCATACTTGTTCCATTGCTCAATTCATACTTGTTCCATTGCGATCTTCTTGATAATAAATATCGACTTTTTGAAATACCTTGATGAGCTTAACTATATCTCTCTCCATACATCATTGACGAGTTCTCTAGTAATTCCATAATCAGTCGTATTCACTAAATGAGATTGATGCCTTTTGTTCTTGTTTTTGTTATGTTGTCTCAACAGACATACGAAAAACGGTTTTGAGTTGTAGGAAGATGTAAGTAACTCTTTGTCTTTGATTCACTGCCCCGCTTTTGAGTTTTGCTCCCATGAGTCTCAAGTAGGAAGTATTGTTTTTATATCAATCCAAGATGCATTAGCAAGCTAGCCAAACGTCGCTCCTGACAAGAGTCCTCGCTCTCTGTTTGAGCCCGCCTCTGTATTGAAGCGTGCGAAGTTTTAGAAAAGAGTTGATTGGCAGGAAAAAATCGTCTTCCTCCACCAGATCAAGAAAATTATAATGCATGGTTACTACGATTGACTGCTTACTTCGATTTCTACGTCAACATGGATTATTAATAACTCTTGCAGAGTACTAGGTAGTGCTCAAGAACTTCTACTTCCCAACTCTACCACTACCTACTGACCACATAATACTCACTGTCTTAGTTTTTGCCTATTTTTTGAACCAACGAGCAAATAGAGTTAGTTAGTTAGTTACTACGTAGACCTACAATTACAATAACATACAAGTCACATTTTAGGAATACACTTTCATTTTCATACATATTAACAAACGACTCAACATCTTAGCAATTATTCGCAAGATGTAGTAGATGTAGATGTTCGTAGTCAATTTTTTGACTACTTATAATATATACACTTGCCTGTACCACGGGGGGGCCTCCCTCCCTGGTACATATATAGGCACTTACTTCACACACATATGATAACATGGTCCGCATACGCGTAATCCTTAAATGTGAAGAATCTTCAACTCCCCAAATTCCACCAGATGGGTCCTTAATGGACCTCCACTGGGTCTAATTCTGAAGAAAACACAGAGAATAAATGATCGAGACGCACCGGCATGGCAGAAATTTCCGCATACACCTGCCCATTGCCGAGGGCTTCAAGCACTTCCTCCGCTTCTTGCGGCGTTGGAATACCCAATGCCGCGGGTTGGGAATCCGTATGTTTTGCTCCAGTTTTTCCTGACAAGAGTCTCCTAACAGACTGTAATCCCCGACGCACATTGCGCAGCATCCCCGGCTTCGATGTGGAGGTGCCGGCTATAACGTCTTGCGGCGTGCGGCCCTGACCCTGCAAGGTAAAATACGTATACACGTACTTCCCTCCAGCCAACTGCTCGAATGTAAAGACTGTGACATCTTGAGCACGCAGAGTATTTCGCACTTCTTCGTCAATGGTCTCCAGAAGTTTCTGAACGATCTCTTGCTCGCGCTGTAGCTTTTCCGCTTGCTGGACATCCAAGGCGTGCTCTTCTCCATATTTCTGTATGGCCGTGAGGAGCGCTTCGTCATTCACGCGTCTCTCACTGCCTATACTCTGCTCCCGCAGCCGGTGCTCTTCCAGTGGAGTCACCGACACTGTATGTGAAAGGACGTTGATCAAATGCGTTGTAGCAACAACGATTAGGTATGGGACATACTCTGACTTCGGACCTAAGAACCAAAGTGGAGATAATTGCTAGCGTTGCAGCTGCCACGGAGGCAGATGACCGGAAGAGCTAAACCAATAGAGTCTACTCGTTAGTGTTAACAGCGGGTTGAGAATACACAAGGCGTCCCACATATGTATCACAAAGGTATCAAGAGGTTGAAGCCAAGGAGAAAATCTTAAAAGCACGTTGGCCATGTCGGCAGCTCGCGGGCCCTTGAGCATATTTGCACTTTCTACAGCAGTACTTTTAGTTTATTGCAATCGCTCTTATCGAATGCTGTTGTACTTACTTAGACTCTAAGAGAGATAGTACCTCCATCTGTGCTTCCCAGCCTCTCCCCCTGGCAAGCTTTCAGGAGGCGCTGCACCTGCGCTTCGCGCTCCTCAAGCGAACGCTGTAGCGCAATAACGCGCTCCTGTGTCCGTCGAATTAAAGCTGTTGTGGTTGCTGTATCAATCTTCCTCATAATAAAGGAAACAGAACCGGACCGTCTTCTATCTACTTAACAGTGGTGCATTGACATCGTAGAAGTTGTGACACATCTTCATTTACATTTTCTAGATTGAAAATCACTAGATGCAAAAAATGCAAATCTTCTTTCTTTCATGCCCATTTTTGGAGTTCAATGGCCTTAACCTAAGCTTTCCCCGATCGTCCTCGAGAAAGTTCACGATACTGTTCTTGAAGTTTGTCGCCATGGCTCCAACCGTCTCTATCATCGACGCTTCACCGCCCACCTCGGGTTCGGGGTCGATTTTTCTGTACAAGGAGTACAGCCGATTGTTGTCATCAGGGTCGCCAGCACGACGAGTAGGACCTTCAGAATCTTGACGTAGTTCCTCGGAAAAATATTCCACACCAAGACCGTCCACAGCAGATGATGTTGTGTAGGCTCCAAAAGGCAGACCGTCGTAGACAAGTTTTCTTGCAGCAATTGTTTCTTGTTCCGCCGTCAGTTCTTTTACTTTCTCCACATATTTGACATAATCACCCTCTTCTTGTCTACGACCTTGATCAGCATCGCTACTAGTGCCCGTGATGGTTGATTTTGATACCGGGACAATTCTGAAGCGACCCAGGCGACAGATCCACGGCCCAACATTTGACGGTCCTCCTGCTCCAGTAGAGAGTGATGCCGAGGAGGACAGTGGAGCGGCAAAGAGAAGCACGGCAGCACATTCAGGGTCCTCCTGGCACATGGTGAGACAAAAGCCAGTAAAAATTTGCTGCTGACGTTCATAATTCGTGACTTCGTCCCCGACGATACCAGCCTCTTGAGCAAACTGAGCCCAAGATCCGCATCGCATGCCAGGTCCAAAGATTTGACGAGATTGAATTAGAAGAGGTATTTATTTTTTTACTTCAGTATTTATTGAGGGCATGTTGTTCATCAACGTGCATATCACTCCGAAAAAGAGAACCACGCTGTAGTAATTCTAATTCAAATATTAGACCAAGGTTGTAGGAGGTTTGTACTTGTAGTTGAATTAAAGGAGAACAGTCGTGAAATAGTTTTACCTTTGTGTTGAGTAAACCAAATGCCTCCTTTTTATCAAATTCAATTATGAGCCATCTCGCTTATAAACTCCCTGTGACGAATCTTGATATTCAATTTATTATACATAGATGGATATCAGGTGGTCTTCTGCAAATATGTATACATAGATACTATGGGTATACATACTTAGTCAAACAAATCATGACACGTTACCATGAATACAACGATCACTTCACCTACTTAGTTGTATCGTGCAGGAATCTAATAAATGGAAATCTCGCGGGGGATATGAATGACTTTCTTATGAATACCAGGCAGACCACAGACGAGCCTTAAGTCACGGTGAGGTACCTTGCATGAAGAGCTGTCAGACGCCTCCGGAACTGTGTCGAAGATCAGAATAAGTGAGAGTTGTCCTCCCTGATCCTGAGATCGACCTGGCAATTTCCTCCCGGGTCCCGACCTTAGCAGCTGACTATTAAATTCGAACATCGAAAGACGCTGGAAAGGAAACATCGGACGACGTACATATTGCACTCGGTCTCGTACCTTGTCGATGTGTTCCGTAGAGTGCGCATTTACATCTATTCCCGTTACTTGAAGGACCTCTTGCGCGCTCACTTGCGTGACTACGTTTTCCATGCGAGGGAAGCGCTTCCTCTCGAGCATCAAGAGATTGAAGGCGAGATCCTCACTGAGAAAGACGAGCTTGCGCCATTCGGCGGCGATTTTACTGCTCTCCTCTTGAAGGCTGATCACCTCCTGCATCATTTTCAGCCATACTCCGCTTTGCATGACAAATTTCATGTCAGTATCATCTTTAAGTAGAATGCGTTGCGTAGTCTTTAAGGAATCTTGGAACATCGTTTTCTCCACCTCCAGATAATATCGCGCGATCTCCCTGTTGACTGCACGCCACTCCGCCAACTCCCGTTGAACTTGTTGACTGTGCTTGTACTGCGGTGACCATTGCCCTGGGAAGCTCCAGTCCGAAAAAGGGGGCATGTTCGCTTCATCCGTGCTCGCAAAATCAGACTCTAACCCGCTCCCGATTCCCATCAGCGGTCCCATGACAGTATGAAGATTTCCACAACAACTACAACAACAACAGTCCAGAATCTCCTGTAGATTACTTGTATACATAGTAGTTGTATTTCTAGTTCCTCATCTACTTCTACTAAGAGCACAGCATGTTGTAGGAGAGGTATACAAATGCAGTTCTAATTTGGCACAAAAAAATGAATTGAAGAGTCCATTGGCTTTGATACTGTCGTAGAAGTAGACGAGATCTTTAACATCAAAAGGCTGGCTCAATTCATTAATAATAAAAATAAGTTTGAATTCCTTCGCTATATTGAAGTCCTTGGGTACGACGTCATCGTCATGTCAATGTCTAACACTAACTTTAAATTAAAGTTAGACACTGTCACTGATTAACGTACACTAGAAGCAGTAGCTGCAGTGTTAGCTCCTGTAGATCCAGCTTGTAAATCCTGAGCTGAGAGGCGCGTCAGGTGGTCATGCTCATGTCTGTGTGTGCTCGTGTCATGCTTCACCTTAATGCATCTTCGAAGAAGCAAAATATTGTTTATTGAAAAGAAGTGAAGTTAATATCTAATGGATACTTCTACGAAAAATATTTGACTTCTGATAGATATATCTGTGTCCATTGCCGAAGTTTATGAATCAGCAAGCTCGTCATGAATTCTGGGGAAAATATAGCATGGAAATTAGGGAAGGTAGCTGTTGTAGTGGTATGCATTCATAATCGCTGTGCGACCAGGCGTTGGGCATTGGCACTCCCCTTTTGCCAGCCGTCGCATCAGACCCTGAGCGTGAATCTGATCCAGGCTGTAAAATGTGTCGTGTGGCGGCGTCTGACACGGCATTCGCAGCGCCATTTAGAGCGGCGAGCCCCGCGGCCCCCAGCGCCCCCACTTCAAGACCCGACTGCAGAAACGATGCTCGGCTCTCAGCCGCATCTGAATCAACATCTTCATGACCACTGCTGTTCAGCGTCCGAGTGCTCCTCGTCCCCGTGATACTCTCGTCTTCGAACATTGGCATTCCGTTCCCAGAAAAAAATGTCTTGTGGCCTGACTCGAGGAATGAGGATCCGCCGGTCATTCTTTTACTTCCGTTCCCACTCCCGAGAGGTCGCCCTGGTTTTGCCTGTGATGGTGTTGAGCCCTGTTTTCCTTCAGGAGAACTTGACGTGAACCCATCTTGTTTTACGTCTCCGTCATATTCCGTATCACTTTGAGTTGCATCTTGTTGACCTCCGCCATCGCTTTCGAGTAGTTCCATTGTCACCTGCTCGGCTTCCTGTTCATCCTGCTTAGCCTTCAATTTCGACGGTCGCATCACCTCTTCCATTTTTTTGATTTTCTGATGCGTGTTCGTGTTTCTCGTTTGCCCTTTCCCGCGCCTTTTTTTCAAGCTTTCTGTCACGCCTAACCACATAGCTCTCTGGGCAGCCTCCACTCCGGTAATCTCCACCATAATCTGCTTGAAGAACCGCAGCAGAGAGACGTAGTCGAGCCTGAATCGGTGTTGCTGCGTGAAGTGGCCCCCTTCTTCGTAACGATAATCATAGCGTTTCAAGCGTGAGTCGAGAAAAAGCATCCGCATGCGTAGTCCGCGTTCTTCTTTGGAAATCTTTCGTAGTTCCGACACTTGTGAACGCAGAGCGGAGTACAGAGCTTCGAGCGGGTCCTTGATTAACATTTGCTTTAAGGTGGCTGTGGTGCCGACCTTTTCCAAGACTAGGTACTGACCAGATGCCTGAGCACCTTTTTCGAAGGCACTCTGCCACCACGGACAATACGGGGGATCAGATCCAGCCGGCTCTTCTACCGACGCCTTTCCTTCTTCTCCTCGACGAGGAGAGCTGGCCGAAGCAGGTGATTGCCGCGCATCTACCTCTGGTGTGAAGTCACGAAGTGCATCTATTCCGTCAACAGTTGGGAAATAAAAGTCAGACGCTGGCCCTTCGTCGCCGTCTTTCTTGCGACGAAAAATGCAGTCGGCTTTCTCTAGGAGAGACCGAAGCGTAGTTTGTAGTTGGTGTCCTGCCTGAGACGTCTTCGAAGTTCTTGTGATCGATGTCCCGCCAATGCCGTCCCCATGTGGGCCACTAGCGTTTCCTGCTTGCTTCATCGCGCCCCTCCTGCTACCTAAGAGACAGAGCGTGGCAATCGGTACGTCGATGCTGTAAAGTTTTCCCTCACCCTGCATTGTCCTCGTGGGAGATGTCGTGGTCGTAGGAGCGAATGTCTTCTGCGGCTTCTCCGCTGCAAACTTCACCACGGCAACGTCGCACGACGTTAGGCTCGGGTCAAGCACTTCTCCCTGGGCACCTTGCATAGGTTTCTTGTAGACCTCTTCGCTGCTGCTCAAGGCTAGACACTTGCGTGAACACGCTGCAATGACATCTGCCCGACGTCGTTGAGTCATCCGCTGGATCGTCATCTCCCATGACCTCTCTAGTTCTGAGTCCCCATCAACGCGAAGATGGAGTGAACCTCCACCCAGCATAGAAGAAACGGCGCTGGTGCTGGACGAAAGGGGTGAATGAGCCGATTCGTGACTAGACAACAATTGTGGCCCTGCTCGTCCAGCTGCTTGCCCAGTAGATGAGTGCGGAGGTCCAGAGTAAAAAGCCTCACGCCAGAAGATGTCCTTTGACAGATCAGGTGCATTAGGCCAGTGTTTGCCAACCACTACCATCGTCTTGGGTCGTATCGCCTCCTCCCGAGCTGCCACCGCAGCGACTTGCTCCTCCCTCAGCTGTTGTAGATCCCGGAGCTCCTTGGCGACGTGTTTTGGAGCGATGTCTTTCGCGATTTTTCATTTTCAAAGAACACATGGATACTCATACACGACAGGCAATTTCCTTTTCTCATTCTGACTAACAGCTTGACATTTATAATAAAATATAAACACTTTGATATAATTAAAGAGAATAATGGAATTTTTTTAGACGGAAGAAGTGCTAAAGAAAAAGAGTCGGCATCAGTTTAGGTATTACTTCGTCTTAATAGCGTTTTAAGCTTGAGATAGTTGCCGGGATAGTTGCCAGAAAGTTTTTTGTAGGCGAGAGTACTTCAAATCATCTTAATAAATTTTCTCAATAATCAAAATTAGTATTCATTTTTGCAAAAAAAATATGAATTCTTATCGAGAGCCTTAACTTTTGCTTCTCCAGCGACAAGGCCTCGCGCTCTTGGACCAAATCTTCGACCTTTTTCTGCGCCAAGATCTTGGACTCCAGATCGGCGCTGCTTTTGAAGAGCTTAATATACTTAGCATCCAGGACAGTAGACGAGCTCTTCCTCTCAGATTGATCTTGATGGCCCTGTTGAGAGCCGTCTTTTTTTGCACCAGTGGAGGTGGACTTTTTACCTTCAAAGAGATGACGTCCGGCGTTGTTCAGCATACTTTTGATTTGTTCGCTGTACGAGGCGTACTTTGCGCGTAGCAGCTTCTCCTTGTTCTCAATCTTGGCCGTATCGCGATTGATTTTCTGGAGGTTCGCTAATTCTCGCGCAACTTTCTTCAGGTGCGTCCGATTCCTTAGAAGTGCTTCTGCTTCTTTTTACTCATATTCTAGATCAGGTATAATGAGATAGGACTAGGAAGGAACTCTTCAAGCTACTATTTCGATGAAGGAGACCGTCCAAACGAGGCAAAGGTACGCCTACGCGGCTAAATCTACTCTGCATAGTCAATTCATTTTCATCCGGCACGATTAGTTTGCATCGCTCTGGGAATCTCATGCTCATAATGAATAGAACTACGGAAAGAAAGAGAAACGCAGAATGAAAATAAATAAGTAATATTCTCTGAATAAAGTGGTGCGATCAACATCATGATCAACATATTAGATGCGGGATCGACCACAATAAAACGACGAACAGGTGGTTAAATTCATTGATCACAAGAAGAAGAGTCTTAAGTATGGGTAGCCTCCGAATTTCCGAAAAATTTTTGGGACCCAGGTTCGGTCGTGTGCGAGTTTCACCCGGTCATCTAGTGGATGTTTTTTCAGCCTCGCGCCAACGCTCATCGTTTCTGAAGCAGCAGCAGCCAGAGCTTTCGGACTCGCCTTTGCCAAGACTGATTCAAATGCGCTCTCAAACACCTTGCTTCCCAGTGTATCATCCTGAGCTTTAGCTTGTTTCTTCATCCACTCTTCGATCTCTTCATGCTCATCATCAACGGAGAAATCCTGAAAATAGGCTGCCTGCGAATCCTGTTCTCTAGACGGAGCCTGAAAATAGGCTGCCTGCGGATTCTGTTCTTTAAACGGAGGAACGGCCAAGGATTGTTGATGTAATGCTTGTTGTGGACCTTGTTGTAAAATGATCGGAGACTGAGTTTTAGCCGCAGTTTGGGGGTCTCCAGCTGGATGCAGCACGCTCGTGGACGATAATGGTTGCGACGAGGATGCTTCTCCTTGGCCTTGAAGAGCTACAGTAGGTGGCGAAGCTTCTAACACCTGATCTGCGGTCTCGGTATTTTGTTGTTCTGGTCCGCTCCAAGAATCGTCATCTTCTGAAAAATTGGCATCTGATGCTCCTGTTCCGGAATCGCCTACCTCGATGTCCGTGGATGCCTCGCTCATAGTGGTTTGCCCACTGGGCTTTTGGTTTCCTTTGCCCGGAACCAGATTTGGAGAAGGTGCAACAGCGGTTCTCTGTGGCATAAAATTACCGTGACCATCAGGGTTCTCGTTCGACATAGGAATATCTCCAAAGTGAGTCCCAAACCCTATTCCATCCGCTAGGGTAGAAAATTGCAAAAGAACCAACCGAAAGCTCAACATCATCTGAGGTCAATGAGCCAAAAGCTGGGATGTTAAATTGTAAAAGACAGACCCTATGTCGGGATATCTTCCCACGTTCACTGGAGTCGAGAGAAAGATAAACGTGACACTTCCACGATTCGCTTGGGAAAATCGATTTTAGTTTGTGGCGATGCAAATTGAAGAAGGAACAGAAACTAAATATCTCACTTCAGCTACCTCCACTCCTAGACTTCTGAAAGCGTAAGCGATACTACTATGGAATGATCGATAGTATACTGAATAGTATCTATCATCGACTTTGAGTTTCGAAGGATTGATTTTTTTTTGATCTAGGGTTTGGATCGTAGAGTTGTTGGGGAAATTGTCAGGACAAACGAAAAAGAAAGGATGATGATACCATCAACCTCTTCGCCTTATTCACTGAAAGGACAAGGATTCATAGAAAGATTGATTTGAAGTTCAACAACAACCACAATGGTATTCCATGATGGAGAAGAGCTCACTCAGAATTCGCTATAGCATTTGTTGCTGGTCTCCACCTCCAGCGCATCGACTTTCTTGTCGTGACAGAGTGATGATCGCTCACGACAAATGACAGATCGTAGTAGAATGATCTTGTAGTTATCTATCAGTATCACTATCAGGAGATGACAGAGAGATGATTTAAATTTTTGCCTTTTCTCTCGCAGAACAGAGATAAAAAGAGACAGAGAAAGTAGATCCTTTTCCTGACACAGCCTTACTAGACAGACATGAAACAACTCAACAGAAGCTACTCCACGACTAGCTCTAGCATCTTCGGGTTGCTTTATATTTTCTCATCCAAACATGTACAACTACCAGTGAAGCGTTTCAGCACCTGTCTAATTCAACACGCCCAAATTCAACACGCCCAAAAATCACAGCAATTTCGCTCACTCTAGAACAAAGCCAGAAGTGCTTGTAGCTCTATGATCTCCTGCCATTTCATTCTCTTTACTGATCTTTGCTTGCTTCATCACGATTGCTTGACGAGAATCATGACCACTTCTCCTGAAGATTCACAGTCGTGCATATTTCACAGTTAGCTTAATATATAAGGCAGACAACGTTGATGAAAAAATCTGAATGCAGGAAGGAACCAGTCGTGATAAATGAATTTCTGCAACTAGTGTTGAATGATAACTTCGACGAGTTTGTCGTGTGGAGTAGAGAGAGAAAGAGGTAGTAAAGAGAGAGAGAAACAATTGATTCTAAACAATCATCCAACACGGACATTCACTGACACCCCCGACGGTGCAGTGGAATTCCCTGCTAGCCGTTTCATTCGACGACCACGCGGAGCTTGCACTTTCGCCGTTTTCTTGTTCATCATAGCTTTTCGCACTAACGTCTTTTTTGAAGACGTCGCTTTGCTTACCGTTTTCATCATGCTCTTCTTGCTCAGCATCTTCATCTTCATACTCGCAACGGACTTCTTTTGCATCGATTGCATCGTCGCCTTAGTCGTTCTGTTTGCTATTTTTGTACCTCCTCTAGTACGAGCAATGCTTGAGGCTAAAGGGGTCTTCTTCATGCCGGTGGGAGAAGCTTTCATGATCTTGTACTTCACACTCTTCATGATCTTCATGCTGCTATTCTTTGTCTTAAGAGTTGTGCGGGAACTCCGCATTGCTTTCATGGCGGTCTTCTTCATGCGAAGAAGTGGCTTTTCGGTTTTCTGTTTCTTCATACTTAAAGTAGTCCCCATTTTTTTCATCGTTTTTCTGCTCAAATTCCCCAGCAATGTTGCAGAAGACGAACCTGGCACGGCCACGCGGACGGCGACAGAAGGACGCGCTGCTCCTGCGGAAGAGTTTTTCTCGCCTTCATCGCGGTCTACCTTTTGCTTCAGCTCTTTTAGCTGCTTCTTCAACTCTTGAAGCTCCTCCGAGCCACTGCTTGCTGGCGACGCCAGCACGTTGTAGACATTTTTCGTCAGATTGTAAGTCACACTGTGTTTTTCTGGGTAAGAACGCGTCAGACTCATCGACTGGTGAGAACTACCGTTGGTAGTATGGGGGGCGAGTATTTTGTTGCCACCTCCTCCAGCACCACTCTGAAATTTCGAGATAGAAGCAATATTAGGGTGCTGTGATTGATGCTGGACCACAGCAAGCGCATTCGTGGAAGAAGCTTTGGCGGTCTTATAATTTGCGTCACTAGAAGTACTATTGGATACGTATCGGAAACCTGGGTACTTCGCGCCGTCATCAACTACATGACGTTTCTTGTAATAGGTGGGCGTGTTGGCGGATGAGCCACGGCCAACTAGACTGGTAGTCGCACTTCCAGTTGTTGCACTAGTCGTTCTACGGTAATGACTACCACCTTCCGCCGCCGACGACCCCGACTTATCATAACCGCGACCTCCTGGTGTCGAGTAATTGGTGTAGTTGCCTCGAGGATAAGTATAGCCGCCATGTTGCTGACCTACATTGCTCGAGCCAGTTGTGCCATAGGTCGTAGATGAAAATGCCGCCGCAGCGCTACTCGAGCTGCCCCGCCACGAGTTTGCCGATACACCACCAACCACGCTCCCACTTCGGAGGTTGTACGTCCGTGATTCTCCTGCAGAGGCTCTGCTCCCACCTGCAGCAGACGCTTGATTGTAGGAGGTGTGCTGGCAGCTCCCCGAAGCACTAGAGGAACGCCGATGACGATCCATTTTCAAATCTTTGGAGGTGGATGTCGAGCTTACTATTACGTTGTTACCTCTTTATTAACAATAACAAGAAGAAAGACTTATAAACTTCTACGATAATTACACGGGATGAATCTATCAGGCAATATCGAACTGAGATTATAGTAAGTTCGGAACACTTCTGCAGACCCCTTCTAATCCGGAAAAAGGAGAATCACCAGACTGAATAAACCAAATTACGATTTCGTCCAAGGAGTAGGAACAAGAAATCCTAGGGATACGGCGAATCAACTTAAGTCCTAAGGTAGGTTGTAGCAGATGTACCAGAAATAAAAGACACATGAAAGAATTATTTATTTGGCTTCCTATCTTCATCACGAATATTGATATTTTTCTTACGCTCGAGCTCGATAATACAATACGAGGCTCTGGTCAATCTGTGAGGAAGGCTCATCCATGGGAGAATATTATATGTTCTGACTGTGTCTAGTCAAGGTTTTGTTTTGCACTATAAATTCACACTAACCTGGCCGTGGTACGTAATAAAGGTTCAGTCAGTAAACAAATCAGGTACAACATCACGCCACTCGGTAACAGATTTCTTCGCCTACGCCTCTGTTGACGATAAACAAAAGAACTGAATACAAGTAGATCATTGTCCTGTTTTGAGGCTCACAACGTGGGACCGATGAATTTGAGCCGATATTGTCGAGAACTCTCATGACAGAATCAAGAGAACCAGACTTCGTAGACACATTCACGCCCTATGTGCTGTCAGTTGTGGAGGAAATCGTCTTCCAAAATCAAGGAAGAATTACACGACTCAGAACCAGAAGACTCACACCTATTAATAGAATTCTCATGATAGCAGAAGACGATGCGTACTACGATGATTTACAGTAGAGCAACTGCAAACTCAGGGTTCGCAAGATCGTTGTACGTACAACTGCTCAAGTTCATTTACAAAATAAACTGATTCAATAGATGCTGCTCCCTGTGCAAAATTTGTAGTGCAAAAACAAAAGCGAAACGAAAATCATGTTGTTTGATAAGTGTGAAAATCTATCACATTTTTTTATGGAGAAGTTTGCACGAGTTCGTGTGCTAGTGTCTGTACATACTGAAAGAGAACTGTCCATTCCCGTGTGTGTAACCGTTCGCATGTCACGATTTCTTCCTGTATCGCTGTTTCATTTGAACCGGGACAGCGTGACGTACCTGTTTCAAGAGCGAAAGTTGTACAACTAGATGTGCTTCTGGTTCTGGATGCTGATCCTGATATTGAAGTGGAAGTTGAAAAACGAGCTCGTTCCGTCTTGATTCTTGCAGGGGCATTGTGGCACTCGTGATGCCACCTCTCTTTCGTCAAGCCAGCTTTCCCTGCTATTTCGACCGCTTGGGCGATGCGCGTGTTCAGCATGCTTCCAAAACAAAGCAGCTTGTTCTTCCTCGCCATACCAATAGCTTGATGTTGGTTTGCTGTAGATGGGACTTTGTCGTGATGTTGTTCTGCTTGATGTTGTTCTGCATCAATCGCTTTTCGAAGATGTGCATAGATCGGACTTTGTGGTGAGACTTTCTGCAATAAGGTGTTCGAATTCTGGTAGCCAGTCCGCCCAAACTCACAGCGAAAATGCGCCTCATACCGATGAACCAAAGCATGCACATAGTGCAAAGCTTCTAGCTTCCGCCTCGAATTTCTTGCTTTTCCTCGATCTCGTTCGACCTTATTTTTTATTTACGACATTATCATAGCAGTCGTAGTTGTATCACTTTCAACGTGAAGATAGCCCCATTTTGAGTATAATTATGATGTGGTGCTAAGTCTAGCTGTAGATGCTATGCAATCTACGCTGGACAATGACTTGAAATGCAACGAGACACACTACCCCGCAAAAGGGCAGCGCTGATGCAGATACGATGTATCTATCTTGTAGGACTACCTAGTGAATGTCACATTTGATATCTCTTTACCGTTAGACCATGGAAGAATGGTTGTCACTCAGAAAAACTTTTTGCTATGTTTAGCATTAGAGGGTGGTAAATGTTGAGATACCATCGACGGAGCGGCGTTCGTCGGTTCCGCATTGCCATGCGTTTCTTCCGGTGGCGCAGCAGCGGCGAGCAAATCCGAACTACAAAAATGCAGACTCGCCTTCGGTACAGCACTTCCACGGCGCCGCGGATCCTTCAGATTTGTCATCACCCGTTCAAAGAAATCACTACGAGATTCGGCGTTAGACTGTTGATGTTGTGCGTCGACGCCGTTCGCCATCGTTAGTGTTTTCGCGAGATTATCGATTGAATAGTCCTCCACTTCTATGACTTCGCCTCTCGCACGATCGAAAACGAAAGCTCGTCCGTCACTCGCGTCTACTTCGTAAGGCGAAAGCCTTTTCTTCGATGCAGAACTCGACGATGACGTATCCTGTTCTAAAAGCATCATCGCTTCCTCAGGCAGCCAAGGATCCGCCACTAACGGGGACTGCTTTTTCGCAATTCTACGCTCTTGTACATCATGTTCACCTGTTCCATTAGATCTTTCCGGTCGGGGATGTGTTCTTGGAGAAGAATGTGTTCGTGGAGTAGAGGATCGTTGATCAATTTGTTGCTCCCACCTGTTGTGCTCATGAGTTGCATTCATGCTGCATCGATTTTCATGCTCTAATGCATATGCCCCTTGAGACTGGACGCCTAAGGACCATTCTAAGAGCGTTACCACGTTATGCGCCTCATTAACGCGATTCTGAGCCAGCAATGCCAAAGCATACAGCATTCGAAAACAGTCGGCATCCTGGGCTGCGTTGACTACGGCAAGTGAACCCTGAAATGCGACACCAGGACGATGTCGCAACTTGATTCCATGGCGCTGTTGCGTTGAGTTCGTCACCGTGGAATCCAACCCAGAGGCCTGCGCATCCGAAGAACTATGTTGTATTTTCTTGGAAATCCCATTCGGATTCTGCATTTTGTCTCCTGCTGCTCTGTGTGTGCCAGAGTCTCTTCTTGTCATACTACTGTGATATGCTGCAAAATTTTTACTGTTCTTTTCAGATCCACGACGGAGTACTCCTATATGTCCACTTCTGCCAGTTGAAGTTGTTGATGTTGCATTTGCACGTGAGATTTTTTCCCCGGAGGTAAGAAAATTGTCCATACTATTGATGTTCATCTTACTATGACTAATCATGTGACCACTACTTCGTTCATGATTGTTCACATCTGCTGAACCTGTAATCTTTTGATTCATCAGAGGACTAGTTGTACTTCTTTTATTTTTTGACGCCCTAGTTGTTGCTGTATGACTTTGCGCGTGGGAAACTGTGTATGAGATTGGATTATGTCGAGTGCCGATAAGTTGTGCCACTATGCACATGCGGCCCTTTTGCAAAATGATCTTCTCTTCGGCGAGCTCGATGACCTCACGTGGCGTAAAGCTTCGCGCCATTGCCGCCTCAGCACACCCACGAAGCTCCTCCGAAAAGGTGCGAGGGCGCGCTCGGTCGCTTGCCGACATAATAACATGTTGCGCTGCATGTTGTATCGGAGGTAAGACGTCATCGATGTGGAAGTCAACATCGTAGTCGTTGTGGCAGAACTCTGATGAAGCTTCTTCCTCTCCAGCATCATCTATTTCCAGCAAGTCAGCACGTCGAATTATCGTCATGGTATTGCCTTGTGTTCGATGATCTGGAATCTTCAAAAATGGATCAGTCGCAATGTATTGTGGTTTTTACTTTTCGTTTGGCCTTAGATTCTTATTCTTTTCTCTTTGTCACGGAATGTCTTCTAATTTCGAATATTACGCAACATCTACGAGAATTATCTGTCACGAAAAGTGGTGCACTCAAAGGACCAGCACGTTGCTGCATCGAAGAAAAAATTCCAGTGCTATCATCTCATTTACAGTGGTGGTGCCAAGAGATACTAGCAGGCGTACCTATGATTCTACAATTAATGGAAGAGCAACATTCGTCTTCATCGGGGAATGCTTCTTATCTTTCTGCACACCATGTCGAAGTAGTTTAGTATCTCGCCAAGGCCAATGATGCAGCGCCTGGTGGTCCTGGCTTACAGGAGGTCATGTTTGTCTATATGATTTTTAGGAGGTGTTGTCGTGGCTCTCTTGCGGGAAGATGAATCAAGAACAACACAGTATCTCATCCACATGGATGCGGTTCACGTTATCACATGGTTCGCTGTACTACCCGATACTGGAACGAGCGAAGGGGTGCTTGTCGTGGTTGCGAGTCGTGGGGCATGAGCAAAGAAATGCCTCAAGAAAGATTCTACATCCCAACAGGTCTCACTCTACGTACCATACCTTTGCGTGCTTTGCATACCTTTCTGGTGAGACCGCTTCGATCACTACAGGCATAAAAGCATGCAGTGACCCACACAATTCACTGCACTGACCGTAAAAAACACCCTCTCGCTGGATGAACAGGAATATACCTGAGATGAGTGAGTATGAGAGATAGACTTGTTATGCACGAACATGCTTTGAAAATGTTCGGTGGTATGCTTCCACTTCCAGGTGGTTAATACCTATCTTCTATCCTGTCACTGATATCATTTTCTTTCACAGCAAATCTACCTGGCTAACTTAAGTAGGTTACTTCGTCCCGTCAGATAAGAACAGCAGCGGCCTGAAATCCAATGCACTGAGACTCCTTTAGATATCCGGTAAGCACGGGGAAAGACAGACCAACAAAGATACATTACGCAAGATTGATGTGGATACATTCAAGGAAAACGCAAAAACATTCATTACGATTGATTCGCCCTGGGCAACAATCCATCTTGATGTTCAGTGCAGGACACGCCCAACAGTGAAGAACGTCCTGCGATGTAATCAGACAACCTGTTGATGCGTCGTAGATTTCGTTCGTCCGCAACATTCATTCTTAGCTAATAGAAAAATGTCCCCACAAATATATCGGTGTAATTCTGCATTGCGTTGGCAGGGCTTGATGTGCTACAACATCGGCATCATCTTCATACATTCATTCTTTAAAGTTATTGTTCATTATCCTCCGTACAGTACAATCTATGTATTAGGTATAATTCATCATGTTGGTTCTATCTTGTTCTGAAAATCAGTGAGAAGTAGAGGTCTGTTTTCTTGTATTCAAGTTATAAGACGGGAATGTATGGAAGGAGGTGTTCTAAAAAAAAGAGTACGTATATGGGTTCGTGTTGGAAGGGTAAGGCGCTTGTCGACCTCGAGATTTCTGAGCATGCCTGGCTTGAGATCCTCATCGGTGACCATATTACTCTGGAATTGGAAGAACGTTGGCACTTCTGCGCCATCTAGGTACTTCTGCGGTGTCGCATATTCCTCGGCCTGGTCGTGTCATCGAAGTAAGGAGATGTAGAGACTTACCACTTCTGGAGACGAATGAATCATGATTGATCAAGACGATAGTTACAGATACAGTGTTGCTACATACAGATAAGTATAAATAAGTCAAAGATGGAGAGGAGCCTTATTTGATTCATCATTTTTAGCTCTAGTTCTGAGATCTGCTCGCAAAAAAACTTCTTTCCCTGGAAACGTTGAGAAAGGTATTTTCCATCGAAAGCTGCTGTTCGCGACCTGCTCTCGCAGTCGCAGACAACAAGATGATGATATGAAAACCTCAAACTCTGTTAAGAAGAATACGGCGCAGTTCTGAAACTTTGGAACTGTCCTCGTGTCGGGTCGTAAGTCCTGCACCGCCTCCCGCCCACGGAAAAAGCTCTTCAAGTTCGCCAACATTGTTCCGAGTGATAAGCAAGCGTGGCTCTCCGACAGCCGCCGCGAAGTGCTACCCTATTCAAACATAAACAACCACGACGACCTGCGTACTCGCTACTGGCTGAGGCTGTATCGTCTTTACAACTCGGTGTCGTACAGAAGCGGTTTGATGGCGTTGACGAGGATTGACTGATACTGGTGTAGTTGACGGAAGCACAGGATCAAGAATACGATCACCGGGGTTGTGATATGGATTGCGTTTTTTTCGAGAGTTTCAATGATATAACAACTTTATATTTTGAGCAAGTAGTTGGAGTGGTTGTGTTTCTTCTTGTTCACATGCAGGAATTCTGCTCAACAACACAGCAAGTACGTAGTCCTTGCTTTCGACATATACACTGATACAGCTCAAATCCAAAACAGCTTTTTTTTTAGGGAAAAAAATCAGAAGGCGTTCATGAGTCGAGAAGAAGAGGAGTCAGTATCTAGGACCACCGGTAGCCAGTGTTTCGCAAAAGAAAATTTCCACGTCTTCACAGTTTTCAATCTGCTCTTCGAGGATGTTGAGTGATGAAAGTTTCACTTTCATCTGAAATCCAAAACCAGTGAATAAGAATCACTAAGCTGCGGATCAACATCCCAGCTGATTACAGGCGCCACTACAGCCATTGACTTTCTCAGTGCATTTTTACATATCTGAGGTCGCTCGATCTTTTCTGGTTGATGGGTTCGCCTCCGCCAAAACGTACTATCTCGTAATCTTCTCTCCTTCACTCACCCTTTCCTGTAGTTGTATACAGAGTGGTCCTCACAACTGACGCTCGTACTCGCGCGAAGCCACCATCAGCCTCTTACCTCCTTCTGCGCTCGTCGTGGCTCAGCTGGTGCTGCAGACCATCTTAGTCAGGCGCCACAGCGACGATTCTCTTCATAAAATCTTGAACAGAACTTGACAGTATTGAGTAAGTCAATTGCAAAGACATACTCTTGAAAAATTCAAATTGGACGATTCTTGTAGTGACTACTACCATTCAAAATCCGATTATCCTCGCACTGCAACACGAGGACCGTTGTTGAGCTTGAGATCGCTATCGTTTATAAAAAGCCGCGATGAAGAATGACAAAAATGTTTTCAAGGTTCGGAATTCCAAAAGTCATGACTGAGCATAGATGACATGATTCGAAACTAGTACGGCACCATTTATGAAGAAATCAAACTCATGATTTTCTAGACAATAGGTACTAGACGTAGAAAATTTCTTCCTGATCGGAGGACTTGGCTTCCAGCTGCAACTCCATGATCTGGTTTTTAGTACTTCTACTTTTTTCAATTTTCTGAAGTGACCAACTACGTGTCAGCATGTCTATGATTGGTGAAGTTCTTTTTCCTTCCTTCTTGACAAAAAGTCGACTCGCCGTAGGTTGCAGAACTACAGACCACGGGACCTTGTCCGGCTCCGTTCGTTGTCCTGAAGATACTCGTGATCCACGTACTAGTGATGGCTCAACTTTTACTCTATCTGCTAATGACGCTATTTTTGAAGAAGAAGCTACCTCCTCGTTTGACGCCCTTGTTCTTCGGGAAGCCAGTTGTTCGACGTCATCGGTAGTTACTGCTATCGAAGAGAGAGGCTCTCCCACATGCACATCTCCTTCTCCCGACCCTAAATCCTGCGATGCAGTTGTAAATTTCCACGCCTCGTTCATACCCTGTAGTAACAATGGATCAACGTCGAGGGTTACGTTAGCAGTGCAGGTGTCGTTCAAATTGACGAACCCCAATGCAATCCCGTCACTCAGCCGGCGAAACCATATCTGGACGTCCGCAGCTGGGGCGACAGCTGGGACAAGAACAGGGTTGCTACGATGATCGGTTTCTCCTGTGATCTCAATCCTTGTCTTCGTCCCTGCCGTCATGGAAAGGCTTTTCCCTGTCACGGGAGTCCTTGTATTCACTGCTGTACTACTGATTCCTTTTCCTCCTTCTTGTGCAATATCCTCTGCGGTCTTAGCACTGCTACTACTAGAAAAGCCAGTAGGAATGAACTTGCTCAACAAGGCGCTGCTTCCTACATCAACATCTGCTAGACCTACGCCCGACTCTACTGGCGCTCCCTCTCTACCTGTACCTTTTGTCACGGACGACAATTCGCCGCCACAGCCGACCACGCATCCGCCGATTGCTTCCCCTGAGTCCTGCACCACACCTAGAAAGGTGTCGTCCTTCAATAATGGTAGATAGTTTGAGCCCAGATTATCCACGTTCTTTGCGAGTTTCCGAAGGTCAGCAGCTAAAAATAATGGTGCGAATATTAGAGGAATGCGAAAGTTGATGATTCAAAATATAAATAAGTAGAGGCATAACTCGTCTTCGACTTATGCATACTCCTAGTCCTATTCATCGAACTAAGACGCCTACTAGAAAAACCTTAGCGTAATTTCACGATCGACCACACTGTGAGCTGCGTCTTTGCAAGTGAGGGTGACAAAACCTTCCCGTAATGATCGTCAGCCGCGAGAATCATATCCGGATCGTTAAACGCGGGAGCGGGGACCTTGACCATTGAAATTCAGAAGCACATGATTCAAATCAGTATCAGTAAGCGTAGAAGTTGTACTTATTTTGTGACCACTAAACAGTATTTTTAGCATGGATGCGTATTTTTGCTGTCATAGAACAAGTCTCTAAAATGTCAAGAGCGAAAAAAATCTGTACACAAGAACGAAGATTATAGTGCAACCTCTGACTCGTACGACTTCTGTCGTGTCGTAATTCTAGTTGGAGAAAGTATTTCTAACTATGATCCACATCAACAGTTGCAGTACAACATAGGAGGTACCTCTTGGAGTGTTTTCGTCCATTCAGCCCAGTGATTGAGGATGCCGACCATACTTGCTGCGCTGTTATCGATGTCAGCCCAGTTCCGCCATGTGTCGCAATGGGCAGCTTTGAACATCGTATCGTAGGGCTTCTGCGTCTCATTGTCCCCAAGATACGCTGGCCAAGAGCACGAATAGCCGATCTTCCTAGAGACTTTTGGCGATTAGAAATAGATAACAAATGTTTGAACTTCAAAGTTTGAAGCTAACCACGTTACTATAATTCTTCAGCCAAATAGTACGAACTTGTTCACAAGGTTGTACAAAAATGTGCCATGACAGAAACTGCTGCTGAACAAACTACAAGACGGAATGAAAATTAAAAAGATGAACAAGAAATTTCTGCCCATAATGCAGAGCTTCGCCGAACTTTGTGTACAGCTCGACCATTTCCTCCGCTGTGTCGATGTAACAGCCATCCAGTTTGAGATAATCAACACCCCAGTCTGCAAATGTTTGTGCATCTAGCTCTTCGTAGCCTCGACTCCCGACATAGCCACCACATGTCAAGTTTCCTGCATCGGAATATATGCCTAATTTGAGACCTTTCTCTTAGAGCTAGCTTGGTCGCATCCCTGAGAGCATCCTTGGCCCTACTTTCAAGTAGAAAAAGAGCCAGGAAGAGTCACGCTGAGGATGCTCCAGCGGTAGCCCTAATTCTCATGCAAATAGTCTGCGAGTGCTTTGATTCCATGCGGAAATCGGTCTGGATCCGCAAGTAGCCTATTGGTCTTGCCGTCTCGGCCCTTGCTCCAGCAGTCGTCGATGGAAACCTAGTTGTGTACGAACAGGAAGTCAAGAACTTGTTGAATGCAGCCGACGCCGACACCCTTTCGTATAAATTTGGTTCATTTCTGATGTACATGCCTTGGGAGCCCCTTCTCACCAACTACACCAGCGCACGCATATTGCCAACAGCAACAGCAACAACAGGATCACCACTTGAAGAATACCTGAGTATATCCCTTTTCTGCTAGGCCTGTTGATACCAGGGCGTCTCCCATACCCCTATAAAGCTCTTCGTTGATGCATTCGTCAGGGAACGCGGTACAGTTTGTCTCACATCGAAAGCGTTCCCAGGACATCCACCCCATTGGCGGACTTGACATCGCCGCCTTTGTGACCGTCGGAGGTATTAGAAGTAGCCTAGAAGGATAACCAATTATCGCTGCGAAATAGTGTTTGGTCTGCGACGACATAGTCCACATCAACAGGCGGGAAAGTACTTAGCCTGTCAGTCGTTAATCACTTTGTATACGACCGCGATGATTCACGACCATCGAAAAAGACTTCAATACCAATACGTATAGTGTTACTTACCAGAGTTAGCAGTGTCCATTTACTATAACCAGAGTCTTAAGAGCATCATGCTGCTTACGAGGAGCGCTTTCGTCGTAGCAGATCGGGCCATCGTTCTGCAGCGCCCTGGACTTATATGCGGTAGCGACCTTTTCGAGCACGTATCGGAGATGTCATGTTGTTAGGCCCTTGCTCCCCACTTTTTCACGCCAGTAAAACAAGTCGTATGTAGATGAATCAGAGAGACTTGTTCTTTATCTTTTATTTACAATCGAATCAATTTTCAAAATTGCTATTCTTCATAGAATGAACCTATGTGTAAGAAAACTATTTCTTCTCCGTACAGGAAAAATTTCGCCGACTATTAATCATTTTCATACTACGGTATGATGTTGTAGTCGTCATCGTTCCGGTAGTATACTTCTCCCTCTCTCTTTCGTCAAAATAGACTCTCTCACAACCCAAAAATATTGAGCCTCTCCCAATCCACATCCAATACGTGTTCAATGGAGTACCCGAGTCGCCACGGCGTCATGACGAACGTGAGGAGCTGGTGCACGCAGAGAAAGCAGCAATTTTTAATACGGGACTTTTGACTGCAGGGCAGTATGAAATCTGGGCCCTAAAGTTGAATGCTGTGTATTTGATGAATGTTGTGTATCTCATGTTCGAAAATTTGTCTGTACCAATATATCGAACGTCTCTACCTTATGATACAATCAATGTCAGATGTCTTCTCCTCATGATATTCATGTCAAAAGTCAATAAATCTGAGTATATAACTGCAAATATCATCAGTCCTTCGAATTAGGAAATGCGTGCGTCACGTAGGAAGAGGGCGCGAAAGGGACCAGTAGCTTTAGTGATATTTCGAAGACTACATCATTTGCCAAGCGCGTCTACGTGATACTTCATGTCACCCTCCTCGAAAATAAAGTACTTGTTAGCTACCGATCAGTGTAATATCTCTGCTTTTCTATGTTCTGACTTCTGCTGCAGAAGGAGGCATGCAGCAGCAGCAGCAGCAGCAGCAGTGAGTAAAAAAATAATAAACTGAAGATGATCAAGACTCTTAGAATCTAATATGATGTATGAAATAGATTGTAGGTTTTTCAGTTTTACTAACCTTGCTAATAGAAGATCTAATCTTAATCGCACACGCTGAAAGTTAAGGGGAGGGTTTTTGTTGGTAGTCAATTTTATTTAACCGACAAGCAATTGAGGGATGTGGTCAGGGCTCTGGGCCATAAGCACCACTTGCAGCCCAGAGCTCCCAGCACGAGGAGACAAGGTGCCAACCTTAGGGTCCTCACAAAGTGCATCACGGTTTGGCAGACCGTCTTATGAAAGCCTCAACCGATGGTGTAGTGGTAAGAACATGATACAGCACAACCGATGAGATGACAGATAGAGAGCGCGTGCAAACCGACGAACAGCCACCGACAAGACGACGAGCCAACCGGAGAACACATCCAACAATCACTCGTTTACTTACTCATAAACTTTGTACAACAATAATAGTGCTTACACAGTGTTCTAGATATTCGATCGTCAACTTTTACTGTAACCAGGATGCACCTGTAGACATTTAATAAACAAGCCGCAATTCCTCAATTGGCTGTTAATATAACAAGTAACTTGGCAAGTAAGATTAGTGGAGCAGAAAGGAGACGGGAAAGGACGACCTTAGTGTACAGGAAGGCATAGAGTCAGGAGGGTCAGCAGACCAGGTAAGATGAAAGCAGTAATAAGTAAGTCATCGTCACATAGCAGGACAGCGAAAGGGAAGGAGAGGAAGGGGAAAGAAAAGATATGGTCATATAGGCCTTAATTGGAAGCACATTTACAGGCATTCACGGATCAGAACAAAATCAGAAGATAGGTCAGTCAGAAAGGCAGTAATTTCTCTCAGTTATTCTCTCTTCACATTGTCGAGCCTTCAGTGAACAGGATCCTCTGGCCAGCATTTTAACTCAGCTCTTTAAGAGTCTTGATTTTAATTCCCGCTCAGACATGAAACAAACTCTCTTTCCTCATGATGTACAGTTGTAACCTTCAATTACCCTGAAACATGACCAAGAGGAACCCATCAAATCGGGACCCATTTTTATTCTTGCGAAGTCCTTACTTTTTTCGAAGACAGTTCAAGGTCCTGGCCGCGCGAATTCTAAAGAGACAACAAAGGACGAAGGTGGAAGGCGATCGGCGCAACACTTCACAGGGGGGAGCACCCACCGGCTGACATCTCTGGACGCTCGCGCGCTCTGCCTTCTCACTCTCGGCGGGTCGCTCTCACTCTCTCTCTCACCGTGTCGCCGCTCTTTTCGTACGTAGATACACAAGGCGCGTAGCACTCTAAGCAAAGACAACAAAGAAAGGAGCAAGACTGACAGAACGCAGCGAACCTATCAGCCAACGAGCCCACCTGTAAACTCATACTGCCAACGCGTTGGCCGCACGCTTTCCCCTCGCTTATAGTATAAATGTACTCACTCACACACCTCCAAAGAACACACAGCACTCGCAGAGAAGCCCGAGGCAAAACATATAAAAACTAAAGACTGACCGACAGACAAACGAGCGAAAGCCAGCGGTTACTTAGCTAAGTTTCTCTCTCTTTCAAGGTCAGCCAACTTACTCGGTCGAAGCGCTATCCGATTTGTGCGCGGTGAGTCAGTCAATGAATCGCAGAACACTCCAGGCGCCCTCGCCTCCTTGCGCGTTGCTGGAGCCGCGCCCCTCCAGTCGCGGCCGCTTCGTTCTTCCTTAGATGCATAGCTATACTCATACATCAGACTACGTACTCGAGCGAGCCCCAGCACCTACCACAGAAAAGAGCGCCCGCCCCCTCTGCTTGACTATTTATATACTCCCTCGCAGGCCCTGCCCTGAATCAACTCACGCACCCGCCAGCCCAGTGAACGAGATTGATAGATAATAGCTAGAGCGAAGACCTGCGATAATTAACGCACGCCCCCCCCCTACATACATTCATATATACATACATAGACAGACGCCACGCGTCCACCGACGCCCACAAAGTTCAGGGCCTGATAAGTGTCCAGCGGTGCCCTGCTTTGTGGGTATCTATCGCTGCACACTCGTCGCCGATGCCTTTGCCGATGGATGGGCTCACTCTCTACCTAGACTACGCGCGAGGCTGCTGGCCCACCCCTCGATGGTCCACGCTGGTAGACCAACGCCCGCCACACACTTGCGTGCGAGCGTGCATGCTTGTTAGTCGAGCGGCGCAGCCCACCGCCGCCACGATGGAAGGCGCGACCTCTTTCAAGAAGGAACACCCAGACTGACTCAGCTGACTGACTGAGACCACACGCGAATCGCGTAGAACTCAACGAACTGAACACAGAGCGAGGCAGGCGCCCCCGCTCGCTGGCTGCGTTCGTCTTCCCTCGTTGCTTCGTGTCCGTTGGTCTCACTCTCGTAAACTAACTGGCGCATCCTGAGCCACGAACTTGCTCACTTCGTGAGGCTCATGCACTGTCTGCGCCACTTGTTCACTTGCTTCCTTCTTCGCGGTGTCATCTATGAATGTACGCGCTGCGCCTGCCTTGTGCGTGTGCCTATGTATCTCCCGAAGCTTGCGCCTCTCTCGCTCTGTGTTCGTTAGTTAAATTTATTATGCGCGTCGTTGTCGTTCGTTGTATTCATATAAAAAAAAGAAAGGCCGGGGCGTCGTCGGTAGTTGTTAATACATCAGCCAGCAGGGCTACGCACTGCCAGCACAGCTCAGAAACAGCGGCCAGCGAGCAGCAGGCTTCTAGTTACGACGACGCATCTTTTCAATTTCAGCAAGTTCACGCTACTGAGTACTCATTAGCTAGACTAGCTACCGAAACCGAAGCGGAACGCTCGGGCACATATGGGATCTGCCCTGCTCGAAATACAGCCAACACGAAGCCAAGCCCTACTCTTTCGGGGTAATTCAATGAGGCGAATGAAGCCCAGGCCTCAATATACAACGGGGGCCGTCTGCTGAGTGACTGCCTCCCTTCATGGCCAGACGATTCTTTCACTGGCGCGAGAGTCTCCTTGATATATTCTCAGACGGGGCCAAAAGACTGAGGCCGTGTCTTCTTACTTTGCCGGTGTCTATGTATTCACACACTGAATCGAAGCAACTCAGTGCGACGGGCTCACGAGGTCGCTGGAAGGGGGAAGAGTGCGCATCCGTCGATAGATATTATTTTTTATAAGGCAGCACGAGGCTGGTTGTCTGTTTTCGCATTCGTTATACATAGGCAACACAAGGGGACGAAGCTGGTTACTTCGCAGATTCATTCTGCTCTGATGCTTGTTTCTCGCTTGGGGGGTCGATAGAGATTGACTGGCTAGATATTAGTGGAGCGATCTTGTTGCATTTGCTCGCGATAATTTGAAGGGATTCACTTCTTAGCTCCCTACGCCCTAAACTTCTAAGGAAAACTAACAGCGCGAGCAGCTCAGCCATACACTCATACTAACAGCATAGCGCTTGAGGTGGTCGCTATTGAAATAGATGGAAGCCCAATTTTGATTAGTCATTAGCGCAGGCACGCACATAAATGGAAGCTCAGTTCTGAATCAATCACGCATAGACATAGATAGAACTACAAGCGCCAGCGAGCGCGGCAGCAAGAAGCTGCTGCACCTGCGAGCGCGACACACATCGAAGAAAGAGAGTCCCGATCAATGGACGCCGCGTCTGCGAGTAGTCTATCTAAGAAGTTCAGCTTGGAGGAGAATGGCACGCAATGCCCCTGATCTGATGAAGGAGATCGCGACCAGTTAGTAACACCGTTAATAGCTCAGCCATATTCTCACTTCCCTACGTCTCTACCTCTACTTCTCATCAGCTGAGAACCAGAGAGAGGAAAAAGGAGCTCAGTAATCTTTACACAGCAAGGGGCTCGCGGAATCACTATACACATAGCCAAGCGCGCTCTCTTCCATAGTTTTCTTTACAGTCTACAATCAAGAAGCATGTAAACAGTTATACAGTTGGCAACTTCGTCTCTGCTAGCTTCCTCATCCTCATACTGTTGGATAGGTAAGATAGAAGCTGTGGCTCTCGGCTCTAGTACTTAGTTCGCAGCTACAACCTACCCCAGGCTGCAAGCGGATACAAATGCGAAGACAGCAACAAAGCTAGAGCAGGCCAAAAAAGAGGCAGCTAGCTACATGGCCATCCCAAAGGGGTTGGCCTTCGCAAACTCTGCAAAGGAGAGACGAGCTGCAGCGGGTGCGACTGAGTAACACCGGACGGCTCGAGCCTTGCTGGGAGCTAGGTTGGTTCTGTAGATTTGTGGCGTCTTGCGAGGAAACTTCGCTGCAGCAAGTAGTGACGCCATCAGCAAAAGCCAGCTGCCAAAGGGGTTGTTGATGGGTTGTTGATGGGTTGTTGATGGGTTGTTGATGGGTTGTTGATGGGTTGTTGATGGGTTGTTCCTGGGTTGTTGCCGGTTGGTTCTTGGTTTTGCTGGTTCGTTGTTGATGGCATTCGAACAAGCTGCAGCACTTCTTGCATACATCTAGTCAACCTCTAATACATATCTTGCTGCTTCTGGTCTTGCGTGTATGCTACAGATCTCGAAGGGCCACGCCAGGAGATAGAAGGACTTTGCGTGTATGCTACAGATTGCGGGAGGACTTGGGAGGCGGTCCGTCTTGGGCCTGCCCATCATTTTCATTCCTGCTACTCCAGTGTCGTGGCTATACTGACCTCCTTGCGCGTCTGCGCGGGGCAGCCCGTCGCTGGGCGCTTTGCTTCGGTTTTTGCGACAGCCTGCTCGCCTTATTTTCGTACTTAATAAATTAATACACACACGGAACCAATTCAGAAAGATACACACACAAGAGAGAACTGGGGAACGTGTGCAGTTGTCTTCTCTCTCACTTTGCTCAATTGGCGAGCACCTCAAGAGAGAAAGAACCAACACACAGACCCAACCCATGCGCGACGCCGACGCCGCTAGCAAGCTAAGCCGTACCTACGTACAGACTAAATCTGTGCCAACTAATTCCGCGAGATGCACAAGAAAGAATTGCGAAGGCTGTGCAATTGTCTTCTTGCTTTCTCGCTTTATTTATAAATCAGACAAACCAGCCAACGCGCGGAGCCTGATAGATAGAAAGTCCGACGGACTTCGAACCGGACGCCTGGGAGCCTGACTGCTGGCCAAAGATGCGCAGGAAGTTGAATCACATCCCGAAAAGCAAGAAGAAACTTGGAAGGTTGCGCAGTTGTCTTCTGTCTCCCTCTGCTATATTTATTAACTTACTAACGAGCACAATCGGCCCCAGCGAAGCAAATCACTTAAATTACATCCCGAAAATCAAGAAGAGACTAGGAAGGCTGTGCAACTGTCTTCTGTCTCGCTCTGCTATATTAACGAGCGCAGAAAAGTCCAGCGATGTCCGGAACTTTGAGACGGGTGACAGCTCTCAGACAGCTGGCTAATATATAGTTAGCAAATGAATCTAATTGGGTTACATTTATTAGCAGCTAATATTATAAATTCCGAAAGATATGCAAGAAAGAATTGGGAAGGCTGCGCAATTGTCTTCTTGCTCGCTTTGTTAAATTAGCCGAGTAGATAGCCCGACTAATTTCTATCCATGCACCAGCCACGGCGCAGGCTGGTGCCCGCGCGCTCTGCCTTGTTACTCTTGAAGCGCAAGGAAGAATTGCGAAGGCTGTGCAATTGTCTTCTTGCTTTCTCGCTTTATTTATAAATCAGACAAACCAGCCAACGCGCGGAGACTGATAGACAGAAAGTCCGACGGACTTCGAGCCGGACGCCTGGGGGCCTGACTGCTGGCCAAAGATGCGCAGGAAGTTGAATCACATCCCGAAAAGCAAGAAGAAACTAGGAAGGCTGTGCAATTGTCTTCTGTCTCCCTCTGCTATATTTATCAATTTACTAACGAGCACAATCGGCCCCAGCGAAGCAAATCACTTAAATTACATCCCGAAAATCAAGAAGAGATTAGGAAAGCTGTGCAATTGTCTTCTGTCTCGCTCTGCTATATTAACGAGCGCAGAAAAGTCCAGCGATATCGATCCGGAACTTTGAGACGGGTGACAGCTCTCAGACAGCTGGCTAATATATAATTAGCGAACGAATCTAATTGGGCTAAATTTATTAGCAGTTAATATTATAAATTCCGAAAGATCTGCAAGAGAGAATTGGGAAGGCTGCGCAATTGTCTTCTTGCTCACTTTGTTAAATTAGCCGAGTAGATACATACATAGCCCAACTAATAAACTTCTATCCATGCACCAGCCACGGCGCAGGCTGGTGCCCGCGCGCTCTGCCTTGTTACTCTTCACGAACGAGCCCACTCAGGTGATCTAGTAACTAACTTCATAAATTCAAAAGATACACAAGAGAGAATTTGGGAAGTTGCGCAATTGTCTCCTTTTTGACTTCGCTCAATTTACCAACCAACACGAAGAGAAAGAACCCAGCGCCCAAGCCCGCGCGAAAGACTTCGAAGGGGCTGCTGCGTCGTGCATTCAGTCACTGCCCTCGCCTTCCTGAGGTGAGGCGGCCCAATTAATTTCGCGAGATGTACAAGGAAGAATTGGGAAGGCTGCGCAATTGTCTTCTTGCTTTCTCACTTTATTTATATACTCCCCTCTCTATGTACTAAACTATCTAACAGACTTCGGACCGCCTGGAAACCTGACGGCTGGCCATAGATGGCCCCAGCCTTCAACCAGGCAGCGCGCTGA